TTCAGCTAGATCCAAATGGCTCATTCGAACAACTAGTTGAACAAGTGCGAGATCGATGTCTGTCGATACTCGAGCACTCACACTATCCTCTTCAACACATCATCGGTAGTCATCATGCACCAGCGTTTCTTGAGACTATGTTCGATTATATCACTATTGATTCGGCTATGGAACAAGTGAATCTTGGCGGTACAATGCTCGAATCAGTGGCATTAGAACAGTCAGATTCTATCACGAAGTTTGACATGATGGTTACCTTCGTTCACAAGGAATTAACCGGAATATCATGCTCTCTCGTCTGTTCACAAGATCTGTTCGACGATGGAACTGTTCAATTAATGGCCGACCGATTCTCATGTCTTCTGCATCACCTGTTCAACTCTGCTCTCTTCTCTATTGAGAAACAACCTCTTCATCAATTGTCGCTCCTTCTTCCACATGAACAACTGCTCATTGATGCCATGAAAAACAACGATAGTCACCGACCACCGTCAACAGATCAAACCATTTCTCAGCTGTTTTGCGAGAAAGGATCAAGCTATTCACAAAAAGTGGCTGTTGATCTGGATGAACAGTCCCTCACATATAGTGAACTGTTAGTCTACGCTCAACACTTGGCTGTTGTTCTCATAGACACACATGGTGTGAAGGTGGGTGATGTTGTGTGTCAATGTGTCGAACGAAGCATATTGATGGTAAGTTTTTTTGGCGCATTGTTGGGTGAAGGACGTACGTTTGGACACGCGATTATTTGTTGCTTTTGGAGTAGAGTTTTTGTATTGTTCAATGACTGGTTCCTTGAATCGCGTTAAATATTGTTTCCGAAGTGTTTTTTGCGTGACCACACATGGTGGCTTTTTCACCTATCAGAAAGGCACCGTTGAAATAGCGGTATGGAGGGTATGATTTTGTTCGTGGTGGAAGTAGTTTTTCGTGCGTGCATGTAGCTTTGATTTTTTGGCTTATAGTTGGGCGGTTTATGGAGAACTATATAGGACTTGGTGCTCTATAGACTGTTGATATACCTAATATCTATGAGAATAGTTACAAAAATCGAGAAGAGAGATGCCCCTGTTATTACTGTTAGTAAAATTGTAGGTGTTACACAGTCTTGGTTTACATAATGCCGGCAATAATGTATAGTAATATTTGACTGAGTTGGTCTTTGTAGCCTAATCGGCTTAGCACTTTTGCCTGAATATCAGAAGGTATAGATCCGAGTTTCGTAAGAACTAGTTTCCGTCACTCTCTCTACTGGAATCAAAACATAACTATGTATTTTATCTTATTTTGACGCTATTCATTGAATAGTATATATTATAAATAGTGCTATATTTCAAACTGTATAGTACGAGGAGCTCGATTTTTGCATGTGACACAGTGTGTTGTATATGTACTTTTGAGTAAAACAGCAATGTTATGCCTAATGAGTTCGTTGTTTCTTTTTATCGTATTTTTATAACTTGAGATGTTGTATAAAAAAAGAACGCAAAACAGTTTAGAAGATGCAGGTAAAAGAAGTCCACGATTTATATTGATTGAACACCTATAGAAAGATGGCATCAGGGAGAAAATGAATGCATCTCAGAGGAAAGTAGAAACCATTTCTGTATTGATTAAATATGCTCACTGAAAATTTGGCGTCTCTGAAGAACAAAAATGGTGTTACAAAAAAAGGAGCCGCGTGTAAGTTGCATGAATTTTTGCATCGCATCATCTGATATATTTCATTTCATTAATAGAATGAGACTAGTGATGAAAAAATCAGACACAAAGCATTATTGTTAATCATATATATTTGAGTGATGTCATAATCCCGTTACACCCGGTATTCATCCAAAAGCAGACAATTCACTGCGCTACCATATGCAGCTGAGTCAGTGTATCCAACACGATACCCAAATAGAAGTGTATCCTGGAAAGCTGAGGAATATGAGTGGATTTGGTGTATCCAGCCCGATACCCGTGCCTGTGTGTGTTGGGAAGCTGAAGAATGCGAGTGAATTTCGCGTATCCAGCCGCCACCCTCACCTTCACTTACACCCTTACCTTATTTGAGTATCGGGCTGGATACGCCAAATCCACTCAGATTCCTCAAACTTCATCATGGTCGTATTCTTTCTGTAGTATAAAAGTGGTTACCCGCGGATAGAACGGGCTGGTATCGATACCGGTGTTCGTTCGTTGATCAGTATCAGGGTATCGTGACGTTTGGCTGTCGATACCCGGTGTAATGGTATTATGACATCTATGATATATTTACAGACTTTTATATGCTTTTACATTTCGTTGTTCTTCTAACATGTCCAAAAACAGTTTGAGGATTCAGTCGCATACGGACTCTTAGACAATTTCAAGAGCTATGTTTTCTCATAGAAAAGGTCTTCATTGACGGGGGTAATATAGAGAAAATCTTTTATAAAGTGAGATGCGCAGTCCTTCTAATCTGCTCGACGATGCTTCAAAGTGTCGCTTATCTGAAAACAGAAAAGGAGTGCATGGTCTTTTCTATTTCAAGTTCAATTTTGGAAAAAAACTAGCTTTTTCTTATCTAATTATGGAACAAAACGGTTCATTTTCGGCCGTAAAGCCACCGTTTTGTAACGGTTTACACTCCAAAAACGCAGTGTAAACGACTCCGTTTTCACCGACCTGAGAATGCTTCCCATGAGGAAAAAATAGCTTGTTAATAATTCTTTTTAGATCAGCGTTCAAAATGTAGACGGAATATAGGAATAATTGTTTCTTCGACTACCACATAATCTCTATGTTGATCACTTCATACCATTTATTTTTTCCCAGGTCGACAAATCTCATACTCAGATCCGATCGGATCCAAAACACGGATTTTATGGATTATCTAAAGGTCGTCATAGAACATAGGTGAAAATAACGCTCATAAAATTTGCAGCAAAAGGCTGGATTTTTCCAGTCGGAATCCGATGGAATTCCGTCACCAGGAATTCGATCGGTTTCCATCGGGTTCGATGTCGGATTTGTTGACCTGGGTCTAAGCATTGACTTACAACCTAGAGAATTTAAATGAATCTACTCTGACTGTGCACTCTAGTTGTATCACCAGACTCAAACTATTATAAATTGTGAGAAAAGATATGCAAATGTAAGATAATTGAAGAAAATAAGATATTGTGCCTGTTACGGATTAGGAATATAGAGGTGCTGATGATATTAATATGTTCCAAAATTCAAAACTTTATTTCAATTTGGAAATACTCTCCAAGATGATGACGTAGAGCTGTTTAAATTGTGTATATTCTTTTGAACAACTTCTGCATCGAGATACATTCCCGCAGACAGCCACTCAGCACCCTCAATTGAGACCGATTCGTATCAAGAGTCATTTCACATTCTCAATATTGGAATCGGTAAGTTCAATTCTTTTAAAGTAGCTAATCGTAAAATAAATCCTCATTGTTAATATCAAAGTATCAAACATTGTAAAATTTTTGTTGCAAATTTCTAAACCTTGGTATCAGTTGTACAAGCAACATGCAGCTCATTCAATTAGAGGAGTAAATATACGTTCGATTGTAGAACTCAGTTATAGAATATTACATTAAAGTTGTTCCCGGGACGATGGTTCCTAGAAGCAGGATTCCGCTGACTTCCGCGTTGGATACAAGTAACGCTGGTCCTTAGACACGCTCAGCTCTTTCTTATAGAAATATTGATCTCAGATGTCATATTTTTAATGCATTATTGCGTATATAAGTTTTTTTTTCATCATAGGTTAGATATTTTCACAAAAGCAATCATAGATATCTATAACAAATGTTAAATAGAGCACTAGATACTTTGAAGACGTATCAATACAGTTAGGAAAATTGTGGCTGATTACATCAAAAAGCGAAATCAAGAAAACACGATAGGGAATATCTGATGCAATGAGAGAAAAAAAATAGTCACTACAATAAGTAAGATAAATGTGAAGAAAGAGGTAAAGAAAATGAACACACTTTTAATACTTTTTAAGTTATTTCAAATTATGTTAGGTTTTATATGCTTGCAATAACACTAGACACTTGACAAAGTATCGATTTACACATGTTAAAAAAATGAAAGTAGTACACTCTCGTTTTGTCTTTTTGTCAAGTTGATCTAGACGTTTCAGTTCAGTGTATTGTGCAGAAGAAGATTGAACTCGTAGAGTCTTCACGTCGAAAGATAACTATATCATCCCCTTTCTTCACTCTGCTGAGTGGTACATATATCGACGCTACTTACAGTGACCCCGGTGGAACTTGAAGATCGACTACCATTTTGTTCATTGTAAGTCCTTACACCTTGTATGTAGTTATAGCGAAGGCAGGTACAATTGGTAGTTGCGTTCTTGTACCTTGAACGACTTGTGGAATTTTTCTCCCATTTTGCACTTGATCCAGTAGATGTCCGAAGAATTGCTTCATAGGAATAGTGAGTCGCTTTTTGATTAATAGAATAGGAATTAGCCCATATCAAAACTGTACGGCAAGAACGAGCGAGATCAGTGGCTTTCCAATAATTTCCTGTAATCGGAATCTGACCTCGTATCCGGCCATCCGCTTCCGATACTCTTCCAATTGATTCCTTGACACGGATCATATTTTTGGATACGGTCGTAAGATCCGATCCGGTTCCTAACGAAGAATTCGTTGGTCTTTTACGAGCGACGGGATACGAACCATAACTCACAGTTTCCGTTACGGTTACGAGCATATGAATCGGTACTTTCCCGTGTTTTCAGATTCTAAATCGTTTAATACGATTTTCTCCACAAATCAGTATTTAAATGCACAGAAATTTTACAACTTTTATGATACGTAATCAATAGAGAAGTGATAGAAGCCTACCTTTGATTGAGATGAAAATATTTATTTGCATCTGATTACTAAGTAGACTGATTCAACTGTTCTGAAGTTTTTACTTTGTAAGTGGTTCTTTATTTAAGATTCGATGATTTCCAACGGAAATTATGCGAATTTCTCTTAAATACTTTTGGAAAATATTTCAAACCTATTTCTCAGTTGTAAAAATACAGTATCGTATGAAAGAAATATTCGATTTTGGTTATACTGTGAATCGATTATTATTCCAAAAGTTGTCAAACGGTTAGTACACCCTTTCAAAATCTTACATGTATACATGCATTTTAAATCCCCTGCTCAAATACCCATCTGCGTTGGTAACGTAGAATAAAGTAGTAATCTAGTAAATAACTATCATTGCGCTATAGGTGATGCATCGTGTTTATTATCGATGATTTTTTTATTAATTCTGAGTTCGCATGAGATGTTTAGTGGAGTAGATACGTGGGGAGCATAAATGCAGTATTAAGTTTAACCTAACACCAACTATTGCGCAAGGATCACACTATTAGACCAAATACCATTCTGCATACCGGTACTATCTATCTACAATGAGTACCAAGTCGCAATATCACAACTTACTCACGTATACCTTTTCAATCATTCTTCTAATTGCCATCCACCCACCAACGTAAAAATAAGGCGTGAAAATCAGATTTCACACGAGAAAACTAATGAAAAATCAACTTAGATGGCACAATTTGATCAACTTTTTAATCGATTAAATCCTGTTATAAAACTGATAAAAAATTAATTCGTTTAAAGATATTGTTTAATTATCAACAGTACCTGTCTTCCATAAAAAATAATCAGTTCAAGTAGATATTACAACAGGATTCAGCCGATTTCAGTTGATTATTTTAATCTTAATCGATTTCCAAGTTGTTTAGATCAAGTACTTTAATACGATATTCCATCACATTTTTGGCGGTCAATCTAATTTTTCTAGTACTTTTCACATAGATGATCCTAGAGACATTTAAATCGCATTTCCATCCATCGACAACAAGTATAGCCAGGGTACTTTTAGAATTTTCCCTAGTAATTAGTGCAATCTGAAAAAAATCATCATAGGATGTTTTTTGCTCGATTTCGAATTGTAGTTAGATAAATTTAGAGAATAGGATGTATTTGATTTTGGAAAGTGGATAGTTTACGTTCATTTATGGCGATATTTCCAGGAGTTTCCTCAAGGATCTTATCATATTTCCTTTAACTTCCTGGCGGATCTGGTTTATTTTCCCAGAGACAAAAATTGCGGAATATCAAAAGTTCCATTTCCTTGAAATTCCTACAGGAATACTGCTTCCATCTTCCGTGTGTTTTTCCTGCGGGATACGTTGCAAACACGCATGGAACTTGCAGGAAGATGCGAGAAAAGACCTAGGATCGTTCGGGTTCCGTGCGGATCCGGAAACATTACCTTGGGAGTTTAAGACGAAGACCACTAAGATTTGTTTCTACTTGTGATGTGTTAATTTTCACGAGTGCATACAATAGTTTTCGTATGTAGATCGTATTTGGGGGAAATACTTCGCTTTTTACCTTGAAATCGCTCAGATCCTCCTAATTATCGTATATGAGCTCTCAAAGAGTTCCTTGAGTACTATTCGAAAGCCCTAGTTCACGCGCAATGTTAATCGGTGTGTAGCTAGCACGCTCAAACGACGTGTTAGCTAAGTTTTTTTTACTAAATATGTTCCGTCCATGAAAACTACACCATTCGATGCAGAGTTAAATTCTGGGTCGAATGGTGTAGTTTTCATGGACGGGACATATTTAGTAAAAACGTTTTTAGTTAACATATCGTTTGTTAGTGCTAGCTTCGCACCGATGCAATATTATCAGTGAGAAGTACAGGTATGTTGAGTACGAAGGATAAGAGACCGCGTAGAAGCTCACTCTTGTTATCTGATAGAAGGATTACTTCAAAGTACGTTTATGAAGATTAATTCCCTTTTCTGAAAGAAAGGGTTATAGCGTCATAAACACAGTCATGAAAATCGATAAAGTTTGTTTGTTTGTTTGCATAATCCAATCAGATTGCAGTGTATTATAAATCAATGAAATTTCTCTATACTCATAAAAGATTGACCACTGATGAGGTAATCGAGGTCGAGGATCTCGAATCTGAGGTTAAATTTAACTGATTATTAACTATTAATTAACCACAGGTTAACTAGCGAAGAATTATTAATGTATGCAGTAAGGGTTGACCGAAGGGTAATCGAGGTCGAGACTCTCGAGTCCGAGGTTAGATTTAACTGATTATTAACTATTAATTAACTACAGTTTAACTAGCGATGAATTATTAATGTATGCAGTAAGAGTCGACCGAAGAGTAATCGAGGTCGAGGATCACGAATCCAAGGTTAGTGTTGATTGATTAATTATTAGTTTTTCTTTAACTAGCCACGACTTATTAACATCCATTGTCAGAGTAGACCGAAGTATTTTTGACGTCGGGAAATTCGAATTTGAGGGTGAATTTCATTTTATTCGCTGAGCCTGGGCTTGTTCCTTCCTCTTTACAAAGGAGATATTTTTCTTTAACTGTTGTAAAATCTTTTGTAGAAGATGGTGAGCTGAACGCTATTCACGGACGTCATGTGTACAAAGATAGTAGCTCAAGAACTTACACGAAAAGATCTAATGTATTGTGCATAATGATGTTTCTAATTGAAGAAATCCGAAAAAGTGATATGAGCTTAGTATCATCTTTGTTTTGTAGGCTACGTACATGATGTCCTTTCATGGGAATTTAGTGGAAGTAGTTCTCAAAGCGATATACCCGTCGGTGGAATTCTATCTTAGTAACTACAGACGCGTGGACTATACAAACAGTATTCTGAACACATGCAGCGCTATGAAAGATGTTCGTTTCGAAGCAAATCATATAATAAGACTTTCTTATCTAGTTTCTTTGGGTAGTCGAATGAATAGAAGATCATGACTGTCGAAGCGACAATAAAAGGAAACCCAACCGTTCAGTTTGGAAGTTGATCAAAGGCGAAAGGAATAACAGAGACAGCATGGCAACGGCTAGCCGTGAGTGGCCGACCGAAGAGAGGTCGACGAACGACTAGCCGTTTGAATGTTAGATTAATCCTAAAGTGTACGCTTAGAATAACCTTGCCAGGCTTCAGATAATTTTGAAAGGGATTTGACGAATGGATATTTCTCAATGAAAATATTCGACAAGGTATCATTTTGTTGGCAGGAGAGAAAAGAATCGGATTATCGCTGGAAGACACAGGCGAATGTTCAAACTTTTCAAGCAGTCTACTGTATATCATCCGTCTATGAGTGACTTAGTAGAGCATTTATGAAAATTTCCATGCGCGTGATATGAAAATAGAAAAACAGATGACAAAGGTCAATGGTTGGCCGTGAGTGGCCGTCTGACTAGCCGTTGAGCGATGAATTTTTCAGTCAACATAGATAGTGCTGGAGAATTATCCACTGACAAATGGCTAATCGGTCTGATTTCTAAAAAGACTTTTGAATTCTATTCATTCTAGTGTGTGACATAGTGCCATGATTGAGTTGAGCACTAGTAGCAATCGCAGTGCGTGTTTTCTCTTTCGAAGTCTCTGAATGTGTTCAGCATTCGGAAAAGTCCTTCAGAAAAGGGTCAGCGAGTCCAACGGATGAGCGTTACTTGTTATTACGTCGCTAGACATTGAAGAGAATATTTTATTTTCCATACTTGCGCTATTGACTAAAGCCGATGTATACGACAGAGGAGAAAACGGATTCTAGAATCCAAAAACAAATACAGAAGATGCCACAGAATCCATGGAATCCGTCAGAATCTATGAAATCCGAGAATCCCGGATCCGCTTTTTCCCCCTTGCAGGAATCGTATCCGACTGTCGGCTACGGCAGGTTCTTGTCGGTTCCCAAAGAAACCGGGTAAATCCGGTAATAGGATCTAGTAACCGGAATACTGTTCGCATGAAATCTCCGGATGGCCCTGGAACTGGCCAGTTCCGAACCGGATTTTTTTATCTGGGTTTTGCAGTTCAGGTAAAGTGACTGTAATGACAATAATATCGTTCATCTTTTTCCCTTCTTTTTTCTGTCACCTCTGTCATACTTTCTCCGGCTCATCTCTCTCTCCCCTATTGTCTATATAAATGCGTGTCTTATTGTGAAATAGGGACATTCTGGTTATGTAGAGTAGTCAATAAGCATCATACCGTGAGCAGCGGTTAATTAATCAACCAGTTTGCTGTTATAGTGACATTGTGATGAAAACAGTGCGTTTCAGACGCTTTCCACATAGATAAATAGTGAGACTAAAGTGATATGCATACAAGCACGAACTTGAATATGAAAAGCTAACGGTTTCAATATAAAAATAAATAACATAAGTATAAATATCCTGACAACAATTCTTGTTGTTTTCTACTCTGTACAGTTCTACATACTTTCCTATATTCTTTTATAATCCTTATATCGCCGATTTCTCTAAGAAATACACTCGACTTTTGTCAGTCGATTTAGATTAAAATGTAATAGATAATTTTTCATACGAAAAACTTCAAATAAAGACAACGTGTCATATGCAACGCATACAGCTTTTGACTTAACAACTTTAAATATATTTTGTCTTTTGAAGATAGCTAAATAAGTGACAAGAAAAAAAAATAGAACATGATGTATTTTGGGTTAATGAAGTTTCCTTTTCTTCCATCAATGTTAATTTTTCATTAATCCTATTCACCCATGTTAAATTTTATTCCACACAGTTCGTTCCGAACACTCTCAGTAGCCGATATTCGTGATGAAGATACTACACAAAACGCTGTTTACCCATCTAAAAAGTGAATCTATTTCGAAGAAACTAATTCACAACCACTGTACGTTTCACTTAACGATGAAACCACTTATTCACCATCCATACCATATATCACCAGCAGCTCGCAATTTGAAAAAAGATAAATTCACCGTTATACATGACATTGATATGTTTCAAGGCAATACATTCATATCTGTTCCAACATGTCATTGGATAGTTCGACTCATCCCATCGCCAAACTCAAATCCTCACCCACACTCAACGGAACCCTAAAATAATTTCGGTTTTTCTCATCCCAGAGTGATACACCGTTGATATGAAATCACCATTTGTTTCATTGCTTAGATCATCGGCATCATGGCGATCGAGATAGCTGGTGCAGTATATTGTCCGCTGTCACCTCAAGATCCACTTCACCGTCTGCATACTCTCGTCGAACAAACTAATAGTCGCCTTGTTCTCGTTCATGCATTCACACGAGAGATATTCGATGGTCATCATGCAATACTAGACATGGACCTAGTTCTGAATATGAGCAGCGGAGTGAGCGACAACGACCGTGATCGTCTCTCGCACGTTGCAGTGAGTGGCGACAACATTGGATACATCATATTCACTAGTGGCTCTACAGGAACACCAAAAGCGGTCAGCAATGAATACTATTTTCAACCCTGTCGCTCTATGTTCATTATTCTTGTAGGTTCAAGTGCGTCAGCGAAATTTCCTAGAAGCCATTCGCTCTCTAGTCGAAGTGGGCACATTCAGTGAGAATGATACAGTTGCTCAAATCGTTCGATGCTCATTCGACATCCATGTGGAAGATATCATTGGAACACTGATTGTGGGCGCCACACTGGTTATGCTTCATCCAGAAGGACCCATGGACTTTGAATACCTAGGTCAAGTGCTCGTCGATCATCATGTAACATACATACATGCGGTGCCGACGTTATTGACTGCTTTCTTCATCTATCTTCAACAGAATGGCAAAAGATGCGCAGCATCATCACTAAGATCTATCTGTTGCATTGGTGAGTGACATGCAATTGGACTCTATGCTCATCTTGTTTCATTCCTTCTGTGATAGGCGAGCCGTTTCCTGTGAAGTTGATTGCCGTGTTGAAGAATAGTGTCGAGAGCACGTGTCGCATTTGGAATTTATATGGTCCCGCTGAAACCACACTGGTTGCTACGTACCATGTCATCGCGTTGACATCGGAGATGAGGAATATCCCGATCGGTTGGTTGCTTCCTGGTTACCAATGTGTGATTGTGGACGAGTTCTCACAGCCAGTCACAGTCGGGGAAGTCGGTGAATTACTGGTGGGTGGCGTAGGTGTTTTCGCTGGCTATCTCGGACGTAAGGATCTGACAGACAAAGCACTCGTCGACATAGATGGCCAATTATTCTACCGAACTGGTGATCTGGTCCGACTCGAAAGGGATGACTTGCTTTACTATGTTGGTCGGAAAGACCATCAGATCAAACTACGTGGACAACGTCTCGAACCAGGTGAAATCGAACGATGTGTGCTCGAAGCATCGTCACTCATCACGAGCTGCGTGGTCGTCAAGTGGGGTGATGATCACTTAGTCGCTTATGTGCAAAGTGATAACATTAACGAGAAAGAACTTCGCAAACACTGTGAATCACATCTCCCTTCGTACATGGTTCCATCAGTGTTCACCGTGCTCAAACAACTACCACTCAACGCTAACGGTAAAGTGGATCGACAACTCCTTCCCATCCCAAACTTTTCGCCATCGACGACTTTTAATAATGAACATTGTGGTCCACTAACACCGCTCGAAGAACTTCTAGCGGCTGTTTTTGTTCGAGCTTTCCACGTTGAAGCACTCAATGTGAATGCTTCTTTCGGGCAGCTCGGTGGAACGTCGATAGATGCAATTTTTGCTTTGTCTTTGATTCGACAGGAAGTCTACCCAAATATGGAGATCGGCCTTCTTCTCGAGAATCCTTCGGTACGGCAACTGGCACGAGCCCTTCAACCGTTGCTCGTGGGTAAACCAGACGAAAATGAAGAAGAAAAAGAAGTCCAGAGAACAGAAACGATAGCGCAGCTGATTGAAGATCAACGCCGACCAGCACCATCCTTGTTTATCGAGGCAGTGGGCATTGTGTTTCTTATATGTCAATGGCTATATCCAATACTAATAGCATACTACTCTTCGTACCGGTTGACATGTTTGCTTGTACCTGTGAGCCATTTATTATCGTATGTCGTTTGCCGACGTCTGCTATTTTGGTCCAACGAAGAGTCGGAGCGCATTGACCTGTTATACTCATGGCGATACTATCGATGGCTGTTTTTGGAGCGACTCTGGTCGATAAACAACTCCTACTGGTTGCAACACTTGTTGGGTACGTCTTTCTACAATTCCTATCTTCGACTGTGCGGTGCTCGCGTCGGCCGTGGAGTGCAGATTTATTCGACGTGGATTGACGCCCCTTGGTTGCTCGATGTGGGTGAGTCGACGTTCATCGGCAGTGGCACCATAGTGTCAAGTTTACTCTATCATGATCAAGCGTACGAACTTCAGCCGATTTCGATCGGATCGCACTGTTCCATTGGCACTCGTTGTGTTCTTTACGGTGAAGTCAAAATGCAAGATTATGTGCACATGGAATCGATGTCGGTTGTGACAGGTTGCTATTCGTCGGCAAATGGACATGCATCAATCAAAGATCGGTCTTTTGCATGGCACCAAACCGTCTATCAACTGGTGTGTCTTCTCTGTCTTGCTACCATTCATGGTACTCTACTAGCTCTGGCCTCTCTTGTCTATGGATTCTTCGTGGCCTTGTGGGTGCCTGCGGCGATGGCTCTCGCTTTGAGCTGGCTGTTTTGGAGTATAACTGGCCTCTTCGTCGTTTTGTTCTCGCTGAAGTTTATCGTCGGTCCTCTGACACCCGGCAAATATTCTATCAACTGCTATAGTTTCTTGCACAAACTGTGGCTGCGTCAACTGTTAATTTCATCGTTTCATCACTCATATGAAGTTTTATCTTCTTTTAATGCCATCTCAAATGTTCTTCTTCGTTGGTTGGGTGCACACATTGAGCACGATGTGAAACTGGCAGAATTTCAACCTGTTCTGCAATTTCCGTCGAATCTTCTTAAAATCGAACGCAGCGCGACAACTTTTGCAGGAGTTACGCTTGCTCCATTTGAAGTAACATCAGCCGGCGATTGTCATGTTGACATCATCACTCTCGGCTCAGCTACGAACCTTGGCAATGTTTGCACGCTCTTGCCTGGTGTACGGCTTGCGCCTAATACAGTCGTCGGTAATTTGACTCGAGTCACAGAAGAAACGCAATGTTCAGTTGCCAATACAGTTCTACTCGGAATTCCCAGTCGTCCAATGCCATTTGTAATGCCGGATCCGACGACATTCACCAAAGATGCGTCTTTACCCGCCTTCCCGTTCTTGCACACCCTCATGGCGAACTGCTCCGTATTCTTGTTCGGCAAATTTATATTCATCGCAACTTATTCGTTGCTCCCTACTATTATCGCACCATTTGTTCAAGTGATCATCTCGTGTGTCGCGTACCACTGTTTAGTTGCACTCATGGGAACAAAATCAACTCTAACCTATTCGGAAACAATTACTCACGTGCACCAGTTTATCAGCACGATTATGTCTCAACTGAACATGTTTGTCGGTCCGTTCCTTTCACAAACACAATATCTTGTTTTTCTGTTGCGCGCTCTCGGTGCTCACATTGGACGAGACGTCATTCTGCCGAATCTCGGTTGTTTAACTGATCCTCATCTGGTCACCATTGGCGACCATGTCCGTCTACATTCTGGGGCGTCGCTTCAGGTAATAGACGATTTTCATTCTATGCCGTTATTTTCATTCTTACTCATTTTAGTCTCATACATTTGAGCAACGCTTGTTCAAATTGGCGCCAGTTACTGTGAACCAGTCGAGTGTATTGATGAGTTATTCGAATGTGCTCGCTGGATCAACGCTTCATGGACGAAATCGTCTTCTACCCTTCACACTCGTCATGAAGAACGACCAACTGGCTCTCAACACGGTTTGGTCGGGAGTACCGGCCAGACAAGTCGTCGAACAATGACTCTTGCACGCTTGCTTTTCCTTTGCTTCTTGAATAATTAAATCACACGAATAATACTTTTGTTTCTTCTTTGACGAATTGCGAGAACTATTCCTAGTTGAACAATACGACAAGATCGAATGACATGTCACACCTCGGTGGTGGAAAGAAAATGCAGGAAACAAAGATGAACTCTAGTTTGAATGTTATGATAAGAGATATAACAGTAAAGGGACTATCGAACATTGATCACTTTCTAGATGAAAACTGAAGAAGGTATTTATATGGATGAATCCAATGCGAATGACTCTCTATTGATCGCATCGAACAAGTAAATCGAACTTCGGTCCTTCTTCGATCTACTTCGACTATTTAGAAATGTCGAACAATCAACAGTAGCAACCAAACGATCTTTGCAATCTGTCCCATTTTTTAGTTTGGTAAAAAGATCTTTTCCAACTCTTAGCTCAAAAGAATGTTGTCAATTATATTTCAGTTCCGGCAATAAGTAATTGATAGTTGCGCATGGGAATGGTGGCCAGATCTCAACTCCCATACTCGGATGGGTTGTCAGATTTTCAAGTATAGAATCTGTTGATTGAACGTAAGAATTAGACTATACAGACGTATCTGTTTTATTTATGACAGAAGATCCTCTTCGTTTTCTGGTATAAAAACGCTATCTGAACTTTGGACAAGTGGTGATCTTTTGATGTATTTTCTTTTGTAGTTGTTGCTGAATTGTGCATTCCGTCGAGACTTCGCTGACAATGATCGTCTAGTAAGAATTTTTACTGATGCACAAGCACAATAGTCTAAAAAAATAATGACTATGCTATCGACTAATGAGTGAGTACACTTTCTAATGGCGTAGGAGTAATTAATCAATGTTCTTTTGTCGTAAGCACCTTTATTAGAAATTTGTGCATAATTAGACGTGTAAATACGCATGTGTTTCTACGAGAATGGAAGAAAGGGTAGCAAAGAAATAAAAGCCATAGTAAAGAAGAACACGAACGAAGAAAAAAGAAAATCACAACATCGGTGGCGCGCACCACGTATAATCAATCCATGTATTTTTCGATTACAGTAATAATTTCTTGGTATATTGTTTAGAAAAATGAAATTTCACCGAACAGTTAACATTTGATCGAATAATCGCCTGCACAGCTTCGAAGGAAAATTTTCAATTATTAGATTACCTTGCTTTGAAAATCGATACCTTCTATCACGCTGAGGCTGAGAATATTCGAAAAACGGACTGACTATGAATGCATTTTATCTTAGCCGACTTTCGTTGAATATATCGTTGCCTTCAAAAGTGACTTAGGCTTCAGATACACTATGAAAAATGAAACAGCATTAAAACTGAATTGAGCAATACGATTGGTGATTGAACATTTAAGTCAAGAATCTGAATTATCGACCAGTCTGCTCACGATTGATATATATATGTGCACAATGCACGTCTGCTCTCTTCACATTCTCTTATCTTTCGTTCGAATTTTTCGGTATATTGTTTCTTCTCCACTTTAGCCATATTAACTAGAAAAGCATGAACGACCACACTCTCAGGTTTTGGCCTGTTCCTTCAAAATCATCCTCTGTGGTACTCACACCAGTCTTTGATGTGTATCTCACACAATCTGTCAATTTCAAGGAAACAGGACGATACCGTACTCTTATGATAAAACTTCACGAAAGAAAGTAGAATGAAACTATACAAGTAAGCAGTAAACGTTTCTGTTTTTTTTATCAAACTGTACATTTTCTTAAGTTGATTGAGCGAACTTTGAATAAAGATGTGAACCAGATGGAAAAGGATATTCGTACTCCGTGAAAAAACTGTACCTCACTAAACCTCTTTTCGGTACCATTTTCAGATCCTTATTTGTTTTAGCAAGAGTCTAAAACCATTTTTGGTTCACTATCGCCCAGATTATTTTAGAGAGTATAATGTACATCAACATATGTGCCGAAGCTAGCTACAAAATAAACCTTTTCTCCAGTAATTCATTCTTTTCTTCATTCTTGATCTATTTATTTTTATCTAGAAGCGATGAAAAGTTTTCAAATAGCGATTAATTTGGGTTTTGAGTTATAGAAGAACAGTGAATTATTTCCGACGTACCAGTAAGTTGACATTTTCTTGTCCATCATCGATCCATGTTCTTCTGCTGTAGCTATGCAAAATTGGCGAACAAAGTTCGATCATTGGAAGAAGAGAAATTAGCTTGTAAGTGCACTTAACAATACTAATGGAAATATTTTTTGTATTTTCGATAGGTAATATTCACTGTGACCGAGAGATTCCGATTGCGAAAAAGATTGATGTCGATAATTCTTCTATCTTCGTATTTTCATTTGTTTAGAACGCGGTTTGCTTCGCGATCGGTTGCAATCTACTAATCGTTGAAGGAGAAACGCTAGAGGATCTGATTCATTTGGAATTATACAAAAGTGATTTTTTTTGTAAATTCTTTTCTTTGGTTTAGCTGTCTATGTTTCCGAATATATCGTTTTTGCTAATACTAACGTTTTTTTTCATTATGCTTTCATTTTGCCGTCATTTAACTGGTGTTGTTTTTCAGTTTTATCAATGAATAAGAAAAGACTGCTCAGTCACATATTTTTCATCTACCTTTTGGTGTTAATCGTATCGAATCAGTTACTACATTTCGAACGTAGATATAGCCTCCGAAAGCAAACGACAATAGTTTTGAAATCTATTGACTATGAGGAACGTTCGGAAAGTGGAAATGTCTCGCATGCTAACTTTAGAAAATACTGAATGGTAAGATGTGTATATGCTTATAAACGGTGCGAACGAATTTGGTTTCCTAGCAGACCTCATCAATGTACTAATAATCATCAGTTTTCTCTTTGTCTGCGGTTGTCTGTGCTCAAAAGACAAATCTAATGTATAACATATCTCTCCTTTACTATTTTAATTGGACCATTGCTATCATCCATCTGATGTTTATTTTTGCTAATTTTTATATTTTCTACGTTTAATTCAATAACGGTATTTACGTTACTTGATGTGCTCAACAAAATCACTACCAAGTTTACGTATGTCGAAGTTACGCAGGCGATGAGCAAAAGAAAAAGGAAATGGGATACATTAAAATGCAATAAATGGTTTTCACGATTACTAAAATGATATCCTCCAAACTGCGCAGCATTCCAACAAAATTCTTCGTAGACAGATCAAAACCAATATTTCTCACGTATGCAAAATCTTCCTCCATAGATGATTCCAATCAAAATAGCAGTGCAAATGAAGCTTTTCTCGGTCCAAAATTACAGTCAGGTCGAAAAAAGGTCAACGCGGTGTCGTGTCTAGACGACGGATAGAATCTGGAAATGACATTCCATGCATACGCTCTTTTTGCTATTCGAAAACTATACTTGAGTTGTACATGCGTATTTGGACAAGACGTGGTGTGTATAATTTCCACGATTTCTAGCAGCAGAACAGAAGTCAATAAGGTTTCTCTTGTTTTTTTTCAGATTCTCTTAATTTTTATTCCAACAAAAAAGAAAAGAAAAGAAATAGGTAATAATAGTTTAGTACAACAAGAAAAAGGTACGAATTAAAAAAACGACAACGATCAATCATGAATCAGAGACATAGAAGAAAACAAAACCAACCAAGAAATGTCTTTGTGATGATAATGTAAAAAAGAAGGAGAAAAAGACTCCACGAAACACAAACAAGCGTTTGGTTAATAGAAGAAGATCTGCGCGCCAGATTGCCTGTTTTATTTGAAGGTACAAAATATGAAAAGAGCAACTCCACCGGTACGATGTGCTCTTTCACCAGCGATGTTTTTTTTTCACGGCCTAAGTAATGATGACACAATAAAAAATAAATAAACAAAAAATATAATCGAATATCAAAAAGAAGAGTGACGAACGGGTTAAGTATGAATGACAACAGGAACAACGAAGATGAACAACGAGAATGCTTTCCACCAACAAAAGAAAAAGAGAATGACGATGACAAAACCGAAAAAAAAAGACAGGCTGAGATGAATGAAGAGAGAGCGGAGAAAAAAATCATACAAAATAAAACTTGTGTACAAAATAAACGGATACACGAAAAGAGAAAAAAGGGCGAATAGAATTTTTTTTGGAGTGTTTTTTTTCCAGTTTTTTAACAAAAAGCCCACAATATATGTAAGAAAAGATTGCACAAAAAAGAAAACAAATATATAGAATCAACTATGACGAGTAAACACACAAGGAACTGTGTTTTGGGTTTTTTTTTCAAACAATTATCAGAAAACAATACGAGATCATCCAACGTTTTATCCCCACTAACAACATTTATCCGAAAAAAATGCGCTAGGTCTTATGGAAAGAGTAGACAAACATATGCGCAACGTTCACAAAAGAGGAAAGAATGAAAAAAAAAAACGAATGTACACAAAATGAAAACAACAATCAGAATAAGAATATATGGATTAGTAGTAATCTTCCTTCGAAATCACCATCTTCTCTACTCTACCAACGAAACGGTAATGTACGAGGACGATCAGCGCCTTCTTTTACCAAAGGTTTATGATATTCTCGACCTGAACGAGCATGAATTGATGTCCAACATGCTTCACAATAATATTGTAAACAGGTCACGTTTGCACAGAAGAACGGAGCAAATTTTCCGCCACAACGTGCACCTGCACATTCATCGCATAATTGATCATCGAGGACATACGGTTTAACTTCAACCTACAGAATTTTTATGAGAAATAAATGAATAGGAAAAATTATCATGAGCGACGAACTCGTTTATCGATGTCTCCATGTTGTAATTGTACAAAACGAGCAGATATTGCAGCAATGTAACTTTGTTGGTTTGAGAAGGCAACACGACCGGCGCCTTTTGGATATTTCAACTCCGGGTCAGTGTCGATGCCAGCATAACAAACGCCACCATACAGACGATCCATTATCATAGCCAACTCAACTAAAAACAAAAGTGATTATGTAATTCAATGACTAATCGTTGGAACCAAAGCTATTTTGACAGAGATCAACGAATTTTGTATAACCCACATTTGCTTATTTTTAGCTGCACGAAAATAATGGCAGGCTCTCTAACTCTACGGTATCAACCTCAAAACAACATTATTAGTCTTTCGAGCAATGTTATACAATGTTCGTAGACACCTAAGTCCCTATTCTTTACTGCAATTTCGAGACACGTTTGTTGACGAAGAAAAACAAGTCCTAACATAACATTTTCTTTACCTGCGCGTAACGGCCGTGGAACACCGCCGACAAAAATGGTTTTTCTTGGATCAAGTGGTTGTGTGCCATCCATGACGAAATCCGAATCGGCTAATAACCACGGGCGTATTTGTACAGCTTTATCCTTCATGCTTGGGCTTGATACACACATGTAAAGTTTCGAGTCATCGATTACACATTCATCAATTAATTCTTGCACAGATCGTTCGTATGTAAAAATAAGAAAAGCATAGCCTTTTGGTGGAAAATACGATTTGCTTTCTTGTTTATGTGGCCAATCGACAATCAACGGACCGAATCGTTGAAAATGCGCGATAATTTCCTCTAAATTACACAATCACACTTTACTGAAGAATCAAAACAATCGAAATTCTACCTTCGTCGATATCCGGTGGTAAACCGCCAACAAAAACTTTGCGTGAAAAACGCTCTTCTTTATTCATATCCATTTGCATTGCACGTGGTGATGAGTTAAATAAACCTGTTGTTGATGACGATGATGTTGGCCCACCAACGGACATTAGACCTTCTGTATCAAGCATACTACCCATTCCGCCTTCCTCATTATAGACACGCTTTGTTCCATCATTTGAAGCATTTCGCATCATATCCATCAGCTGTTGAAATGAACTCATATCATATGCATCACCGGACTAAACGAGAAATAGACGCGAAATGAGTAAGGAAATGAAGTAGAGAATTTGTTTCTACATTGATCGGTGGAAAATTTTGTCCCATATCACCATTGATCATTTGCGATGATGTTTGTCCATTAGTTGCCGAAAGAAAACTACCCATGACTGGCGTGGGTCGAATTGGTTGGTTTTGACCTGCGGTTGCTGCTGTCGATGACGGAAGAAATGGAAAGAAATTGTTTTGTCCTTTTTTCGGTTGAGATATTGGAATATTCGAATTAGGTAATGACGACACCGGACGACGAGATCTTTTAAAGAATAAACAAAAATAACCTATAAACTTTATACATTCGTCAATGAAGTGAAGCATACGATGTTATTGGAAAACCATGTGAAATAGATGATGTATTCCATGTTGGCGATTGCGGTTGTTGTTGAAGATGGGGTGGTGGTCCGATCGATGATGTTTGACTATTCCATCGTCCATTTGAAGGCATAGATAGACCATTGTTTCCGCCTCGAATATTTTGTGCTGAAAAATGATGTGCTGCAGTGATTGGTCGTCTTTGTACTTCCTTTAAACAAAAATCGAAATCATGTGAAAACAAAAATTCATAGAACTCTTTACTTGTTGGTACGACATTTGTTGTTGCATCGTCATGAGTGGTGTCGGTAATGATGTTTGCGGTTCAAACATTCGACTACCATTATGTGGTACATCAAACGGATGATCACCGGTGGCTCCACTTAATGGATCAATAACGTGACTCCATGATGAATCTTGGAATGTCGATTGAAGATCAGGAAGTACACCATTTTGATAATGATGTGATGCTAATTTACCATCATTAACAAGACCATTACCATTGATGCCGATTTGTTGGTCATTGTTCAGGCCAATTGGTGGTGATGCTGATGACGTTGGTGTTGTCGATGTACTATTGCCTGTATTGACAGGAAGTACAAGTTTAGTTGTCGAGGCTTCGTTACTCATTGGAGTAGACGAATATCAGCTCGAGATTAAGAAAGACCTAGAAAACACAAAAACATCCAAAAGAGATATTTTGATTCTTTTTTAAAGGTAACTGTGCTATTAGACTTTCTCCCAACTAGATGATAAATTATTTTATTTATTGTATGAAATACTCTCTGACTGTGTGTGTGTGTGCGCGCATATACTTACTACACAATTAGAAAAGAATAAGGACGAGTGCGATTGAACTACACAACATCAACATTGTTTGCTCACGCTTTGAGATGCCGGTTTCTTTTTCTTTCTCCGCAAGATGTTCTCAACGAATGACAAAAGAAGGGGAAAAACGACGGCGACGACGACGACGAAGAGGATGAAGAAGAAGAAGGAAACTACTTGTTCAACATATTTCTACAATACTAGAGTCACTAGATAGATAAAGGATCGAGTTTCAAAGCAACAGACTCGCTATTAACGCTGATCGTTGTCTTTTTCTTTTATGTCCTGCTTTTCAATCAGCACACACACACACGTCCAGTAACAATACTCTCTTCTTTGTTTATATGTCTCTCGGCCCGCTTCATTTAACGCCACAATCATCATCAATATTGTTACGAGTTCTCTCTATTCGTGTCATTTAGTTTTTCTTCTTTTATCTCTCCACATATATTGTCGAGAAAAAAAAACTGAGCGAGCCAAGGGCAGGAAAAGAAATATTCTATCAGCTGTTCATAGAAATTGCTCTCCCCTTTCGCTCCTCGTTGTCTTCTCTTCTCAATGCATAAGAGAGAATAGTTATAACCATCTGCTCAATGGATCTGACAAAGTCGTTTTTACTTTCATTTTTCTTTTCATTATGAATTAGCACAAGAGAAAGGTGTGATATTTATTTAAACTATTATACTGATAGAATAGCAAATGTAGAACTATTTATTCAAATTTAATAGAAACGTGTGTTCATCTATTTTTTTTTGCTCTTTCTAAAGAATCCAAATTCACGCTGTTATTTTGTGGACAAAGTATCAGAGATTAAATTTATTGTTTTTCTCATGACTGATCTTAGATAAAACAAGAATTTGAATATCATGATCGAAGCCTCCAAGCTATCGAATAAAGAATTCTTGAAATCCGTCGGAGTGTTTGATGAGTTTTTCTTCTTCCTCCTCGACGAAATGATATGTTGATCAGGCGTTGTCCTTATCGTCGATTATTACTATTATGTTTTTTTTTCTTCTCTCTCTCTATATTTGCCGCTCTCACACCCAACTCATCTATACTTTTCACGTTCTATTCGTGATGTTTTTCTCGCTACGAGTTCGTTAGTCCTACATCACACGAATCTTTCAACGTTCAATTCCTAGACAGCTTGATCCAACTAATACTAGTAGGACTTCTGAGCACGAAATCAATGTCATGACATCGTTTTTTTATCAATCAATCTCGTCCGATCGAAGTCACTACAAGGAAGTTTCATGAACAATAGTTTGATGAAAATGGAGAAGGAAAAGGACTTTTGATGAGCAATTACCTTTATGAAATTGTTCGACGACTAGAAAACTTGACCGTCCCCGACTGGATAACACACGCACATTCAAATATAAAAAATATTCAATCTAAAATGATAAAAAAAAGAAAGCAAACACTTTAGTGCAGATCTTATAAATGCATGTAAAAAAACAACAACAACAACAGAACACCGAGGATATTATTCCATTTTATCCAATTGATACTGTTCATGCATATTACTTAATTCATTCATTAAGTGTTCGTACATTTGCTCATCGAAGTCATTTTCTTCCCAACGTTTCGAGAGTAACTTATAATTCATCTTTTTCATTTTGATTAATAACTTATCGAAAAACTCAAATGAAGAATTGTTGTCATTGATTAAACCAGTTAACAATGACATACAATCGTATTTTTCTGTCCACGAATTTGTCGATATGAACATTTTCGAGCTATATTGCTCACGTAGATATGTAGCGATTAAATCAGCAGATGTTTCGATATTGTTGAAATTATACAATGCATGATCGTATAACTGTTTCTGTTGGATTCCGCGAAGAAAATAATGGCAACCGATTGGATTAGTCATTGGAAATACATTTTCATTTGCCGAATTTTCCAAATAATAAAACAACGTTCGATGTTTCAATTCCAATGGAATCTTCCAAACTAAATTCAACAGATTCTTCTTCATCGGACACAAACGATCAGCAAGGAGATCCAGCGTAACATCCGATGATATTAACGAATGTTGAATTGCTAGGGCTAAGTTATCCGTATCCAATGAGTCTAAACATGGCACCGTTGGCATTTGATTTTCGTTCATTGAATGAACCAAAGACGACAAAAGATTTAATTCGGAAGAGGAATTTCCAAGACCAAAAGACCACATCGGTTGTTTCGGGCATTCGTCATAAAGGTAATCTTGAATCGACGTAAATAAACCAGAAAAACTATTATTAATGTCATACAAACAGCGAAAACTTTGTAAGCAGTCACACGATTCTAGTAGATAATGTAAGGAATGTTCTGTTTGATCAAACATTTTCTTAAAGACTTGTTCGCCAACTGGATAGATATCGAAGTGATTTTCTTCCGGATTTGGCGAATACCAATAGTCAACTAATGGAAGCAAGGATTTCGGATGAAATTTCGCACGCGTTCTTAATCTATTGGACCAGGAATTTTTCTCCACTGAACGTTGAATAACTTCAATTGATGGATCGTTTCTTTCGGAACGATGGGTATATTCGTTTTCATCCAATAGATTACCAAAAGCATTTCGATAATCGATGATTAAAACACGTGGTGATGGAAGATTTGTTCTTTGGTTAAATGTAAAATATGTATTGTAATCAATTAACGTGTTTTGATGCGACTGCTCGATGTCCAGCTGATTCCAAAAATGTACACCGACGTTATTTGCATAGTTACCGATTTGTAAAGTCACAATTTCGCGTACCATATCTGAAAAAATGAATGATTCGACAATAAATCGCATTTCTAGACTCTCGAAACATGAACAGACAATAGACCTTTCGATCTGAGTGTATAAAATAGAATCGTGTAATTGAAAATGTCATCTGCAAGAGTTAAATGTATCTGCATTTCATTGTTTCTCTGCAAAACTCAATGGATTATTGTAAAAAATCTATTCATTTACTGACGCGTGTTACAAAATTACCGCTAACTAATTGAAAATTGACGCCGTTCGTGTAATATGAAACAAAGCATTGCAACTGAGGACGAACTGAGCAAAAAATAACTTTAAATAAATCTGTCATAGGTCATTTCACATTTTAGAAGAAAATTTTTACGTCAGAAGGAAGTATGTTTCGCGTGTTAGATATTTCTGCAATGTCTCGTTTGAACGAGCTATGACCTATATGTATGTGCGCTTTTTCTTTTTGTCAGGTCGATTATAGAACATGATGAAATGACCAATAGTTAACATGTTTGATTTTTCTTTCCTTTTCTGTGAACGAATGCAATAGAGAAGAAGAAAGAATTTCAGTTTAATTTGGGCTCGATGTCGACGTGTCAGTCATTAGGACATATTGAACAGGCTAATAGAGGAAATCAACAAAAGAAAAGAATTGTTTTAATGTTGAAGAGGATTTTCTCCGCGAACAATGCTAATGAAAATTAGAACTAGGCAATATTCCATTTCAATTATGACCTGTCATTCTCAATGCTACGGCGACGTAATATTAATGGTTCAAGTAGAAAAACAAGATTAAATATTAGAAGGGATTGTTGTTCTTACTTTGCGGAAATAAACGCTATGTAAAAGTGGACAATTCTTTTATTGTTAACAGAGATTTCTTAGTTTGAAAAGGTCTGGTTGAGTAACGCGAATCATAATTGGTATGAATTGTTGATGGAGCTGACAAAAGATGAATAGAGAAAAAAAAATAACAGTAAACAATTGATGATATCCCACCAATAGTATAACTTCTTCTTCAAAAGCCGTTTTCTGAATGAAAGAATGTTTTCATATAAAAATCATTGCATTTTCTTCAGTAAGTTGTTTGGTTATTTTAATAAACAAATTTTATTATGTTTATAGATGTCACTCGAACATCGAAGATTGGTTGATAAATAACATCAGACGAAGAAGAATATGTTCTCAAGAAGTGTATTTTTGGAAAAAATATATCCGATTTTGCATTTCTCGCGACTGTAACAAGCTTTTCTTTTGTCATCAGATTAATCCTAGCCCACTCACCGTTCTCCTAAGAAAGAAGAAATTGTATTAATTATATTTTGATATAGATCAATTGCGCAAAAAAAACAATGTCGTCATCGACGGAGCCCAAATCTCCTGTGAATGAACAAGATGATACCGAAACTACTTATAGTGTTAATGAAGAGGAAGATGATGGATCCGAAATGGATGGTTTTTCTAATGTTAAACCGAAACTTCTAAAAACGCCAAGTATACTGAATGCTATTATTGATCAAATACATCCTGATGTCATAGCAAAGTTCGTTTTCGACTAAATGAGATTTCTATCTGACTTGTGTCATGTTTATTTAGATCCCATCAATCGAATTTTGTCCTATTTCCTCCGAAACTAGAAGGCTGTACGGTTGTCGATCTTGGCTGCGGCGTGGGTCGCGATGTTTTTATCTTATCCAAACTTGTCGGAGAAAACGGTCATGTTTTTGGTGTGGATTCAGACAAAGAACAAGTAACTATAAGAAATAGTTTGAAATGAACTTGGAAAAGGAACTGTTAATCAATCTATCATGACAGACAAAACAAAGACGAAGAGATAGCCCTTCCTCTAGAAGCAAAGTTCCGTTCTAAACAAGTTGATAAGCAGACATAGAAATGTTGAAGGCATCAATGAATATGACCAGTATGTAAGGAAAAAAGATGAGAAAACTGTTGAGTTCATATTAGATTTCAAATGTATCGATGTTTCCTTGGAAACCGATCCTTCGCTTACTTTGTGACCTTGCTACTAGAAAACATAAACATTGTTGATTACTACTAAAAATCGGAATTTTCTTTCTCACAAGTTTACGACTGAAAAAAGGAAGTATATCATTAAAATGTGTGCTAGTTTGGTAACACAAATAATTTGCTATGCTCTTTTTGTTCTATAGTTGGATTTTGCTCGTCAACATGTGCATTACCATGCGAAAAAATTTGGATTATCGAAAACCAATGTGGAATTCATCGAAGGCGAAATCGATCGATTAGAAGATACGAAACTGAAAGAAAATTCCGTTGATGTAGTTGTGTACGTGACGAAAACTAGCTTTGGTTACTTCACTGTATCTTTATTCGTATCTAGATCGAATAGTGTTGTTAATTATCGAAGAGATAAAAAGGCAATTATTGAAGGTGCTTGCAAGATTCTCAAGGTGAGCATTGACATAGTTGTACATTGAATAATCAAAAATATTCAACTTTGTTTTCTCTGTAGCCGGGCGGAGAATTTTACTTTTCTGACGTTTACGTCAATCGACCAATACCCGCAGAATATCAAGAGTTATTATCTGGTAAGAACGAACATTCTCTTATTAGAATAATGTATGCAATGACTGGCAAAAATCTTTAGGCGAATATATTGGTGGTGCACTTCGCTGGGAGGATTTAATTTTATACGCTACCGAAGCAGGTTTTACGCAACCACGTCTTGTTACTGCTAAACCATATGTCGTAACAAACGACGATATTCAAAAGGCAATTGGCAAAACGAAATTTGTCTCAGCAATATTTCGATGCTTTAAGTTGCCCCACGTCGAAGCAGAGGTCACACCATTCAATATTCCCTATCAATTAACATATGAAACACCTTTAGTCAGTGCCGAAGATGAATTTTTCTTCGATCATTCATTGCAATTCAAAGTAAATCGAATAATTTTTACTAAACGTAAACATTACTGTTTTGTTTTAGCTGGGAGAACTCTTAGTTGTAGACGATCCGTCTATTGCATTTGCACTGAGTCTGTCGCGATATAAAGAAAATTTTACTTTCGATCCAATTGCAGACGCAGAAACCGTTACAGTTATTGAAACAGTCGAAGAAATACCAGCGGTAAGATGTTTTCATCTTTTCGGAATTCCACGTATTGTTAAAAAAAACTCCCATTGATTCATTAGGGATTACTGATAAGAGAAGTTCGATTTTCTATAAAGGTCAGCATGATTTTTTGAAGTGAATACCTTACCACTGCATGTCATCAAGTTGCAAAACTAGAGAAGTGTTGCACTGAAGTCTTGTGTTCGGTTTGCTCGCTTTGCCTGTCGACTGAAGAACAAAACAAAAACATAATAGATCGATCATCAAGTCTTCGGAAAACATAAGAACACTTCTGTTTTAGATAGATTATGAATTTCATCTGTGGGGAACGTTAGAGAAGATACTGTTCTGTTTTGATACGAAGTATTCGTCTCGTTAAAGCTTCGTTGCCTATGTCATTTGTTTAATCTTCTCACGAATAGCATTTCAAGGCGGACAACGGTGATGAATAAGTTGTAGCCTTCTGCCTGAAGACAAATACTTCTAATTGTATATCCTAGGTGTTCCTTCAGCTTCAATACATAAGATATTGTTGATATAAATCTAAAAATAAATGTGCAATGCTTAACAGATCATTAGTTTTTAATTTTCTTTTTTTTTCTTTTGCAGGCACAGGATAATGATGACACTAATAATGGTGGAGTCTCTCGAAAAACAACAACAATAACAACAACGACAATGATACCAAAAGAATAACTTATATAATCAAAAACATCTGTATATAAATATGAAAAGAGAAACAGACTCACGCACCTTCATCATTTTCTTTTTGTTGCTCTTTCCGGTGTTCACATTTCTTTCTTTTTCTTGTCTGGTTTTTCTTTTTAAAAAAAACACAACACAATGTTAATCCAGCGTGACATTTTGCTATATGCTCAGAAGAAAACTTATCAGATATTTAAAAACAAAATTCAACATTTTTAGATAAATCTCTACTCGATTGAAACCGACGAAGAACTCACACGATGAGACGATGAATTGAGATTCAAAACATCTCAAACACAGAGTGTAAGTATGACTTACATATCATTACCTTCTTGTAATTTATATTTATATTTATTTTGTCATTAGATATGTGGTGGAAGCATATCGATGTCGATTGATGAAAAACACCTGTACTCACAAGTTTTTCTTCTGAGAAGATTGGTTTTATAATAATGGAGAAAATTAGATGTTCAAGTCAAGATTAATGATTAATCATTTAGCTGAACTGAATCTGATTTGCACATTGATCATTTATCACTTTTGAATTCAAAATCAGGTTTTATAAATTGATAACTTCGTTTTCTTCCTTCTAGATCATTGTAGTCATTATTTTTGTAAAAGTCATTTGATTATTTTTCTTTCTACTGTGTCCGACGAAGAAAGTAGGTAAGTGAAAGACTTCTGACATTGTCATTCTACTCAAGTAGATTGTACGTGTTTTATTCACTTGGGATTGGTCCTAGAGAACTAATCGGATCATTTTTTACTTCTTCTTTGTTAATGAAAATACTCGACAAGAAATCTTCGGAGATGAGATTTGATTGCTTTTTCTCGATAGATGTACAATGTTAAACGAAAGAAATATTCTCAAGATAGGTGAATGGAGAGAATACGCTTTCTGAATGAATTGCGTCATACTGCCACCTATCAGCATGTTTCGACTATCTTAATATGTGTACTTTGTAATCTTGTTTTTTTCGTTTAAAGTACTGGCCCATGTTTGAGAGACTTCCAAATGTTGCAAGGTATTTTTTACAATGAAATGAGAAGAAGAACAAGAAAAAGAACGAAGAAGAACATGTTCTATGCTTTTCGAGCCGTTCTTCCATACAACCGTCTTCTTACTCTATCTCAGTCGACTCACTTGTTATTTGTCTTGATCTATTTTTCTTCATTTCTGTCGTATAGTCTTTGACTCTTTCTCTTCTTCTTCGTTTTCTTCATTTCTTTTTGTCGTTGATAACGTAACTTGAAAAAGATGCCACATCGTATGCGCAAGATTGTTTCGAGATGTCGACCACCATTCATCGGAAGACGACATAAGCGATACACACTCGATCCTACTCATCATCATCATCATCGTACGTGCTAATATTGCTCTTATTATTTCTCCCTTTCTATTTGATTTCAAGTGTAATATTGATTTAAAATGCGTCGTCTATAGACATATTTTGTTTTTCCTTCGATCAACTAGTGAACCACATCTAGTCACATCTTTATCTTTTCGATTTCAACACACTCATATGTTGTTCTTTCTATTTGGGAATATGCGTTAATATTACGTTCTTTACGCACAGTCACCCATGCTGTTTGTCGTCATAATGAGTACATTGACTAAGTCAGTAAAATAAAGGGAAATGAATGACAAACGCACAAGAAGACTTCCTCGACTCATTTTGTTGTTTAATTATGTCGATAATAATAATTATCGCAGTTGCTCATTTGAATTAATCAATGAGAATGAAAAGCTAATTTTTGCTTCTCTTTTAGACTCAGACAATAACCATACTGATAGCACCTCGGATTTGAACATTCCTGATAATGTTTATGTATCAGATATATCAAATTCACAATTAAACTACTCGTCACAACTATCTATAAATTCTACCAAGAAAGATCTTGGTAAATTGAATTATTTGCATAAGTTTCTTTTCATCAAACAATTTAGACGATCCGTCAACTTTATTACGTTCGAATAATTCGGCAATAGTTTCTAAGATGCAGAATACAACTAGTTCGCCTAATCTAAGTGCGATAGGCACTGGCATTGTTCCACCACCAATGCAGTCTCCGCAGCAACAACATATGCAATCGACAACACCATCCGCTGCGAATGGAAAAGATGAATTTCGTGGTTGGTTGTACAAATGGACAAATGTAACACGTCAAAGACTTTCTTTGTATTCAGTGACACTTTCCTTTTTTAGTATTTGAAAGGTTATCAAAAACGCTGGTTTGTTTTACAAGCTGGCATACTATCATACTATCGTTCGCAAGATGAAATGACTCATACTTGCCGCGGCACAGTTTATCTAGAGTCGGCACACTTATCATCAAATGATTCCTGTCATTTTGTTATTTCGAACGGTTCAACTGTACTACATTTACGTACATCAAATGAAAACGATAAACAACGTTGGATGAGTGCGTTAGAATTAGCAAAACAGAAAGCATTGAAAGTTCGAAAACAATATCATGATTCGGATGAGGAGATTTCGACTGCTGACGATACTAATAAACAACAGCCAGTGCAAGTTAGTTCACCCAAACCCAGAAAACAGTCGCCTAATGCAATTGAACGAACAGAACTAGCGACGATGAATAAAACATTCGATGCCAAGTTAGAAGATCTTAAAATGTGTATGGATTTGATTAATCGACATTATCAAGCACTTCACCGCACCCTCGGTGATTTGGAACAAATCGATAAATCAGAAGGAACGATTAATACAATCAAGAGTGTCAATGAACGCGCAACCTTGTTTCGAATTACGTCCACGGGTAAACGAAGACAAATTTGCTGCTTTTTCTCTTCTACTAACTTTCGTTTTTTAAGCAATGTTGAACGCTTGTCAAGAGTTAGTACAATTAATTCAAGGCCAAGGTCGTAAATGGCAAAAGGCAGTTCAATCTGAGCGCGATGCACGTGTGCGTATGGAACGTATGTGTGAACAGGTCGCCTCTCAAAGTGCAAAATTAGAAAAACAGATTCAGCGTGCATCGCGGATGGATAAAACTGTTGCAAAATCTCCGGATCCTCGTACTCCAAATGAAGATAGTTGCTCATCAGACAGTGACGAATTTCATGATGCGGAAAGTGTCTTTCGTATTCCGTATGTGCCCTACGTTAGTCTGATGAGAACGAATTCGATATCATTTCCTTTAGACTTCAACATACATCAGCTAATGAAAAACAATCAGGTAAAATTGTCGATGGCGATGTTAGCTCGTGTGATGACGACAACGGCGACAATGATGATGAAAGTGAATCTGAAGAACGTAAACAAGAGAAATTACCCGTCGTGATTGTTAAAAGTAGGTTGAAGCATTTTTCGACAAAAAGGTGCTCATCGTCTCAATCATATTCAGGATCAAAGCAACCTGAAACATCTACAAATGTTCCATCAACAACTGTCATGAAACCTACTGAAAATACTGTTACGACAACCGGATCGAAACGAAAACGTCGTGACCGTATCCCTGAACGACCCAATTTCAGGTTTGTTATCTTATTGCTACTTTTCTTCGTTAGATGAACAACAAATTTCTTTTCTCATTTAGTATTAATCTATGGAGTATCATAAAAAATAGTGTGGGAAAAGATCTATCTAAAATACCAGTACCCGTTAACTTTAGTGAACCTCTATCAATGTTGCAACGTATAACGGAAGAACTCGAGTACAGTTCTGTTCTTGACATAGCTGCCAAAATAGATGATAACTGGGAACAACTAGCCTATGTTGCTGCATTCACTGTTTCATCGTATTCAACTACAGCAACGCGAGTTAATAAACCTTTCAATCCATTGCTTGGTGAAACGTATGAATGTGATAGAACAGATGATCTAGGCTGGAGAGCATTAGCAGGTAAAGATTCTAAGCTCTAGTTTTGTGTTCAAGCTTGATGGATCTTGTAGAGCAAGTTAGTCATCATCCACCAGCTTTGGCAACACATGCGGAAGGCCAAGGATGGACTATGTATCAAGAATTTACCATGGGATCGAAATTTCGAGGGCAATATCTGAGCGTAACCCCATTAGGTAAGATAAAAAAGGCTATGTTGATAATCAAAAAAGAAAAGTGACATGTCTCTTTCAGGCTACTCTCATCTAATATTTAAAAATACTGGTAATCATTTTACCTGGAAGAAAGTAACTACATTAGTAAATAATATCATCGTTGGCAAGCTCTGGATTGATAATGTATGTGTAGAATTTCAATTCGAACGAATGCACATTTGAATATTACCTCATTATAGGTTGGAGAGATGGATATTATCAATCATACAACAAAAGATGTTTGTAAATTGAAATATTTTCAATATAGCTATTTTTCGAAAGATGTTCCACATAAAGTTACCGGTGTTGTCACAGATTCCAATTCGCAAGCTCGATGGGTTTTATCTGGTAATGAACAGATGCTTATGAGAAATGTCTTCATCGTTGTTTTTCCTAGGCACATGGACGGAAAAGATTGAAGGTGGTCCTGTTGAATCGCCTTCGTCTCGTCATACACATTCTCATCATATGGAAACGCATAACATGAAAGTTTTATGGCAACGCCGAATGCCACCAGCATATTTAGAAAAGATGTATAATTTCACTGAATTGGCGATTGAATTAAATGAAGATGAGCCAGGTGTTGCCCCAACTGATACTCGTCGTCGTCCAGATCAACGTTTGATGGAAGAGGCACGTTGGGATGAAGCGAACCAAGAAAAACTTCGTTTGGAAGAAAAACAACGTCAAGTACGAAGACAACGCGAAAACGAAGCAGGTGGACATGATCTATATAAATCGAAATGGTTCAAAAAGCAATACGATCCACTGACGGAATCAGACATGTACGTCTATACAAACGAATATTGGGAATGTAAAGCAAAACAAGATTGGTCAAGATGTGATGATATATTCTAAAGAAGGAAATTATTAATTATTCAAATCATCTATTTGTTTTTCTTTTTATTTGGGTTCCTCTCTCTCTCTCTCTCTCTCTCTCTCTTTTATTTATTATTTAATAGAAACCGTTTTCTTTTCTCTATTCGTTTTGTTTCCATACACGTACATTTATTTATTGTTTGCTATATTTGTTGCAAAACACATGTTTTGCCTCTTGGTACTGTGAATTTTTTTAAAGGAAAATAGCAATTTATGTAAATGAGAGAAAGAAAGAAAGAAAAGCAACAAGTTAACAATCTTGTTTCGTTCCTTTTTTTAATCCTATAATTAATATTTTAGATCAAATAATACACGAGAATGAACAACTACTATCCGGATGTCTTTCCAGAATGATTGTCTCCCTATCAGTCTTTTTTCTATATTGCTTGTGTTCGACGACGAGTGAACTTTCCATTGGTAGGTAACATCTTTGATAGCTTACATCGTTTCATTCATCGTCTGTATACAATTGTTGAATTGTTCAGGTCATGATATCGGTCAGTACTATTCGAAGATTGGTCTCTATGAATATGTTGATTACTCGAATGTCAAATTTCTTAAATTTAATATCTATGGACCAACAACTCTAGCCAATTGGTCTGTTACTATCAGTACCGAGGGAAAGTGTTCCAATTATTTCCCTAAGATTCATTTGTATGTTACTACGAGCTGATCTTTGCAAGATAATCGTTACTTTCTTTATATAGTGATCTTCAATACGGTGCTTATCCATTGATTAGTCCACTTAATGAATCATTTCCTGAATCGTATATATCTTCACGTCATGATTTGTTGGTAATGATATTCAATCGAACCATTTCCAACGGAACAGTTCAATTAGAAAATCCTTTGATCGGAACATGGTTCGCTATGGTAAGAAACGCTTTTCCATGGAAAGCTTTCATCTTATTAACGAGTATTTTCAGATATTTATAGAAAAATTACCAATGAACTCGAAATCTAAGGTATGCAACAGATCTGAAGATGACTATTTCGTTTTTTTCTATTGGACTATCCAATCTTAAGATATCTTCCAGTGACTGTAACCTTTATTTAACAAGTTGGCTTGATTATCAAGCAGTACCTGTTTTACTAACACTAACTATCGATCAGCCACTATCAATTATTTTGTCTAATAATACAACATTCGTTTACACATCGTAAATATTTTACACTTCGTGCTTCTCTATTCCGCATGAATAACCTAACACGTCCTTCAGACTTTTTCTGATTGAATTTGAAAACTCAGTCGTTGAGAATGACGATTCACTGGCTTGCTCTGTTCCGTTATTAATATTTATATTGAATAGATGTATTCTTTATCTAGATACTATACAACAACAAGAAACACTCGATTAATTGTTCTTTCTAATTGGACATCGGACTGCGCGATCACGATATTCGCACGCATTAATGCTCTGCCAAGTTTGTTTCAATACGATTATCGAACAAGTTCGTTTTCGAGAAAAAAAACGCTTTGTTTGTATCAGATTATATCATTGTTTAGCTTGTCAAAATTCTTCATGTGTAATGGAAATCGATCAGTTAGCTGCATTTCTTTGGATATACTTTCAAATAACAGTGAACAATTCAACATACCAAAATACATCTATCGCTGGTGATATGCTTATTCGTTTCCAAGATGACATCCAAGATATTCAGTCGTATCCAACTCGACGAATTGTTCGCAATTTCTACTATGATTTTATATATGTACCTTTACATACAAATAGTAGTACTCATTCCATTGTACTTAATCAGCACAATGCTTCGATCTATTCGTATGAATTCATTGTTGATGATAAAAATATTGGTGGAACAATTCATTTCGATTTTGACACACAACTAAAGGTAAAACAGGTTGTGAGTGAATCATATATGAAATCTCTTTCTCTTTTTCTTGTTAGTCTTTCAATATATCGAATATGAATGTCAGTATTCTCGGCTGTTTATCAAAAAATCAACCGCGACGACATCGATCGTGTGAAAATGATTATAAAATACTCCTACAGCAGAACTCGCTCACCGTCAGATCATTGCCGTATCCTGAAATGGGTCTCTGGTACCTAACATTAGAATATGCTTGTAATAAGTAAGACAATCCCGAATAGATTTTCTTAAAATAACCTGACTAATCTTAGTTCAAACAATCAATGTGATAATGCAACAATGTTAGTTAATTTTCAAGTCCTATCATCACAATGTACTCGACAACAATGTGGAATCTATGGCGTATGTCGCATAATGATATCGCAACAGAATATATTTTCAGCTTGCATTTGTCTAGCTGGTTAGTATCGATGAATAACGGTTGAACTTAAATTTTCCCATTTTCATTTAGGCTACCGCGGTTATGGTTGTACCGATAGTACTTATTCACACGTTTCACGATATCTACCGAGCGTTTTGTTTTTAACATTGAGTAATCTAATGTTTATTCCAGCGGTTGTGTTTGCCATTTACAATCGCTTATATATCGAAGCGTTGGTTTACTTTTTTAACATGGTCTTTTCTACTGTAAGTTGTCTGAATACCGAAAACTGCTTCTGTTTGCAAAAACGCATCGTATTAAATAGTTTTATCATGCTTGTGATCAAGAAATACGACGATTTTGTATTTTTAAATATGATGGTTTACAATTATCGGATTTTATTGGTTCATATGCTTCCTTTATCGTTACATTGATAACAATTTCGTTCATACCTCGTTCAATCAAAATCTTTCTATTCATGTTAGGTGTTCTAACATGTGTCGTGATCAATTCCCGTGATCGTTTCGACAATATACAATTCATTGTGCTCTTATCCATTACATTTAGTTTTACACTTCTAACATGGGTATGTTCTCAATGTTGATGAAGACGAGAATATTATACTTTGATGTTTATATAGATTGTAATATCGGTTAAAAAACGTCGTTTACAATTGACAAGAAAACGCCTCGTGTGCATCTGCTTGGGCTTAGCATTTGCAATAACGGGACTTGTTCTATTTGCTTTTTTTGAAACAAATGACAATTATTGGTATATACATAGTCTGTGGCATATGTTCATGGCCATTTCCATTCTATTTTTCTTGCCACAAAAGAAAGGTAAACGAAAACTATGACTATGTTCAATTGTGAAGTTTTCTGTTTCAGGACAAGGTACGCAGCGAAAAAGATCTATTGAATTGAATTTAAATGTTACATCTAATCAATCAGTTGGCGTAGTGAACGAAGGAGCCATATTACCAACCATTGAGACAAACAATCAACGTGATATGAATACATCTTCTACAGCTTAAATGTGATCTGATAGAACTTTTATTTTTGTACATGTGTGCATCCCGTTTGATTTTGACACAATGTATGTCCTCCAGATGTCGCTACTGTATGTAATTTAATTCAGATTATTTTTAAGAAAAAGAACGTTTCTTTTGTCATAATTTATTCATGAATATTAATAATCTACATGAAAAAAATAAACTAACAGACGTATTGGTTAATCTAATTATCAAATCACACGATCAATTCTTTGTTGTATCTGCCTACACAAGGATGATTGGCATATCGATCTGACTATCTCCGTTGTTGCCACATCTATTCTACGTGGCTATAGTAGAATTATTAGTAAAATCTCCAATGATTTTGTTAGTCATCCAAATCATAGAATTTTCTTTCTAGATTCTCCCCGTATGTGTACATATCATGGAATTTTGGAGGAATATCCTCTTATATCTATCGATTCGTTTGAAACACATAATTATACTAGTACGATGTTTTTCATTACACATATTCACATGGACCATCTTGTTGGTCTAGAACGACCAGAGTTCGGTAAATATGTTTCAAAAATCAATGCACCAATATATATGTCAGAAATCTCCAAACAATTGCTTAGCACCATGGCACCGTATCGACATCTAGTCCCATATTTTAAGACCGTTCCAATCGATCAACCGTTTGCGTTAACAATTCAATCCAGCGATCCAGTACAAGCAAAGAAAAAAGAGGGGGCAGGTAGAATGGAAAAAAGAGAAAAAATCTAATCGACAATGAAATTGTGATCTGCTTTTTAGCGAATGACAGCTTGAAAAATACATTGTCTTCTCGTGCGCCTGATGTTGGTGAATCGATTTTAGTCACATGCTTCGGTTCAGGACATTGTCCTGGTTCAATGATGGTCTGGATTGAAGGTGAACATGGCAATGTGCTGTTTACTGGCGATTTTCGGCTTTATCGCGGACAAGCCAAACGTATAACACATCTTCACCGGCGACGAACTGAAGATGATAAAGATAAAACACATGTCTTCAAGCCAATTGATAATTTGTACATTGATATGACATTTTTTCGGCCAGATATTTTACATATACCTACGCGGGAAGTCAGTTGTGAAGCATTGATTCTGTGGATTAAAGGTTTAGTTGCTGATAAATCAAACACAGCAAATATCTATTTTAAAACTAGGTAGAATATCTTTTGTCTTAACCAACACCTAAATGTTTTAACCTTTTTCTCGGTATCATCTAGTGCACGTGTTGGCTATGAGCAAATCTATCGTGCGCTGTACGATGGTCTTGGAATGCGTATTCATGTTGAACAGGGACAATATGATTTCTATTCGTGTATACCAATTATCCAAGAATGTTTAACTACAGATCCGAATACCACACGATTGCATGCTTGTCGCACATCTGCATCGAATTTCGCTCAGCCATGTTCATTTTTTCGTAATTGTGATAAACCTATACGTGTGCTTTTATCAATTATGTGGTTTACAGATCAAATTGCAGCTGGTAAGACGGAGTGGCATGGACTTTTTCTTGATTATGATCGACTCTTCTCAATATTTAGGTGAATTATTAGTTGAGTACCATAAGTATCATTCCAATTTCGAACAAAGCGTTTCAACATCGAACAAACGTTACTTCATAGGCTTTCAAGATTATGGTGGTGAAGGCGTTGATGTTTCCTATTCAGATAAATATTTAAGTTATCGCCTATGTTATTCTCTTCATTCATCATTTTCGGAAATTGCTGATGTATTAAAAACATTGAGACCGAAACGTGTCACACCTATCTCAGCCCCACTTACATCACAAATAACATCAAAGCGTCTTTTTCAAATTATTGACCATTACATTCAAGATTCAAATAAGTCAACAACGGCAACGATAAAAATCAATGAAAAAATCCAACGAAAACCTATCAATCATCAGTTACAAATCAAACATCGATACGAATCATTCCAAACGAAAGTCGATAGGAAACGAAAGAAAAAAATGATGAAAGAACAACAGCAACGAAAAGACGAAGCAGATGACGACGACCTAGATTTAGATATCGACACCGAGGGTGACAAACTACTTCTACAACGAGTAAACTCATTGAAAGAAACGAACAGAAAAGTAACCACAACTGATTGTAAACAAACAATACGATGTAAGTATAAATCTATTCGACTCTAACCACTCATTCTCTGTATTTAGCCGTGGCATTGGAAATACCAAAAATTCAAGATGAAAAGCTGAAATTTGACATTGATTCACAAGTTCAAACAACAATCGAAGTGAAACTTGAAGATAATCCATCTTCAACACGTCAGATAGCCTCTCCAAAACGAATTCAAACTGAAGATAGACCTACTTCAATACGCTCGAACAATAAATTAGATGCAATTACTTCGACTCTTGATTCGGCTATTGAATTGCCATTAACACATCGGGAACGTACATTGTCAGATACATCGTCCACTACAGTTGATTATGATTTTGATAGAGAAACTTGTAAAGCACTTTGATCAAATATTTCAATTGTTTTTCTTCTCAGGAATAATAAATTTTTCGAATTTATTTGTTTTTTTTTCTAGATCATGGGTTCTATAGCTTTGACTGTATTGACATTGACTCTAGGTGCATTCTTTATGTTTGTCGGACATTTCAAAGTCACAGACAAATTTTTTCCTGATGTATATGAAGATATGGTAATTGAAACCGGATTAGAAATTTTATTCATTTACTTTCTCCTCGTTTAGAGAAGAGAATTCGGTCGAGTTAACAATGTATTTCCATTGTATACACAAACAGGCTGGCGTCCATTTGCTAAAAACTATCGTCTAGCAGTTGGACTTGCGGAATTTATCGGTGGAGCTGTACTCGTCTTTGTACCTGGCCGACTTAAACAAGTGGCAAATGTTGTTCTCCTCGTAGTTATGTTGGGTGCTGTTTATACACATTATGCATTACACGACAAATTTGAACGTATCGCACCTGGCTTGGTCTTTAGTCTGCTGTTATTAACGCGCTTGATAATTCATCGTCAAGTAACACAACGAGAAAAACGTTTGAGTGCACAGAAAAAAACAGTCAAAGTCGAAACACCCAAGAAAAAAGTACAAGAAGAGGAGATCGAACAAGAATCGGACGATCAAGAGTCACCAAGTGACGACAGTGAAGATAACCAACAAGCAAAATCTGATAAGAAGACTGATAAAAAAAATAAATAACCTATTTAACATGAATTGTACTCTATATTTCATGATTTATGTACCTGTCTGTTTGTCTTTGCTTATATATTGATGTTTGTTGTTTCTTTCTTTTTTTTTAAAAAGCGTCACATACTAAAATTTGCTAACAAGTTCTTGCTTATTGTTTTCTTGATTTAGATGTCGCATAAACTTTGGTCACCGCCTTCGGGCGTTACTACGAATATTGATGAGTTTCGAGAGATTATTATGAATAAATATCAAGTGAAATTAGGTATCAAATACTTACTTTGATAACTCAAGATATGATTTGCTAGCACTCAATTAATTTAGAATCTTATTGGGATTTATACGAATGGTCAATAAATAATATTGCGAAGTTTTGGGAAACATTCTGGGCCTATAGTGATGTTATCCATTCTACACCTTTTGAACAAGTATGTTCATGTGTACTGAAAGACAGTTGGTCTATATGTGAACTGTTTAGGTATTAGAAGAGAATAAGAGAATGGATGAAATTCCACGTTGGTTTGTTGGTGCACGTTTGAACTATGCTGAGAATCTTCTTCGTTGCAAAGATGATCGAGTGGCCATTTATTCGTGCAGTAAGTTTTATTGTTGATACGTATTCTTGTATGATAAATAGTTTGGTTTCTTTTGAAATCAAGTCGATTGTTAGATAAAAGGTAACAACTCGATATTCTTTACATAAAATTCGAAATCTGATTACTACTCAGCTTGTAGTCTACAGCAGAAGGTTCTTATGTAAATTACTCCCATTGATCTAATGAAAAGAAAGATTATGGAACGATTTGATATCTTGATTGTCTTTTATAGGCGAGGGTGACGCGTCGATTAAGAAGTTGACATTTGCTCAACTGAATGAACAAGTTCGTCGTTATCGGGCTGCACTTCAACATATCGGTGTAACAGTCGGTGATCGTGTTGCAGGTAAATCTTTTATATTCGTGAAAAAAATACAAAGTTCATCGCATTCGATGTTAGTTTATCTTCCAAATTGTCCTGAAGCACTGATCATCTGTTTGGCAACAGCTAGTCTTGGTGCAATCTTTAGTGCTGCATCAGCAGATTTTGGCGTTCTAGTAAATAAAAATCTTGTCGATTGTTTTTCTTTTCTAATTTGATTTGAAATGCACAGGGTGTTACAGAACGTTTCAGTCAGATCGAGCCCAAAGTTATCTTCGGATGCAATGCTGTTGTTTACAATCGAAAAACACATGACTCATTAGCTAAACTTCAAGATAGTGTTCTCGGTACGTCTATCATCATTATTCGACATTGAAATATATACGTGAACACATTTCGATTCTAGCATTACCATCACTACGATTTGTCGTCGTCATTCCATTTGTACACGATTATTCCATGGATCTCAGCACCATCCCGAACAGGTTTTCATCATCATCTTCATGTCAATTTTCATCCATAGACGTTTTAGTATTACAATTGATGATTTTCTTTCGTTGCCTGGTGATGCTACAGGACCATTAGAATTCGAACAAGTACCATTCAATCATCCTTTATTTATTATAAGTATCTTTTTTATAATGTTCGACTTATTCTGATTGTTTTCTTCGGCGTGTTTACATGTATTCATCTGGTACCACTGGTGCGCCAAAATGTATCGTGCATGGCCATGGCGGAACGTTATTAAATCATTTAAAGGAACATCGGTTACAGAGTAATATGAAAGATGGAGATATTTTATTTTACTTTACAGGTAAAGAAATTTTCGTATTTGTTCCGTGTATATCAATATTTGCTGATTTTTAGCGGTTTCTTGGATGATGTGGAATTGGGTAAATGACGAGTCGTAGTGATACACTAGTAATTACATATGATTTCCTTTAGTTAATTTCATCGATTGCATTGGGTACGCCAATAGTTCTCTACGATGGCTCGCCAATTGTACCTGATTGCTATCGACTTTGGGATTTGGCTGATGAAATCGGGTAAGAACTACTTGTCTCTCTATGAAATAAATTAAACTTTTTCAATTTAGTGTAACCATCTTCGGTTGTAGTGCACGCTACTTAGCAGCATTAGAAGAACAGCAGGTTACGCCTCGTACGCACAACAAACTCAATACCGTGCATACAATTCTATCGACTGGTTCCCCATTGCATGCCCGTATCTTTGACTATGTTTACAAGGAGATAAAAACCGACGTATTATTGGGTTCAATCACGGGCGGAACGGATATTATGTAAGAAATATTTTGTTCATAAAAATATACTCATCGATATCGTAATAGCTCTTGTTTTGCCGGTGTGAATCCGACTCTGAGTGTTCATCAAGGAGAAATACAATCTCCTCATTTAGCCATGGCAATTGAATGTTGGGCGGAAGATGGTATTATTATTTCCTTTCTTACAACTTTTTAATAATGTTGTTATTCTTCTTCGTTATTGAAAAGGAAAAAAATTGGAAGGTGAAAGTGGTGAACTTGTCTGCGTCAAGCCATTTCCTTCGATGCCCGCTTCTTTTTGGAATGACCCTACGGGTGAAAAGTACCATCGTGCTTATTTCGATAAGTATCCAGGTGTGATCTTTCGCGCGGTATTGCCTTTCGCTAAGTTATTCTTTTTGTTCGATAGGTGTATGGAATCATTCTGATTTCTGTCTGATTAATCCAGTTACTCGCGGTATTGTTATGCTTGGCCGAAGGTATTTTGTCTGACTTTTGCTGAATGAAAAACAATTCTAGTTGTTATTGATTTAGTGATGGTACACTGAATCCTAATGGCATCCGTTTCGGTTCCGCTGAAATTTATTCTATTGTCGATCAATTCAATGGTGAAATTCTTGACAGTTTGTGTGTCGCTCAACGGAATCCAACAAGTGGTAATGAACGTGTTGTTCTGTTCCTGAAGGTAAGTAGAACATGTAAACGAATGAAAGAACGAGAGAAAGAGAAACAAATTGACGAATATTTATTCTTTATTCGAATAGGTAAAAATTTGTTCGATCTAAATAAGATATAAAACATGCATGATGTTGCTTGTTTTCTTTCAACTAGATAGAATTGAGACGAACAAATAAGATTTTATTTGGTAGATTTTGAATGATACAAAAGTTTTTCTTCTTTTTTTCCCTTTAAATATTCATCAAACGTTTGACTTTATATCGTCGCCGAAAATAAGAATTGATGGGTGACTGATCGAGATAATAGATTGTTTGCCGGTCTTCGGTATCATCCATACCATTACTATCGTCGGTTGTCAATTTGTTCAGATGTGAATAAATATCGTGAATTGAATTGTCTCGACGAACAAGTTTTATTTTAAATGCATCGTAGTAATCCTTCACAGCTTTGAGATAAGTTTCAATTTGTTCTTTGGTTTTAAAACGTAACGGTCGTTCGGGTGGCGGTGGAATATCAAGATAAGATGATAAAGCACATGAAACAAGCGCAATAAATAATAGGAGAATTATGCACGTATTGTTCATTCTGAAGAAGAAAATAACCTAGTTTAAACTTCCTACATGCGTTTATAAAAGAAAGGAAAACCTTTTCTATGAATACAATCGCCTACTTTGATCGCAATTAGCTTGAGGAAACTAGCATCTAGTAGAAATGTCGCAGGAAATGAATCTCATCTTCTCTGTGTATGTGAATACATGTATTTTTTTGATGACTATTCGTGAATTAGAAAGAACAAATGAAGCGTGGGCTTGAGTCACGTTATCGGGATGTTGTTTCTAATAGAATTTTCTTATACCGATCTTCTGGACAGATAGATAGAAATATCAAACGAACGAGAAATCAAATTTAATCAATTACATATGATTGATCATTCTATTTTGATTTACTATACCAGGAAAAAAAACACAATATCATTATCAAAGCATGATAGAGAGATTTAAGTACAAAACTTGTCTATGCGAGTTTGTTCGTATTGCGTCGATGCGGAGAGAGAGAGAGAGAGAGAACGGAAATGCGAGATAAGAAAATATCCTCACCGGAAATATCTTTGAAGATGTAGTCATCTGTTCGTTAATAGACAACATGTAAATTAGACGTTTCATCGCTCTCTGACTATGAGTTTATGAACTGGAAAATCAATTCATGTTCTCAAACATTAAATTTCTATCATATAACTTGGACTTGAGACTCAGTCCACTAATCTAAAAGATCATCTGCTTTGTTAATGAGACAGAAGCTTTTCGCTATAAATTCTACTTGTTATAGTAATGAACACCGAACGAGAAAAACTCTCGAATAAAAGAAGATGATGAAGAAAAAAAAAACTAAAACTTCGAAGACTATTAAATATAAGTAGAAGCAAGCATGAATAAGCACGGCTTTTGAAAGCTTGATTGCGTTTATTCTGCATGACTTTATGTTAAATGGGAGAATAATATGACGCTAACAACAGTTCGACTACACAACTCAGTAATTACAGAGTGCTCATTGATTTGATTTGTTTTGTTTTTATGTCACTCACACACGCAAAAAAAGCCCTTTTGTTTGTAATTATTATTGACTCTTGTAAAAGAGAGAGAGGAACGCCTGACATATCCAACAAAAAGATTAATATGTGAGTTGGACGAATACTCTACCTCTGCTTTCCTTAATTGATATTAAAGCGTATTTTTAATAGAAAGTTTTATCCAATAAGATACTTATTACTTCTATTTTGCGAATAAAACCATGCGAGAACATGAGACGTAGGAGAGAAGAAAAAAAGAAAGAAAAGCAATTGAGTGTTAAGATCAACTATAATTGCTTGCTAGCAGATAATATCGTTTACCGAAACCTTTCGCAACCGACGGACATCAAAATTAACGAGTTTTTTATGCTTTTTCAGCTAGCGTCTGACTTCTGTGATAAGCAAATACCAACTGACGTGACGTGCTCAAGTACTAGATCTATTTGTTAAGAATCCAAGCACAGTATATTTTACTGAAAAATAATAATCTTCGTGAAAGAAGAACCTTCCTCATTGTATAATACATTATATAGCATAAAAAGCGGAAGTAACGATTTAAATTTCCGTAATTTGAAAAAAAAAAGAATAAATCTAATTTTCAAAAAGTTTCCTCCGGATTCGATGAAACAACAAACTTACCGTTTCAGAAACATCATGATTGCCATTGTTCTAGATGGATTGAAAATTTCCGTAATCTAAATGAACGGATGATAGTAGTTCATGAGAAGAAAAATAATTCTAATAGATATGAAAAGAAGGCAATAGCTGTAGAAGATATGTTGACAGCAAACTTTTTCTCCTCCCTAATTCTTACTAATGAAAGTCAGAAAGACGACATGAGTTGACTTCTAAAAAGCAGTAAACAATTATCTTAACTGACATTCTGTGGGTGTTCGTTGCACTTAACTAATGAATTTAATCGGTTAAAATCATTCGGGAGGGAAAAGAACATGATGGCAAGGACTGTTTCATTTCTTTACTTTTAGCTACCCCCAACCGTTGACCATCTAGACAAATCATTGGTTGATCGAATTAAAACGGCAATACGACAACAACTATCAGCAAGACATGTGCCTGAAGTCATCGTTCAAGTACCAGAAATACCTGTAAATATAACCAGTCGATTGATTTGCTCATGCGTTGGGAATGTCAAATTACATCAGCAGATTAGATCATCATTCCCCCTACGTCACTGTAGAAATAGTCATTGTTTGATTGACAAGTTGGTTATTTTAACCATTCGAACGAGCACAGTGGCATCTTTTGACAAAACTATAAATAATGAGACACCTAAATGGATTTTGTACGAGCATAATCTTTTGCTAAACGATGAAAACAAAGTCGTTTTGAAGGTTGTATAGTAAATAGGCAATCATCGAGGGCTGTATGTCACGTTCTTTATACCTTTTAAATTTGCATTAGCGATCATCAGTCGCCCCATTAAATATTTCTTTGACATATCCGATCCGAGAGGAGTTCTTTTGCCAAATCCTATTTGCATCATACGGAAAGCTCGAAACCAAATAATCTTATTCTCGTGTTTTAGTACACAATCAACATGAAAAAAGTGGAAGTACCGGTTCGTCGTATCATTGAAGGTCAAACGATTCACGCAACTGGCTCATTGGCAAACCCTACTTGTCTCGATTATTATCGAAATATACCCGAGTTAACCAAATGGTAATGCCCACTTTTAATCTCATCGGTTGTTATTCATTTTATTCCTCTGTTGCGTTGGTTATCGAGCGATTCTGCCTCTATCAGTCTCCACACTATCTATTCCGATTTCTAATAAAGCCTAGTATCATTTTTAAAATTAAATCCATCGACACAAATCTTCCTGTTCACAAACAAAGCCTTTATTGATCTTTCTACGAGCATATTTTTGTTATTCGATCATCCTAGTCATATGATATTTTGATAAAATTTTAAGCCGTTTAATGTAACACGATACAATCAATGATTGAAACAAGATTCCGATGAGCATTGTCGGTAGCACTTCCAATTTACATATCGTACGGAGATAATGCATTTTCACTCGAATTAACTTCTGAAGGTAAAACTTGTCTCTATGCAAGCATTTGTCCTACTCACTGATGTATTAGCGCTGACAGGGAAGATCATCCTTCCTATTGAACTTGCCTCTATCATGATCTTATGTTGGAATGTTACTGCCTCCACAGATCGTGCTTACTGCCTGCAGAAGAGCGAATCGTCTCTAATCCTTTTTCGTGAAGACGGCATCTCAAGAAAATAATAAGGTTTTCACATTGCCGTTGATGTTTACGATGATTCGTCTCTTTGTTATTTGTGCATAACGTCAGCAACCTCGGGTTCCGGCACGATGGTTCCGGCCGCGTGAAGCGACTCTAATCAGCATAGAAATTTTGTATAAAAACCGCTATTTGTGACGCGAAGGTGGCAGAATTCAATGAAAGAATAAAAATAAGTTTTCCGGGTCAGAAATGATTGCATTTTGGTGTCAGATGCTTGAATAATAAAAGGGTTCGATTACATAGGATACAGATGAAGAAGTATCATTTTTCTTTAACATCTCTTTATCGATAACATGTTTTATATATGTACAAAAGGAAATGGTCGGAAGATTATACAATAAAAGATCATTAAATTAAACAATCTCATATCACAGTATCGACGGTATGTTTTTTTTTCTTTTTCTGTTTCTCATTATGAAGCACCATGTTGAAATCATATGCGAAGAATAAAAGGAAGAAAGGCAATAAAAAAATAATGATCATAAAACATCAACAATGAAACAAGATTAGCGAAAGAAATCGATGAAGAGAACGGATTCATAATTTGGATCTTAAATGATATTGATCAATTTGTCGTGCTGTCTGATTCACAACTTTGATTAAGCGATCTAGCACTTGTTTTGGTACGTAGCAATGTACAGGTAGGTAAATCACATGCTCGATCAAATATTCAGCATTCGGACATTTATGGCAATCATCTATACTTACTGGAACATTATCTGTATCAGTTAATTGTTTGGTAATAACATTTAATTGCGTAGTGCCACGATAAGCATCAATATGATGTTCAGAAAGCATTCGAACAAATATGTCAGGTTTCGAAACAATGATTGGGAATAGCCAAAAGTTCTTTATTGGACATTCTAAGCCAATGAATTGAATATTAGGTGTTTTGTTTAGTTGATTGATAACATAAAGGGCATTTTGTTTTTGCATTTGTAAATGTTGATAATCGTATGTTTGAAAACGGTGCGCGAGAAAAGCAAGCAATGGACGGCACGGTTGACGACGTAAGGAGAGAAATAATTCTTCAGGTTTAGGAGGTTTTGTAAATGCTCGAAGGCGACTTACAACAAATTCCATGTGATTGATTTTAAATAAACGCACTAAATACATCAATGGCTTGATTACATAAGGAACATTCAATAACCAAAATAAATAAAAATATTTTTTCACATTAGTTGCATATTGTTCGATCGATTGAATTGGATCTTGATTGAATATGTCTCGCATTTTCTGATAGAGATTATAATCGGAAATCTTAGCTATACCACCGCCTAATGATGTACAAAATTTCAAAACACCAAAACTGTATAAAATCAAATGAGAACGTGGATGTCCCGTGTAACATGTTGGATGATGATCAGCAAATAGATTTGTTGGGCAGTACATATCGAGTGTTGACCTAGAATAGATTGATTCATAGTATGACTCTTGTGAAACGTCGTGTTTCTTCGAGTACTTCAAACGTAAAAATCTATCTTTACACATATTATTAGCAAAATACATGTGACACGAGAACACTAATTTGTAATTTTCTGCAATCGAGTCGCATGGTGTGAGAAGAAAAGATCAAGTTCATCAACAACACAACTCATCTTACGAGGCAGGAGGTAAGCTGAGTTTTTTTCCTTGAATAGTTTTGTTTGTAATGGAGAAAAGAAGATCTTACTTGTTGTCTTTCGTTGAACACGAACAAAATCCCGAAAAACTCTCTGCGCAATCTTCGATAAAATAAATATTGCTTTCGTAGGCTAGATCCACTAATTTTGAGACATCGACACATCTACCGTAAATGTGAGCGTACACAATTGCAACTGTTTTCGACGTTATTAAACGTTTGACGTTATCTAGATTCATTTCTAATGTATCTAGACTAATATCGCACGGGATAACTTTCAGCCGATGACATTGCACTAATGTGATCATAGATGGAATATTTATTGCAGACATGATAATTTCACTTTGTTCAGGAAATTGATTGACACGTAAGAATAAGTCGAAACCGGTTCGCACACATAGTAGAGGCAAATAGTAATGTTTGCTATAGTGATTTTTCTCCAACCAAAACTGAGTTAGGTTGTCAATTAGCACTTCATACGATGGAAGACGTTGTTCGTTGCGTATCAATGAAGAGATCGTCCAAAAATCGCGTAAATTTATATCGAGAAAGATACTTTTATAGCTATCCAGATAATTTTTCATTTTATTGAACTACGAAGACAATGAGTGACTATGCTGTCATTGATTTTTCATCGACGTGATATATATATACGTTGCCTTTATGCTCTTCCTGAATTCATGACTATTTGTAAAAGTTTCACTCAATAAAAAGAAATAAATATTTGACGCGATGATGGACACAATCGATTGGAGTACCATCCTAAACGTTCGAACGATGCAAGAAAAGATGGCGCAGTATGACTGCTATTTTTAGAATGAATGTTGATTACAGTAAAAATACTGATAGTTTCCCTTTGAAAACGTATTTACATGAGATAAGAAATCCACATTCACCGTTAATTCTTTAATATTGATAAACTTACATCATTTAGATGCATTTCTTTGTAATTAATAAATAGTATGGTAGAGCAATAGTCGTGCTTTGAGAATATGAGGTCATATAACAAAAAAAAATGACAATATATATTTCCTGTGTCTGCTCACCGCAGTCGACTGTCGGATGAGTAAGTTTAGTCGTTTCCAAGCAAAATTTGTCACGTATCATCTGAATTAATCGGATGCGAAGAAAAAGAAACGTTTCGTTATTTGTACTTTGGACACAATTAATTGCGAACGAAGAAAAAAAAACCGTCACTTATCAATTGGGTAATTTTCATCGACAGATTCTTGTTTGATATGTCAAAATTTTGTACGACTGATTATATCTTATGCGATAACGGCCAGTTAGTAAAGTCATATTATTCGTTTTCGTTTCATAAAAAGTAAAGAGAAATAAGCATTATACCAAATGAAATTATTTTACGATTAATAACCAGTACGAATGTATCTAAATGTCTAGGATACCTCGTGTCGCTTTTGTTCCTTTTGCTGGATTATTGCAATTGCCTATTTTATTGCTCAAACCGAGAGAAATCGAGCGTGAGACAAAATACGACTTTAGTTTTTTATATCCTCGGATTTTACCTTTCTACTTGAATGATTGCCCTTTACTAGCGCATAGGTCCTTCACTTTTATAACATGATCGCTCGTTCGATTAATGAGCAATCTTATATCATAACCCTGTATCGTCGATAACAGGTAATAGAGAGAGAAAAAAATATCCGGATATAAAATTATAACTCTCAAGGTAGGATCTATTTTTCTCTAATACAAAGAATAATACACGACAAGTAAGGTGTTTTGAAATATGCACTAATAATTTGCATGTAGTCTCTATTTCAGAAATTGACCACTTACATCGAAATAATAGTAGACTATCATGTCTCGTTCACGTGGCACAACTGTAAGTGGTAAATCAAATATACATCATGGTAAGAATATTGATGATACGACATAAGTCTTAATAGCGTATTCTGATGAGTGTCAGTAACTAAACGAATAGATGACATGTTTTGATTGCACTCTACGTGGTTAATGTCTGGATATAGCTACTGCCCGGGAATACATCAAAGATAAATATCAGCAAAGTAAATTTCAATTATTTTTCAGATGTCGCAAGATAAATTATTAGACAATGTATATTTTCGTATGAAAATAGCAGTGTTAAATTACAAAGACAAGTTTTTAAATAATCATATTGAGACGGGTAAATAACCTGAATTAGAAGAGTATTCGCCGATAGGACAAATTCTAAAAGACGCCAATATCATTTCCTTGTGAGAATAAGCAAAAGATCGAATATAATTGATAATCTGTTCCTATTTACACAACTTTTGCGCCTACGATATTTACTCCAATTTGTACATTTCAAAGTTGTCTCTCATTGTTTAACAACATAAATACAAGGTTCGCAAATAAATATTAAGACCTAAATCGAGCCTTCGATCGACTGAGTTGATAACAATCGAAAAATACTGTATTTTTTCGTTTTTCTAAGAGTAATTATTCAGTTCGTGTAGGTGTAGTTTCTATCGAAAGATTAATGCATACCTATGTAAGCGTCATGTCATAATTACGTTTTCAAAGATCACATTGCTTGATTGATTATACTTATGAGTCGTTGACATCACTAATAGACAACTTAAATAAATTAAGTTTGAATCATCCCATAACAAGCGATGATGGACACGAATATTATGCAGCAAGAAGAATTTCATACACAGATATCTTCAAAAGGTTTTTGCCGAAAGAAAAAATGTCGAGTTAATAATGAATAATTTGAATTTCATGACGAACTTTCGATAAAGGCAAGGACATTTGCGGACGCTTTTATGTAAGTAATAGACATTAAGTTAAGACGTTCTTGTTATTTTTTCAATGTTTCATTCCACTTCGTGACATTGTTCGATCAAGAAGATTAGTGTAGTAAGTAATAATTAAACTGATACACATATCTAGAACAATATTTGTCAAGTATTTCTTACCCATTTTATAGAGATCAGTGCTTGTTGACATCAATCTGATTATTGATTTTCCTCTTCCTTCTTTTCTTCTTTGTTCTAATATGCGGAATAGTTAATAGCAAACTTAGTAAATGAGAGTGCAGTCAGCAAAGGAAGAGAAAACGATGAATATATTAATGTCATATTTCACGCGTTTCTTTTCACTTGTGAGGAGACTATGAACATCGGCGACGACGACTGCAAGGAGATGACTGATACTTGTATGCTATTGTTTTGTTCACATAGAAAGATTAGATTTTTCAAATGACGATGAAATTTACATTTGATTTTCATAGACACTGCAAATCGACGTCACTCTGACACTGACACAATGGTACAGCAGGCTCATTTACCAAAAAGAACAGAGGTAGGGTAAGTTTTTTTTTGTCAAACAGTTGTTAAGATTGCAATTTCAAAAAGTCGTGGAAAAACTATCGGTTTTCCTTGATACTCACATCAGTTGATGATTTTATGTATTTGTCTCTAATAGTCACCTCGGGAGCCTCTGCAATCATGTGACGAAGAAATTCCACAATTATTTTGCCAGTTGGATATACTTCGTCGATCGGAAGACGCAGATTATGCCTATTGGAAAGAAAAGGCTCGGTAACATATTTGAGTGTAAAGATGAATTTCATTGCATTTTGTTCTTTTCTCTTATTCTCTATGCCAGATGGGTGCGATTCGAAGAAATCGCAGAAAATGTTCTTGGCCGATGGTCGAAACCCCATGTTGCTACATTGATGCAATCCGCTTTATTAGATTTGAAAAATCTTCTTCAAGAGGGTGTTATTCTACTTAATCCAACAGCAAGCGATTTACCAACGATTTCACGTAACTTTGCCCGCAATGTCATGTCGACAGTACTGATATCGACTTGTCTATCTTTCAGAAGCTATTGTTCAGTCAATGATTGAAAAAAACTATTTTCAATCTACTGCACATGCACAGAAACTTGTATGGATACTTGGTTTACCACATTTTCATCATCACGAAAAGCGTTCTGTGACCAAAACTGCTAGTTCCGTTAGTCTCTCGAGGCAAGGTCTTCATCCCAGTCCTAGTTTTGTTATTAACAATAATCTTAATCGACCGGGTTTGGTTCATTTTTTTGTGTCATCTTCATTAGTAATTGATGAATTCTCTAGGTGATGATGCTGAAGTGTTAGCAACACGTTCAACTGGAAAACCATCAGGCTCGGCCGATTTAACACCAGCTGATCAAGAAGATACAAATAGTTTATCACCCTCATCACCAAAAGTAAGATCCAAGGGGGAAAACACGCCGAACTCGATTTTAATTTAGTATTGGACAAAATTCAATAGGAATCTTCAGAAAAGTCTAAACCGAATTGCTATAGAAAGAGATATGAATGTAAAGTCAAACTAAAGAAAATAACATTTTCACTAATATTGCATGATGGTTTCGGTTATTAACAAGAACTTCCTTACTGACATTGATAACAATCTAAATGATTTCCCTGTACTTAGGACTACAATGTGAAATTACAAAAGAAAATCGATAGTAAATCGGAAGGTGCATCCATTCTCGTTTGTCCAGTTGATTTTGTTAGTAAGCCAACAGTGGTGTTCGTTCGTTTACAAAAAGCAACTGATATTCCTGGCATGCTCGAAATCAAGCTTCCAACGCGTTTTCTTGTTGTCATTATTGGACCTGAAGACAGCGAAAAGCAATTACTACAAATAGGACGAACAATGGCGACAATTTTAACAGACGATATTTGTCGGGAATTTGCTTATGTGGCAAGAGATTTCAGCGAAATTATCAAAATGATGGATAGATTCATGCAAGACACCTATGTCATTCCGCCATCCGAATGGGATCCAACAATTCGTATTGAACCACCACCAAAATATACGAGCAAAGTAAATCGGACATTATTCTGTAGAAACCAATAGCTTTCCTTGTCTTTGCTAGGAAGAACGACAGGCACAAACGGCGGAGGAAATCGTTGCACAAGTTGAAGAAATTGATTTAACTCCTCATACAGATCCGAATTTAATCGCATCAAAAAGGTAACAGTTAGAAAAATGGAAGATGAATTCTGTCACAGTAACTTTTGATTTGTTTAGACCATTTCATGGACTAATAATGGATATTCGCACTAAACTTCCATTTTTTCTATCCGATTTCACTGACTGTGCTAGTTTACAATGTTTAGCAGCTACACTTTATCTCTACCTCGTATGTCTCTGTTCGGTAGTGGCATTTGGTGGTATGTTAGGGACAGCAACAGAAAATTATATGGTAAGAATATTCTAACGAACTGATGAATCATTGTTTGTTTGCTTTTACTAGGCTACTATGGAATGTATTCTTGCTGCTTCGATTAGTGGTATTTTATTTAGTTTATTTGCTGGTCAACCTCTCAATATCCTCTCTGCTACTGGTCCCATGTTAATTCTCGAACGAATTATTGAACATATGTGCAAGTAAGTACTTTGATTTGACGCACTATTTTCTAACATTTCTCTTCAGAGACTACCGGGTTAATTATCTGGAATTTCGTTTATGGATTGGCATGTGGATCTTCTTATTTCTTCTGATATTCGTTACATTCAATCTTAGCTTTCTTGTTAAGTACATTACACGGTTCACCGAAGATTGTTTCGCATCTTTAGTCGCATTGATCTTCATATACGATGCCATTCGTGAAATTTTGAAGATTCGTAAAATTTATCCTGTTAATTACCGACCTAATGTACTATTGGATTACTCGTGTTCATGCTTATTCACCGATATTGGATACAATGAGACAACTCTCAACGATACGAATATTGTCGATTATTTATTTAATGGAACTAACTTGAATAAAACTTCGCAGATCGTATGCACAAAGGCAGGCGGTTTTGTTGTTGGCTCCGGTTGTTCAACGCCCGTCTATCATGCTGATATCTTCTTCTTTTCTGTACTTCTATTTGTGTTTACATTCTTCATCTGCATGGGACTACAAGAATTCCGCCAGAGTACATTCTTTCCAACGAAAGTGCGCAATTTTATGATCGAAGTTTCGCAATACATTCTTGACATTTAGATTCGAACGATTCTCAGTGATTTTGCTGTTCTTATTGCTATTGTTCTTATGTCTTCTTGGGATGCGTATTTACGACTGAATACACCGAAATTACATGTCCCAACAGATATCATCCCAACACGGCCACACGATCGAGGATGGTTGATTCCATTTTTTGGCAAGAACGCTTTATGGACGATACCTTTAGCAAGCATTCCGGCTATGATAGCAACGATCTTGATTTTCATGGATCAGCAAATAACAGCGGTGATAATCAATCGAAAAGAATTCAAATTAAAAGTAAATCAAGTTGAGATTAATTTGAATCATAAGAGTTTTGTTGTTTAATTAGAAAAAACTTGGCTATCATCTGGATTTATTTGTTTTATCGATTACAATTCTAATACAATCCATACTTGGTTTACCATGGTTTGTTGCCGCCACAGTGTTAGCTTTGACACATGTCAATGCATTGAAGATCATGAGTGAAAATTCCGCACCGGGAGAAAAACCAAAATTCGAAGGAATTCTGTATGTTGTTCTTGTCTTCAGTGTTAATATCGAATGTTCACTTTTCATATTCTAGTGAACAACGTGTTAGCGCCTTGCTAATGGCTATACTTACCGGTTTAAGTGTTTTCTTCACGCATATTCTAGGTGTAAGTTGTTGCCATTTTACATATAGAGAGAGCGGAATTTTCGATTTGACCTGGATTAGTTCTAAATAGTACGATGAGACTTTGTCCTTGAGTATAACTGAGAACTCGGCGGCATCACACAGCAGGATCACAACAATTACTTTTCCTTCAAAGTATAATTCTCACAAATGATGCGTAAAGCAGCATGTTATTTCATCGAACATTCATCTAACACAGAAGCCTCCTAATGTTCTTTTCCTATGGAAATGTGTAAATAACAGAGAGGAAATATCTTTGTATGTGTTAAATTGAATTTAAAACATGCGATTACTTATGTAATGAGTTCATGTCAAGAATAACCTTTAGAAAATGTCCCCGGATGAAGTGTCCTTTTGTTTTTCGTCTTCATATATATATTCATGCAGGAGAACGAAAAACAAGAGGATATTTTTGACATGAAGCAAGTAGTGCGTATTACTATAAATTGGTTGTGGAAGTAGTTTTGAGGATTGTATGCAAACGACGTCATATGTTAAAGGTTCTCCGCTATGAAGTAGCTCACGTTAAATATAGATGATTGATTTAGTTCATTCCAATGCCGGTTCTTTATGGTGTCTTCATGTTCATGGGTGTAACGGCTTTACGGAATATGCAAGTCAGACAGAGATTTATTCTTGTTGGTGTCTATTGATAATCTTTTTGGATTCTTAGGTTTTCGATCGTATTCTCTTGTTCTTTATGCCACAAAAGCATCAACCGGATCATCCATATCTACGACACGTACGCATCGGACGTGTTCATCTATTTACTGTGATTCAAGTTGTTGCATTAGCTGGCATGTTTGCCGTGAAAAGCATCAAATCAGTTGCTATCTGTTTCCCGTTACTAGTATAGTTCAATAAATCGTAGGAAAATGTGAGACATAAGCAAATCTTTCTTAGGTATTAGCCACATGTTTCGTGAGAAAACTAATGGATAGAATTTTCACGCAAGAAGAACTTTATTGGCTTGATGATATTCTACCTGGTACCAATGTCGGTCGAATTCGTCGATTTTCGGCACCTCGAAATGTACGAATCCCGAAAATCTCGGAAGATGTCAATGCTCAAAAGAAATCAGTAAGTCGCTTTCATATTGACGACCATAAATCATTTTCGTACGCAAATTCATAATACAGATACTACCTGATACCTTTCATACGTCATCATTCCATAGTTTTGATGGAATAAATCGTGATATCGTAGAAGATAGTCTATCAAATATCACTGAGGTCAGTGTTTTCAGATCGACAAAAGACAAATCGCATGAAATCAACTCAGATAACTAGACAAATGACAAAATGCATGTATTATCAACCGTTTCCTTGCATCTAGGTATTCAAACGACATCGTAGCGATGGCTACAAACCGAATGGAACGTCTTATCAGACATCTAATCCATTAATTGTTATTACTGACGCATCATCAGCAAAGATAATTGTAAAACTCCTTTCTTTAACCCCCTCACTTCTTTTCCCTCTCCTGCAAACCAAAGCTCACGATATCTCTCACTGCAACTAAATAATTCTTCTGAACGAGTAACATTGATTGTTGTTTTCAGAATCGACCGAGAATTTTATCAATTACTCCTTCTGAACTATATTTAACAGCTACTGAATCAAAGAATTTATCGTTGATGTTTAGTACAGGTTATTCGACTCACTATTAGATCGTCCTTCCTCTCGCTTTCACTTACTAACATCAACACTAGATTAAACTAAAGAAAACTACGATTCCGAAGTCATCCTTCCAAATACTCTTGTTCGTGTTTTAGGAAGAAGCTGAACATTTAATGCATCGTGATTTATCGCTCGACCGATACCGTGAAGAAAAATCGAAAACTGGTCAACCGACAGTGTGAAATCAATATCATTCTTTCATCGTCTTCTCTGCTTTATATGAAATCTTCAAAACTAAGTAGTAATCATATAAACGCTTTATTTCTGTATAATCGTGCATATTTTTTTTTAAATTTGATGAATACTTCAAAACTTTTTTTGTAGATAGAAATGAAATAAACTGAATATACATACGTTTATCTACTCTTGTTAAACAGTCCGTGTTCGCGCATTGAAATAAATATCTTTTGATTATCGTAGGAAAACAGAATGATCCCGTTAGTAATACTAAGATTGTTGTCTTTACTCTTTTCAGTTGTTTTGTAAAGAAACTTTGTTAAAAAATCGATGCGACTCACAAGAAAATTTGGCATGAAGTTAACATAATTGTCCGTGTTGGCAATGTCAACCTGAATGCTCGATTAGTTTCACTCTTTTTCATTTATTTTCTTGTTTTCTGCACATGTGTCATTATTTTATTAATTATGATATTTCTCCAAGATAAAAAATCTTCATGCGAAAAAGAAACCCACAGTTTCTACCTCATCTCGATTGTCAGCCTTCTAATTTGCCGATCCTAATGTAAACATACATAATCATGTAGACGCTATAAGTCAATTGTCTAAGTATAGAAATTCTCCATGATCTTAAATTATATATCTACGTAGACATGATCTACGGGTAATTATTTTTTCAAAGATATATTTATATCTAAAAAATCGATACTCTATCTCAAGCGAATGCTTGTAGAACAAACAGGATTATCAATATTTATTCTGTTGATTCACAATTAATTAACAATGCATGAACTTTTTATCTATCTTTATTGACATAGTTGTGGATGAGAAGAAGGTTTTCTTTGCAAGAATAAAAATATCATTATGAGGCATATGTTAATTTTCCTATGGAAAGAAGAACATGCTTAGTCGATGTTTTGACTATCTCAAGAGAAGGCAACGCACTGAAGACTTCTGTTTTCTTCTTTACGTGAGTATTATATTATGTCTTGTATTCTCGATAAAAATAGAACGTTAAAACATAGAACAAATCTTAAATATTCTTTTCTTTTTGTGTAACAACTGATACACATGCATAAGACTTAAGAATGCAATGAAATGTTAAGCTTTGCCAGTGTCACGACAATATGAATATTTTTAATAAACAATCTTATTTTGTCGTGAAAATACGCCGAATATAATCGTGGCAATATTCGATAAGTGTCGAACAACAATAGGTAACTTAGTATATTAACAACTGATTTGTCGATTGTTCAACGATCTTATCTTTACAGTTTTAAAGACAAGAGAAATTATATAAATCGATGACATGATCAGTTCGTGCTGACTGTCATTAAAATATTAGATAACATCTTGCTTTAATTCCGCCAATCTTCTGTTATGTTCATCTCGAATAAAGCATTCTCATGGGTGTCGGTAAAGCATGCAAATGGTGAGCTTTGCCCTTTCTCGTTCATACTCGATTCTGTTTGTCAGGAGGAGAGATATAAACCACCCTTCATTTCCCTTCCTAACTCTTCATCTTGTCGTTCTCTTCGTATTTTCTGTTCTTTTTCATCACATTTAATGTCAGCAATAAAAGAAAGAAGAGAGAGAGAGAGAGAGAGAACCTAAAGAAGAATAGACGGCAAAGAAACCTTGCAAAAACGAAGAAGAATTCTATCAAAAATAGTCCAATGGTAAAAGGATGGCGCGTTTGCATGCATACGTATATTTACTAAACCATTCCATCAAACATGATATTGCACGGAAAAAAGAAGAAAGAAAAAAAATGACTAGAAAAATATTTATTAAAAAAGAGGAAACGCTACACTGACGGCATGATTATTCAGGAATCTACATGAAGACTCATTTTCTTTTTCCGTAGGCTTCCCACGTAAGTTAACAACGGTTTTTCTCATGTTATAGATTAGTCTGTGCACTAATGGCGTTCAATCTCAGTAAAAATCCGTTAGAAATGAATGAAACATACACAACAAGAAGCTTATTAATAACAACAAGTACAGTCGAAGACAAAGTAGTTTCTTTAGAAAATCGGCCGATTATTATGGCAACATTTATATCATTATACGCTCTCATATTCTTCTTCGGTATAACCGGAAATGCACTGGTTGTGTGTAAGTGTTTATACAGTTCCGATTTGTCATTGTCTTCATACACAACCGTCTACTTTCTAGATGTTGTCTGTAGAAACAAAGCCATGCAAACGGTGACCAATGTTTTCATTACCAATTTAGCACTTTCAGACATTCTTGTATGAAGAAACATCTCTCGTCGCTCTCCCACGAAAAACAACTCTGTTCATTTTAGATGTGTTGTTTAGCTGTACCATTTACACCGATATCAGCCTATGGACATACGTGGTATTTGGGGAAAATCCTATGTCATATTGTGCCAATGTCGCTAGGAATTTCAGGTAGGAAATGAGACAACATGAATATGTTTATTGAATTTGATTTTCTTGCTAGTTTATGTTTCAACATTGACCTCATTAGCAATTGCTGTCGACCGCTATTTTGTCATTGTACATCCGTTTCGTTCTCGTATGCGTTTAGGTGTTTGTATATTATTGATTATTGTGATTTGGATTGTCGGTATATCAATTTCTTTACCCTTGGCTATTTACATGCGATTAGATCGCGAAAAATGTGAAGTAAGTTCTTCATGACGACGAAGTACAATCCCAAGAAACGTTTTCTTTGCTTAGGAATATTGGCCACAATATACATCTCGACGTTTTTTTAACTTTTCATCATTAGTTTTGCAATACCTCATACCATTTTCAGTCATATCGTTTAGTTATTATAAAGTTTGGGTAGCGTTAGCACGTCGTTCATTACTTGGACGTACGCGTGTACGTGAAGAAGTAGAAATATGTCGCAAAAAACGTACAAACCGTATGTTGATTGCTATGGTGGTTATTTTCGCTATATGTTGGTTACCATTGAACATTGTTCATATGGTGAATGAATTTCATCGTCAAGATGTCAACCATTATCGAGCTTTATTTCTAAGTACGCATGTTATTGCAATGTCATCAACAATTTATAATCCATTTCTATATTCTTGGTTGAATGATAATTTTCGTAAAGAATTCCAGCAGACAATCCCGTGTCTATTCAGAATCTGCTCATGTTTCAATGATCAACAATTGAGTGGTAATATGATTATAGATGGTGATGGGTATATTGAACGTGCGTCGACGTACCAAATGCCTCGAGATTCGTCTTTGAATGGCAAATCGAACGGTCACAATACGAAGAAGAACACTTTAGAAAAGATTCAATTAGCATCAATCAAACAAAATTCTTTCAAAGAGGAGTCTTTACTCGCCTCCTCAGATCCGATGGCAATTAATACCAATATAAATAACGTCTGACATGAAGCAGCAAACAGAAACTTCTCATCAACATTCTTTTTGTCTTTGTAGTTAAAGTCATGACAGAAAATAAATATCGTACACGATTTTTCAGTTATGGCATGATTAATTGATTTGATTTGTATCAGTCCACTGGAGCACATGACTTTGTTTGTCGATTTATTCTGCTAATATGGTCAAGAAAAATTAGTGCAGACAAAGAAATAAACGCTCATTTTTCACAACACAAAATGCATTCAGACATTAAATTAGAAATCCGATTCGTTGAATACAGAATTAGAACATAGATGAAAATCCCACCGCTTTCTTAAAATCTTTCTCTCATCAGTACTATTCAGTCGATTTAACTGGTTGAATTAATAAATTCTAAAAATATATGGGTTCTTCTACACGGCAAACGTTCGATAGGTAACAGAAAGAGGAATGGGTTTGTTTGCATAGAAAAATAAGAAATGATTTCTTATGTGTCAATCGTAGATTGCCCGATGAAAATATGTCTTGTTCGACATTAATGCAATGTACTATTACATGATGAGTATGAAAATATTATCATGCTTTATTCTATTTATGAGCAAAACAAGGTTTCTTATCCTCGTTCGTTTTTTCTCCTATAAGTACATGGAATTGAATTATTAACTGAGTCATGCGCAACAACAGCGCTGCGAATGAGTCATTTTTCTTACTAAAATAGGAAAGAATACCTGACGCATTCTTTTTCTCTTTTTTTCTCCTTTCACTATATTGACAGAATTATGGAATGTGATAAAAACGCTTGTGATTAGAGTCGTGCGTAGGAACTTGGTATTTTTTCTTCTTCGAATCAAACAATGACTAATAGGAATAACGCAGTTGTAAATTGGCATCAGCTTGCACACTCTTTTTTCTTTTATCGATAGATTTTGTATTCATTCAATCTTATTTTTAGACAAATCTAACAAAGATGGCAAAAATAACGTTGAATAATTATTCTACACCCTATATCGATGACGATTCGGGTATTAGTATTGACGTCGACAATGCATCTTCCAATGATTTCAGCTCGTCTGCGTCAACATTGATTGAATCATTACCTTCAGTCTCATCTTCTCAATCCATTCGTATGTCATCGCCATTTCCGACCATTCAAAAGAAACAAGCGGATACAGCACCTTTGGTCAAATGTACATCCGATGGTGTCATTGAACGCATACGTCCTGTGACCATGAAGAATAGCGAAAATGGTGATTATGTCATTTGCCACACTACCCGTGGAGACTACGTTGCTTATCGCACACCAGAAGTTCCCGAATGGGTTTTGCGTTTGGTTGAAGAGGTCGAATCGCGTGAACAATAAAGTGTCATTTGACTTTTGTACGTAAAACCTCATAAACTATTATTCGATTTTTCGAAGTAAAGCTTTTCTCAATGATTGTATTATATCATACAAATTCCTATGAATAAACAGTTCTATTCTATACAAATCAATTGGTTGATGAAGATAATATCGAAATTTATAATTAAAGTTTCCACACATACACAAAAGAAAACCGCATTCATCACACAATAATTAAGACACGAAAAAAAAGAGAAAGGCAGAACCTTCATTTGGTTAGAAAAATAGTATCAAAAACGCAAACAGATATTTACACAGATGATAGAAAAGAAAAGAAGCTCTAACATAATAATAGTAATAATAATTTTCTTGTAAAACATCACATGAAATTCTCGTCGTATCAAAAAGAAACTCGTAGCTACAAGTCACTGTGTTGACTAGGAATTAAGATCATATCAAATTATCAAATGAACTTAAATATTCCAATGCTGAACGATAACAGAATTGATATTGATCCTGAAGAAAAGAAATGCAATAGGAGAGAGAACGATTTTCGTGCTTACCTCGGTTTGAACAAGTGCTGGTCGCTGTGTACGTAGTAATTTCACCGTTTGAAATACATCCACTACACCTTCATATCGAATTCGTTCGAGAACGATACTTAACGTTAGAAATACTCCAGTTCTTCCGACACCTATAACGCCGAAAGTTCACTTTTATCGTTTGAACAAGGATGATCGTTTACCTGCTGAACAATGGACCACAATCGGTCCATCTTGACCAAAGCCCTCTTTCGTTTTATGTACTTGTCCAATGAAATCAATAAATCCTTCTCCGACTTTAGGTACACCTTGTTCTGGCCATTCGGTGTACAGAAAATGGCGAATTGTTCGAGATTGTCCATCCTGAAAGATCAAACTTAGGAAAACCAATTTTGTTCATTCGTAAAATCTTACTCGTGTATCAGTTAGTTTGAATTCACTCAATAGATATTGTTGCATATGATATTCTCCTGAAGGATCTATTATAAAATATCCTGAACGCATTGATTGATCTACAGGCCAATATTGAGCGCATTTCTCTCTTCCCATTTCTTTCAATTTCGTCAGCATCACAATTATCGTTACATTGTGCTCCCATATCATTCGCCAGAAATCATCTATGGTTTCGTTCAATGGTCCCTGAGTAGCGATATAGCCATTTCGTAGACGATAACCCTAGAATCGATCATGATTACATGTTTCTCCTAAACGATGAACAACTTACATCGATATAGGATGCATTGATATAATCTGATCCGTCGATTCCACGTATAGGAGATAGACACACGCGAGTATTTTCATCTATTGAGACAATAGAAAGTTGGAAAGGACTGAATTCAAGAAGAAAAATTGATTTACATGGTAGGATATTCACAAGACGATTTTTGAACTTATTTGCGGGATGATTGGCACTGATGAACTTCGATGGTTGAGCTTTAATATTTGCTAATCGCTAAATGATAGGAGAACAAACATAGAAAATGGATTGGATTTCGCATCTTTTAATTGTTTTTACCTTGAATTCTAATTCCATTTCAGTCAATGAACTATCGTTCAGTGGTTGAAGCAGTCTCTGCAAATGTGTAAGTAGGTTTCGTGCAGGAACTTCGGTAAATCCTGACTGAATGGCTTCATGGATCGCTTCGTAAATAAAAATATATTGCTCTTCAGTTTGAACAATATAGTTTCTTCAAAAGAATGAAAGTTAAGTTTTCAATTATGGATGGGAACAATGTTTCCTTACCGTTGAGCGCGCAGAAGAGTGACATGCCCATAAATATCAACTGTTTTTTCGTATTTGAGTTTCTCTAACAGCGCATCGATCACGATAAAACAACCAGTTCGGCCAACTCCAGCAGAACAATGTACAACCGTCGGACCACTTTCCGACAGATTGAGTGTTTTGACTCGGCGAACGAACATTAAAAATGCAGTTGCATGTTCTAGTATTCCATGATCTATCGAATAAGTTCAGAATAAGAGACAAAAATCAAATGATTCACTCTTACCAGGCCATGCTGTAAATTGACAATGACGAATTTCTCGTTTTTCTGGATGGCCAGTCTAAATATTCACAACATTGTTCTGACCTTCTGAAATGAAAACAACTGTCTATTACCCAAGCGATTGTAAACATTCGGATACTGTATGAAGCGAGTTCAATAAAATCAGTCAGTGTAACTTGAATAGGCCCATAAGTTTCCATTCCTCGACTGGGCCAATATTGATCACATTTCAGACGATTGCGTTCTTCTAGCTTAGTCATCATTACGATACAATTGGAATTCGTTTCCCAAATCATTCGCCAAAAGTCAGCGAAAGTATTTGGTAACGGACCCTGCGTCGCTATGTATGCATTTTGTTTTCGATAACCGTCGAGATAATTCGCATTAATATAGTCACTACCAGCAACACCGTCGATCGGACGAAGGATTACTCGTGAATGATCATAGGCGACCACATTAGCATAGCGATTCTTCGTTTTGTTACATTCAAGTTTCGAATTTTCCCACGAAAATTGTTCACCCGGATCAATAGACTGAAATTGAAAAGATTTATTTGATCAATGCTTCAACACGTTGGCTAATAGTGAACTATCTTTCTCATGTTTTACGGCAAAAACTTCGTCTGAGATCAGATCGTCTTATTCTCATTAGCGTTCAAGAATAGCAATTTGTTTAGAAAACATATTGTCGAGTAGAATGAAAGCGGAAGTTCGGAAGATTGTTTCATCTCATGAAATGCACATCCTTTTCTTTTACATGTTTATATTCGTTAATTAATATTTGTCTAAAGAAATTATTCATCCTTCGACGAACGATTCCTGAACTATCGTGATAATCATTCTAGTTGTTGTGTTGTTTTCTGTTATTGAGACAATGATTGACAACAGTCAACATGTTTACTCACTTCGTATTCTTGAGAAAACTTGTAATTATCGACTGCTTTCAAATGTTCGAGATGTGTAGAGAATTCTTCGACTGGTATGGGAGAATAACTTGTGACGGGTTGCACACGGCGTATTTCCACGGGTTCGCCCGATGAAGCGGGTGATATTGTCGGAGGTAAAATTGGCATTTGCATTTCCATTGTTAGAACTTTTGGAGTTAGGTCGAACGGTACACATTCCGGAGGTGGTGTTAACGACTTTCTTTTGGTTCGATTGAATTTCAATGAGAAAAATATGACGATAATGAGAAATAAAAATAATAAAAAGATGATTCCGAAGATTCGCAGAAGATTGTTGAATGTTTCTTCGTTCGATGTTTGCGGTGACTTGAATAGAGCATTGACGAGAATCGTTGGACTCGATGCTATCAAATTCTCTCCTTTACGATTGAAACCCCATGAAATAAGTTGAACTCGACTGGTAGTAGTTATTGGAGAATTATTGTAGGTGTTGGCTGAGAAGGGATTCCAGTCTCGAGTTTCCTTTCCATCGCCCAGAATAAACATTTCCGGTAATTGAGATTCATTGAATACCGCAGCAGTATAGCAACATTCTCGTCGGCCCTAGAATTTTCAAATAAAAAATCGTTAGATATGTGACAGCTTTTTCTCCTTTGATTTTTTACCTCTTGTGGTGTGAATGATGAAGCCGTGGCAGAGTCGTTCAGATAAACAACGACATAGTAACGATCAATAGGACCATTTTTGGTTGACGCACGATGTAAACGAAGATAAACTTGCTGATGAGTTCCACCCGAAATGGTTCGCCGGTCTAGATCCGGTCGATCAACGTACGGTGGAACATCGTAGTCTGTCGAAAACTGGATTGTCGCAGGCTGACTATAAATTTTTGTTGATGATTGTTCGGAAGTCGTTAGTGTGCCGGTTAAATTAAGAGTGTAACGCGTATTGGGCGCTAGGCCAGTGACTAACCATTCGCGTGTACCTTGCGTGGGAGGAATCGTAATAAGACCAGCAGAATTGTGATGGGTTGTTGTACGCGCTGTTCCTAACCCATCAATATAATTTTGTATTCCTTCGTAATGCACCTGTAACAAAGACCAACATGAATAAACATTTGCATAAAATCGTAATAACTGTACCTCGAGTTTTTGAATTTGTCGACGGGGATCGAGATTCAATTCATTGAAAGAAAAGAGTAATTTCACACTACTTGATGTCAGATCCGTATAACTCATATTATAGGGTCGACTTAATTGACTATCATATTGAATGGTATGCTTTGTACCTAGGCAAATCATGCTTATGAAGAAGGAGCATCATTTTGACAAATGAACTTACGATGATAAATATCAGCAACATGAACATCTGATAGATAACCTTCGCGTGGACTAGTTCCGATTGCATGGGATGGATCATTCATATTGATATTTGAAAATTCTGCACTGACGCGTACGTTATACATCGCAGCAGGTTTAAGACCAGCAATTACCGCCGTGGTTGCACTTTGATTCGTTGGTGTATAGAGTGACCATTTATTTTCTGGTTTGTTTTCCGCTTTGTCATTGTAGTAAATCAAATACCGTTCGACATGTGGATAGTAGATTGGTGACCACGACACCTTGATTGCCGTATCATTGATACGAGTAACATTCACACCACGCGGAGATGGATCTAAATTATGATGAAAACAAAAAACATATGAATAGATGCATAATCATAATTAAAAATTACAAATTGATGAACCAGGCGTTTGAACATAATAGATACTGGAGCGCACAATAGAATTATTAATTGGTTTCAAATTAGTGGAAGTTAATAGAAGAATATAAAAAACTGTTATTGGATCCATGAGAGTTCTTCTTCGTCTTCGACTTTTTTTTTGTTCTCTTTAGAAAACGATAAATACTACCATCTGTGCAATGTTAAGAAAGAAACCTTCTTTTTTTCTCTCGTTTTTTCTCCCTTTATATTCATATGATCCTTGAGGATAGTTAATACCGTAGAATGAAAAAAAAAGAAAAAAAAACAAGAGATATCTAATTCTCCGCTTACAGTTTTTGTCTTCCCCCGAACACGCAAATATAGAAAGGGAGAGCGAGATGTAAAAACCTAATGCGTGTTAGAATGAAAGGAATGGCAAATTCTTGCATGTTCCGTGCAGTTTTAGTCATACATAGATATTTGCTTGATTGAGCTATCTAGTAGAATATTTTACTGAACAAACAATCTGGAAGACCTTCGGCTTTTTCTCTCCCTCTTTTCTACTCACTCCGCGCCTATTACTGGTCCTTCTGCGTTTGCCGTGTATAATAAGGGTGACAACATAGATGAAAATGTGTGTCTAAGTTTTCTCTAACAGGATGTCACTCTGTCAACATCAGACACAATTAGTTGCATAAAAAAAAAAGAAAAAAGAAAACTCACTTAATGTATTGATATAAAGTTGATAGTCAATTGTCGACGAATTTTGACCACTGTGATCGCAATAACGCGCCGCAAACTGAACGGTTGTGTTTGTATGAATACTGTTTGGGTCTTTATCATTAATTTGAATATCAAATTTCTTAATTGTCTTATCAAACGATTGTGTTTGAATCGTTCGATTCGTTTCGCCGAGTTCGGTAACAGTAATATAGATTTTATCAATGTTATGTAGATCGCCAGGCAAATCCCATGTGACACTTAACGTGTTAGCATCGACAACATATGCTTCTAGATCGGTTGGTGATGGATGTTCTGAGGACAAAAAAAAATGTTTGTTTTGACAAGAAAACATTCAAGTTGTCATCAATAATTCATTATGATGATGAAATTCCTTATCCAAGTTAATTATTCTAGTAGAAGTCTATTTCAATGATGTAGCAAATAACGAACGTACTATTGATTATTTCATTTTGCGAAAGAAAAAGTATTCTAGTTTTTAATCTCTCTCTGTTCTGTGAATCAACACTTGTTAATCATTCTCCTAGTTTCACACGAAAAGAAACAACAGTATATCTATACACCGACTAATCAACTTCTCTATTGCGAGAAGGGAAAAACGAAGATATTCGATATGAGACACATCCTAGTCTAAAAATCGGATATGCTAGACTGTAACATTTGTCTAAGAGTGCCAAATTCAATCATTGTCCTGATCAGTCTATTGTTCGATTGAATCTTTACTCTATCAAGCATTGTCCATCATCCGGTCAAGAATGCCCAAGGCTGGTTTATCCATTCTTTTCTTCTTTGTTATTTCTAATAGGACTAATTCAAAAGATCACTTTTCCTCTTTCTCTTCTCATTGTCGCCGCGTAATCTCACTTATCAATGCATTTTCTCATTTCTCATCCAATGTCATTCATCGATGATCGCATTATTATTACAACAAAACTGTTTTTAGCTAGAGCAAAAAGAAAAAGAGAAAAGTCTAGTCCTATCCATTAAATACGCTAGAATGAACACTTTAGAGTATCGAACGATGTTCATCAAGTGTAATATACATACATATATATATGTAAAAGAACCTTGTTATATTCATCAACATTATTCTCTTGTTGACAGTTGATAAGACCTTATGATCAAGTACTACTCATAAGAATGATATTCATTCGTGTTGAAAGATCATCAACATTTAGCCAGTGAATCCGTTATGATTTCTTCTCTTATTAAAACATTTTGAGAACTCGAACAAGTTGCATGTCGATACTAGTGTCACGTACGACATGGAAGTAAGAACGACAATACATCCGGCATGTTAAATTGGGCAATACTTTGACCAGTTGTTTACGTTCATTGACTGCGACTACTAGTGCTGCTAATGACCTTATAACATGTGTGTGCATCTGATGTAAAAACTGATCGGAGCGAGAAAAAAAAGCAGGAAAAAAAACAAGTTTTCCCAGCAGCACTACTAATAAATTAGATACAAACATCTCCAGCCGCTCATGAAATTAATTATATAACAAACACGCATTCTTAGTTTTGTTTCTTTTTCTTTCAATTGAATTTATCGATATATCGCCATCTGAATTCGGCCTCTTACTCATTTATCTTCATTGAAGATATATACAAATCTTTTCGTAAGAATATTTCAAGACAATTATTACTCGATATATAACTCATCAACAGGAAAATTACATAACAATACCCGTTATTGATTTTTCCTATCTATTAAGTGTTGAATATACATATAAATGAAGTGAGTTCATAATCGATCGATTTTTTTTCTCCTCACTAATTCACTTACCGAAATCATCTTTGGCTACTGTGAATATGTATGGTACACTTGGTTTGCCATCACCTTTCTTGGTAAATGCTTTCACTTGAGCGTGATAAGTTGTACCAGGTGTTAAATTACCAACAATATCCCAGTATTGAGTACCAATGGTGCCTTCATAGTTTCGATGAACAATGGGTGGTTGAATCGAATCCGGTGCGAAGACAATCACATAGAATCCCTTGATCATTCCACCGAGTAATGCTATATCATCAGGATTATTGGAATCCAACGGATAAATCCACGAGATATTCGCTGTGGTTTGATTGATCATACGTGCACTGACATTGATCGGTGCGACAAGTGGAACTAGAATTGAAAGTATGATAACGAATGACCACATTGCGATCGGAAATAATTTGCTGGTGTTCAAAATTTCTACACTACTAAACGACTATTGCTTGCATTTTTTTTCTTTCTTTCTAACTGAACTGCTTCTCCCTTTTCCTTTCTTTCTTGTTTTTTCTCTTTCTCTTTCTCTCTCTCTCTATCTCTCCTATACATTACAGAATATGAGAACAGTTTATCCCACTAGCAGCACAAGTGCGCTGCTCTCTTGAAACTTTCATTTTCATTTCGAATCAAATCAGATTGATAATCAAATCAATGAAGAAAAAACTTGATCAGACGTTTTCATAGATTTGACAATGATTCGTTTGTTTGTAGGAAATAAACATCGACCATAGATACGATTTCTTGTCGAGAGTTTATTTACGATTAAGACAGACTTGATTTGTAAGTGGAAAATAACTAATTATTTGCTCTTTTATATTTTTTTATATGTAAAACGGAAAGAAAAAGAAGCAATCGACCTTGGAAACGTTGTCTTCCGTTACAAATCCACTTGTCATCTATTTTTTAGTTACGCTTCCCTTTCTTGTTCGCTTTCTCTCTCTCTCGCTGCTCGACATAGTTTCAGAAACCATGTTCTTACTAAACTCATTTGTCGGCAGTAATCAAACCGACTAATATCTCTATCGAGTCTGTTCTTCATCATCATCGTCTTCTTTTTTTCAATCGACTCGGTGTAATTGAAAAAAGAAAGAAGTTAAATGCCGATGATGATGACGAGCAATGCATGTATTCTACAGGGATTTTTTCCCCTCTACTTTCAAGAAATGTCCTGTGTGTATGAAAGGTTTCTTCATATTTCTTTTCTCATTGCTCGAATAGTCACGCACACAGTTACCTGATGATCTAACAAAGCAGATGTAGAGTTCTTTAATAAAATTGAGTACATATGTTTTACATGAATGAAAAGTTTGCTCTATTGGATCGACATTGGAAAGTTTGATGAAGAAAAAGAAAATTGTGTTATCCTGTCTCACCTTCGCGCATGAAAGAATCTCAATAAGAAAGTTAAGCAAGTATTTCATTGTCTTCTTTTCAGATTGTTCAATCTCCGCTCGAAGTTGGTACATCGATGTTTACACTAAATAATCGTTTATATTATTAACTAATTCAATTAAGTTTCATGTCAATACAGGATTATTAAAAAGAACCTTAGATACTACGTTTTCATTAACAACGATTCTATCCGTAGTGAAGTTTTTTTCGAAAAGAAATCTCTTCAAAATTTAAATCAATCTATTAGGCGAGAGGATGTCTTTACTATAAAAAGACACTTTTTTTCATTAATATTTGACATGTGTGCATGTATACTAAATGATTAATGAAATCGTATGTTTTTTTTATACGTGTCAATCGATTTGATTGTCAACACGACGAATGACTTTCATTCAACCACATGATGGATTATAGTGTTAGACGCGAGAAAATTAGGCGATCTATCTAGTCAGATTTGTATGAATATCCATACAAATGATTGAAATTCGTTCAACTCGAAAGCGACAAGGATTGATTGATGATGTGATTTTGCCCAGGATCGAACTTAATGTTCAACGAGATCTCATTCCACTAATAGCCATTGAAGAGCTTTAATAGTCACAACCGGAAATAAATCATCATCAATCTCGATCGTTGTATTAAGTTAGATACATTCACATGTAATGAGTTTTCTCTTGGTGCTAATCGTATCATCGATTCATACGCAACTCCACGCATATTCGGAATATCTTTCGATTTTAGTCGATAAAATATGCGACTGTTGTCTAGACAGAAATAAAACCACTGAACAGGAAATTACCTGTTTCATCTGTGATCGCTTCAATGCGCGTTGATGGTCCTGATGAGTCTGTATAGGAGGAATTTGCATACGCTTGTAGAATAATTTCATATTTTGTAATTGGACGAAGTTCGTTTAGAAGAATTTGCGTTGCATCAGTTTGTCGAACAATCCATGATTGATTCGAATGAATGGGACGATATTTGATGGTATAGCCATGAACTGCTGGTGTACGATCAGGTTTAGACCATGATAAGCGGATGAAGTCTTTATCAGTAGCAACGATTCGTACGTTGGTGGGGACTTGAGCGAGATTGGCGGTGATAAAAACGAAGATAATGGAAACAAGAAGTCGAAAAATCATTTTGACAATTGCGATTAATTGTTTATTTTTAATTGAAAACGATCGGTCATTTAGTGATTTCGTATTGATCAAATAAACAAGCAGCCAAATAGCCAAACTGGACAGTTGTTCGATAGTGTGAAAGAAAACGAAGAAAATTTCTTTCCTTTCTTTTCTGACACGTATAGAAAAAGAATAGAATGACGAAGCAAAAGGAAATAGAGAATAGAGAAACACGACCTCGATCCGATCATCATCGTCTGGTCGGCTCGAGGAGAGAGAAAGAAAACGAGAATGATTGTTTGAATATCATTGCATTGTCCTATGAAGATGTTGAACGTGGACGATGAATTACAAGAGAACGAAAGAGAGAACAGGAAAAAAGGAGAAAAAAAGAGATCATTGCCGACCACTGGTCGCCTAATTACTCTAGAATTATTTATTTCATCTTGCTAACTGTCATTTATCTTCATGGATTGTTTAGCCAACTGAACGATGTTGTCTAGGACAGACTTGTACTAGCCACAAGGCTTTCTATTCTTTGTATATACTAACAACAATGGCATGCAACGTATAGAAATACAGTAGATCGCCTTTTAAGATAAATCGATGCTCATCAGGCGATCAAAACGTCTTCTAATAATCGCACGTTCAACAAGCACCTGTTCATTGCTTATCACCGCCGACTAAACTTGTCCAAGAGGTATAATAATACATGACGAGAAACAAAGAAAAACGATGAAAACCGTATAATTAATCCTTTTCTTGATTATTATCATTCTCTTCTGCCTATAATTCATTTCTCCTTCACATACATATTACTACTTAACTGTTATCAATGTAAACAATTATCCAAATAGAATATAAAAAATGGTTATGCAGAGGACATTACCCGACAAGAAACAGACTAAGAAATCGCTTATACATATGCATGTATTGATTACCACATGTAAAGATCAAACAAGTCAATTTCTATGTATTGGAGACAACGATATGTATGTGCTCTTATGAACACCAGATAAGATATCTTGTAGCATCCTTGATAATCAATTTCTACCAGAAAATCAATCGATCAGAAAGAGAACTCTTGTGCTCTGCTTACCAGATTTTCTTGGAAAAGTCGAATAAATCGACGAGGACGTCATTGCTAATTGATTTTCATTTTGATCAATAATAGCTAAATCAAAGCGTAAGATATGATATTTATTGTAGTTGAGTTTGAGTAGAGACGTGTTGAATTTGTATTCGAAGAAATCCTTGGATAAATGTCGAACAATTTTAATGGTATCGATTGGAATAAGATGTGTGCGAAGACAATCGTCATTGGATTGTGTCAAATCAGAATAGTAGACAATGTAGTTTTTAATCAATCTATGAGATCGATAATCGATAGACCATTTCAATGATATCGATTGATTAGGTTCGTCCGAGATACATTGAAAATTATCGATTGTACTTGAGATCAGATGTGAATTCAATAAACTATGATTAATCATATGGAAATCACTTAGGGTCGAGCCTTTCGCATTAACACTGGCCACACGAATGAACAACTGAACATTCGCAGGTATTGATATTGGAAGAATATAGAATGGACGCGAGTGAATACGAATAGTTGACCATTGTTCAAAAGGAATAGACGTATTGATTGTATAATAGAGAACGTAATACTAAAATAGAGAATAGAAATCTCTTGAGAATTTCACGACAAACGACAAAGATGCATCTCATGAGGGAAAAAAACAACATCTGTGAATTTGAATATGTCATGATGCGTTTGCAAAGAAATGGCAGAGTAAGTATTTGAAAGGCTAATCATCATCGTCGTCGTATTCTATCTTTCGAACTTCAGATTTAGTGAATCTTACAAAGTCAGGACCGTTTGTTGAACTTGTCGGCGACCAATGAACGACTACAGATGTGTGATTCCAAATATAACCATGCAATTTGTCGACTTTTTCTGGAAGACTTTCGCGAGTTTTAATAAAAACTGGATTGGAATAGTTCGATGGTACAGCGCCTGTGAAAGCTTTCAATCGAAATTCATAGTTCGTGTATGGTATCAGATTGGTCACCTACATGAACATTTGAACAGTTATTCTACTTTAAAATTTCCGGTCTTACTCGATAGGTAAGGTTGTAGTATGTTTGACTTGGATCAATGAATATTTGTTGATAATTTTGTATATCAATCAGCTCGTCATGTTCATCAATATCGATATCAAAATGATTCAAAGCACGATAGTAGACAATATAATGATTGAAACGATCATCGCGTTCATTCGGCACATACCAATCGAGAAGAACGCTTCGACTTTGCAACTGATCATAATTCAGTACTGGCTGAATGTGCACATCTATCCAAAAAGAACGAAAAAATAGATTTAATTCATGTTCAAACATAGCACAAGTCTCCCACCTGGAACGATAACATTAATGAAGATTCGTGTCAAACCATGCTTATTTTTCGCTTCACACATATACTGATTCAATCCATGCGTTTCACTAGCAACCTGCAAACTGGCAAGTAAATGTCCCTGCACCAAAGGAAGAGAATCGGAAACTATGATACAATCGATGAGTAGAAAAAAAGAATTTAACGAAAGCAGAAAGTAAAACCTCGAGTCCAAACGACTTCAGGAGACGGATGACCATCCGCAGTACAATTCAATGATATTTTCTCATAATGTTGAACGTGAAAGTTAGTGTTATTCACAAGATTATCATGTATACGTGGTAAAACCATGCGTTCTAAATACTAGGAAGATGTATATACATGCACGAGGATAGAATTTGCAGATATTTGCAAACAATATGATTGGACTCTTACCGGAAACAATCAATGAACGTTTACTCGAATACGATCGGCCAAGAGTGTTGAAAGCGATACAAACATAATCACTTTGATCGAAAAAACCCACGGAATATATCGATAGTGAACCTTGAGAAGAAGAAATTAGATTGCGTATTTTGATCTTGATCGATTAATACAAAACAATCGTCTAATTGCATGTTTCGAAACAATTGTTCGCACTTCGTTAAGTGATCTCAAGTGTCTACGCGTCATTTGATACTAGTGTATGCATATTACAGAAGATTCTTTTGACCTAATTATCGATGTGATACTTCTGAGCAAGGGAGCGTGATATGTCAAACATTTTTTAGGCCTTGATGAAACAATTTAATGGAAAAAGATAGTTCTCTCCTGTGAAACATAGGAAATAATTATCTAAAACGTAAATTATCAGATGAAGACGAGAAAAGGAAGGAAATAGTAGAAGAATAAAAGTCAAATTACATTAGATTGTTCAATAGAGGATATTTTTATTCTATTAGTCTTATTACTTGCTCATACATGTTTCTCTTTTTCTCAATAGAGATTAATTATGAGCAGGAAATATGAAAAACTTAATGTGAATCACTTTAATAATCTTGTCTTTTATGTAGTAAAAATGTTTTCCACAGGAAAATGAAATGCTTCTTAATCAAATTGAACTTACTTGAAGAATTGGCATTTTGAATTCGAACTCGATGTCCATCATCGTGTAGTAGTCGAATCGTTTTGATTCCTTTCGATGTATGCTTCAATTGTAACCAGAGAAAACTTATCGGATGCGAACTTTCAATCGATCGACATGTCGTATGAAATATACCATTGATTTGTATACGTTTTCCAAATGATGTCACTTCGTTGTCATCGATTATAAATGGTACATCGTAATCTTTAGCTAATTGTATAGCATAATTTTCGTTAAAGATCGCTGTTGATTCTTCGTCTTCGTTGACATTCGAGGATGGTAATTTCACATTGACCCACGCAGTTGAATTGATTTCATACGTAGAATTGACATGGATATGACATGTGTATTTTCCGTTGAATAGACTAGACTCTTTAACAATCAAGAGACTTAACGAGGATCCATAATAAAAATCAAAACAATCCGAGCTGTTTATCAAATGTTTACAATGTGTTAATATGTCCTGATTGGTATGATCGAGAGATTCATAATGCCAACGGATACGCTTTGCATGAATTGGATGAGATATTTGACAGAGATGATAAATATACGAATTAGGTTTATGTATAATCGTTACATTTTGCAATTGTTGAAGAAATGGTGATGTTCCTAAATTGTCATGAGAGTGACCATCTCGAAGAACACATGCTTTTGTCTTACCTTGAGTGAGTAGATATAATTGAAAGAAGAAACCAAGAACAATAGAAATCATGAATGGCGAGCTTGAATTCAATTAACATACGATGAATTTACTAGAATAGATCTGTTCATACTTTTTCCTAATGAAATGAATCGTTGTTGAGTTTATGCTAAAAACAAAGAACGTGAGTAGGAAGAAGGCCGTAATGTAAATGACAACGATCACGTATTCTTTGATTCTGTTCTCAAATATATACAAGATTGATACAACTAAATCATCTATTGCAAGATGTCTAAGTGATAAACGTTTGTAGACTCGATGAATATTTCATCTACAGGAAAGAAAGAAAAACGAGCATAGAACGATAGTTTAGATGCTGTCGGCATCGATAACGATGATGATTTATTTATTAAGTAAATTCAATCCTGACCCACATCAATTGACTAGAAGATCGACCTTGTTGCTGTAATAGACAACATCAATGAGTGTAAAGTATTTGAATTGTTCTTCGTCTTGACGAGGTTGTCATTGTAACATAATACTGCACAAAAACAAACTAATTGGTCAATGTTCAACTATTCTCTCCATGTGCACATTAACCGTGAACGTCTGATTTTCTTTCGATTAATCGTCGAGTGAATGAGTATATACAGGAAGAAGAAAAAATGTCTTACAATGTTTCTTTTGCGAACGTTTTCAGTTGTTATTTTTACAATTGATGTTTATGTCTCGTCTTCATCATTTCTAGCGTCGTTAGTCAATCACTAAGCAGAAAAACGGTTTGTCAGTTTCATTATTATTTCTTTGCCTTCAAGATGAAGATAGAACTAATTCAATTAGCATTTACAAATGATGATGAACTGAGAGAACTAACGCAAAGAAAATCATTTTGTAAACAAGTCATTATGTGCGTACAAAAGGTGCCTCCATTGCTTATGTCACTTAAAATTTCTTAGCAACGAAATTGTTGGAAATATGCGTGCGAAGATGGTTTTAATATTCACTGTTTCAGCGTTTCATGTGACTGATGAAAAAGCATTTGTTCTCGTGATCTTCTAAGATTTCTTTTATATTACACTCGACGCATACATCATTAATCTATTTTATGCTAAAATGGGTTTTGTTATTGAATAAGTAGACGGTGAATATCAACGAAGATATGTTTGTCAAACTGCGCTTTGTCAAATTTTCCAAACAGGAAAACACCCGTCGAGACACTAAACTATGACGCTTGTCACAATAGGATCAAGGGTTCGGTCGTATGAATTCTTACAATTTCCGTGAATATTTGATATTTTTTTGCAAAGTCTAAGATATTTATTTATTCTATTCCATTGTAGAGAGAAATTGGAGAAAAAAAAAGAGGGAAGTTACACGAGTAAATAAGAAAAATAATCTGATACAATTCAATAAGAAGAGAAAATGGATATGTCTAGTGAATATATAAAAAAGAAAACAGCTCTCATATCTCTCGATTCTTCTTTCTCATTCGATTGCACAGAAAAAAAAATACATATCAATATCATCCATAACGATGATTCAATCACAAACAGAACAAAGAAAATCTATAAAAAAAAAGAGGAAAAGGAAAACGTGTGATTTATTTTTCGAACGATTCATGCGCTAATTGATGAATCAACATTCGCTGTTGAGCACAATAAACACTTGCTTTCGACAATTGTTCATGATCGTAACGTTTGACGAGAATCTCATATTCCTTCGAACTGGTTCCTGATAAAGAATTATCGATACATTGTGCTACAATTCGAATACCGTTTGATAAGGATTGGAGAGTTTTGTAGGGTGAACGTTGTTGTAGATCAGGAGGCCAACAGTATTCGAATGGCGATGGTTGATCTGGATTGAGAATATATCGAGCAATGTACGTGGCACTCGCAGCGATCAATGACGGAGATAAATCAATACAGGACACATCGAGTAATGCCATGTCGATAAGAAATTTACCAATCGCATGCTGTTCATCACTACAGCTCGATATAAACGAAAAACGGCGGAGAAATTGGAGACTAGAATAAATGTTGAATTGATTAGATGAACAGGAAGAAGAGATGGAAGGTTTACCTTGTCGGTCGATTGAGTTCAAAATGTAGTTCATGAAGAATTTTCTTTTCCATTCGTTTGACTTGATCACTTGTATAAGCATGATCAGTAACATAAACAAGTTCATCGACTGGTGGATGGTGTGTTTCCTACACATACAAGAATAGAATACAAGTTGACAACGAAACCTTGACTTACTTCCACTTTTGCCGCTAGAAGAAATGTCGCAACAGCGATCAATTGTAAATTCTTTTGAGTGACAAAATTCTTGTCTCCATTTGTTCCGGTGATACACTGTTGAAGAAAACGATCGAGTAAACCAATACAACTGAATAGAAAGGTAAGACAAAACTATTTGAACGTTTTTTTTTAGCAATTCATGTTCTTACATGTGTAAGGCATCTTGAGATAAATGAAATCGCGAATAGAATAATTGTATAAGCCATCCGACAACAATCAAACGATGTTTCGCGGTTAGTTTCCATGATCGTATTGCACTTCCATTCGCTATTGTTATAATTCCTAATGATGGATTTGTCAAAAACGATGAACGGACAGGATACTTTTTTTCCAATGTGTACAATAAATTCATAATATCAGAAATATAATCTATAGCATAGGACGGATCAATTGGTTCATCGTCACCATCATTTCCTGCTTCATTTACATAGGGTGGCTCGATTTGTTCGATATGGATTTGTTCGGCAAGATAATTATCCAGAAGGAGATTGGGTGTTTTTTGACGAAGTGCGATTGTTGATTTTACAGAACAGTTCTCTTTGTTATCAGATCCGATCAAATCCATTTTTTTGACATTTTCAGTTAACGAAGCGACAATGACTTGTTTTAACGTTTCGCCATCACTTGTTGAATTATCCAATGACGAACCCGAAACGATGACAGCGAGCTTGTTCAAAGATCTTCGCCGTTTGAAAACAACATGATTTTTCGAAATGATACCAGTTCGTTTCGTTAAACCGACTGTGCGCAGATCAGTTTCCGACTTGATCTGTTCATTTTGAATGGATTTCAACATTGTATTCGTTGTTGAAGTTAACATCGAACTTCGAATTTTGGTTTGTCGAGCTAGTGAAGCTTTTGTCGGACGAGGCATAACAACTGTTGGATGTTTGATTGATGGACGCATGTTTAAAATGAATGAATGGCCGAGTTTGTGAGAGACAGACGGTTTTGAATGAACGAAATCGTCAGCCGCGAACAATGGGCTATAAATGAAAAAAACTTTTCTCGTCGATGAAAATTAAACATTTTTTTCATTGAATTCTCTTCGTTCACAAATAACGCAAAAAACACGACATTTTCCTCCATCTGCATAGATGGTTTTCGTCGCCAAATAGAGGCCTGTTACATTCAACCAGTCATGTAATAAACACCAATGAAAATGTATTTCTTCCTCTTCCTACACATCTTCGTGTTAGTTATTCAGTCGTTTTATTTCACATCAACAAACGGTCACGATGGATGCTATTTACTATTTTTTTTTCGGTTTTTTTTTCAGATCTCGCATTTTTGACTGATCAACAATGCGAGCTAAGTGGCGAAAGAAGCGTATGCGTCGTTTGAAACGCAAAAGAAGACGTAAGAAACATGTCTTTCCTGTTCTAGTCTTGTATCATTGTTGTTGTTTTTTGTTTGTTTGTTTTTTTCTAGGTATGCGTGAGCGTTCCAAATAAACTTTGGCTCGTCCAAACTGAAACAAAATATCGATGGAATCAAGCAGCAACAACATGATTTCTGGCTCGACGATGAACTCGACGTCATTTTTTCGTTGTTTTGATGATCCTTTTGTTTCGTGGATGACTGACACTCACAAGAATAAAAAATGTATCTTGCAAAAGACCTATGCTGACATCCTTTCTGTTTCTCTTGACAACGATATATCACATTGATAACGTCTCGTTGGTTTCCATAGAAAATTTACGATCTAGTTTTTCGAAATCAGATGATAAATAGATGATCAAATGAAGATTTTATTTAAGAGTTTTCGAAATATACTACTAAAATAATAATTGATGAAAAATGCGAACGATCACAAGAGAACAAAAAAATGAGAATAATTGCATTCGAAAATTGGTTCATTTTGTCATATCTTCTACAATTTTTCGTACGGCATCAGCTAGTTGATCGGCTTGCTCTTGCGTTGCAGCTTCTGCATAAACACGTACGATATCTTCTGTACCTGATGGCCTAAAGAGGAAGAAAGTCTGTAGAAGTCGAATTTTCATCGTTTCACCTACCGAACAAACGAACGGCCCGATGGATATTTTGAAACTAGTTCATCGATACAATCTTGTAGGTGAACTGGAGCCACACAACGACGTTCGGCATCGGTTGTTTGTATCATTGTTCGATCTTTGACCGGAACTTTTAGTTGTCGTTGAGGTAGATCAGTATATAAATTCAACCAGCCTTCTATGGACAGATTCAACACAGATAGAATAGCTTCTGTTGCAAGTAAATCAGCAATCGCATCACCAACAGTTTCGTTAATAATATCAATAAATGCTCGAAGTTGATTCGCAGCTAAACGTTCGGCTTCAGTTCGACTAAACAACCAGCTTCAACGCCCTCATCACAACCAATTAGACTTACTTTGCATCTTCTGCTGCAGCTTTTATCTTATTCTTTACATTATCACTGAATAGTATCTAAATAAACTTCCCTGATAAAGACGCGAGATAAAACAAAGCACAAACTTACTGTTCCATGACCATTGGCTTCGAAATAAATACCAATGTCATAATCAAGTGCTTTGTGATGTAAATGTTTCACACCAGTTGGTACACAAGCGACTGGCACTTTCTAAAAAGAATTAGAATCTACTATGTAGCATGGTAGTCAATGGATTGTACTAATATATTGATAATATAATCCGTTGAACTTCCATTGGCATAGGCCGTCTGAATAACGCCGATCTGTACTTGATCAAGTAATTTAGCTTCTTGTAATTTCTTTGCAATAAATGCTACGAATAGAACTGAAAATCGGTCGCCATCAAGCATACGAAATTGATGATTTTGATCCATGAAAAAGTACACTAAACGATCGGCATCACCATCGATTGAACAGTATTTAGAATAGTTTGTCAATGGTAAACCCTCAGGAGCTTTCTGATATAATTTAACATAATCTGCACCGCACTAGATTCGAAAGAGTGTCGATTGATGACTAACTCGTTCACTATTCCTTTACTTTTTCATTCAAATGACCACGTGTACCATCGTTGAATATTTCAAGATGAAGTAAACCTGGCAATTGTTGATTTACATAGGTAAGTTTATGAGCACCAATGCCATTAGCAGCATCAACAGCGAGCGTTTCACAAGGTTTGGTATTCGGTGTCATCTAATGGGAAACAAATTTACAAAGCAAATGGTTCGATCGTTTTCTGTTACCTCAATTAAATTTTGAAAGGCAGTACACAGTTTCGTAAAATAACCGGCTTCAGTATAATGTCCGTAAAGTCCGTCATCATTGTAGCATCGAACAGCGTAATGAAGTTGTGGAGTAGTCAATAATTCTATGATGAAGTCAAAATAAACATGGTCGTCTTTGCAAGATTGAATCAGAATTGTCCTTACCAAAATTCATCACATTTGCGTAGAAAATTTCTGCTGCTCGTTGAACGATGCTTGCTAGAAGAGGACTACTCTGTCTAAATCATATATTCAATGAAGAGATGATGCATAAGTTGACAATCATTCGACAAACCGTGTATCGTATGCGATGGCAATCATGGCATTGTCATGTAGTTGAACATTCAATTGTGCCATTAATGTTTCCAAGTACTTCCATAGTTTATTAACGTCATCACTAACAGTACGAATCAAAGAACATTTCTTTAACTCAAACACAAACGATTTTACTCGAGCGATGATAAATTATTTGCAAAAACTTCCCACGATTGGTCGAGCATTTCGCCATGAGGATCGATCAATTTTACACCATTATCATGTTCTGGATTATGTGACGCTGTTATCATTGTTCCAATACAAGCTACAAAGAAGATTGCATTAGTCAATAGAAATTCTTAACGTAAGATCGAATAACCTTGTTTAACTTTTGATCGAAGTGCAGCAAGAATACCGATTCGAATCATTATCCAAGGAAGTATGTCTGATCGAGAACGAAAACCTGCAGTACCATAACCTAAGATAATCCCAGTTGGTTTGGGATGCTCTCGCATCAATGCTGCTAGCTTTTCTTTTGCTGCTTCTGACATATCTAAAAATCAAGGTAATCATGCGTGTTAATCAGTAATTTAATCAATCAAGAAAAAGCAAATTAGACGACATTAAACTTCATAAGATATTTCAAATCATGTTCCCCTTCCATTCCAGCTTCGATTTGATCACCTCGTCTGACAGGACCGACGCCGGCGGGTGTGCCTGTTAAAATCAAATCGCCATGTTCAAGCGTTATATACTTAGAAATATAAACGATCAAATCCGGAACTGAAAAGATCATATCGCGCGTATGACCATTTTGTCTTCTATTGCCATTAACATTTAGCCATAGATTAACAGATGACGAAAGACTAATCTTCTCTTTCGGAATAAAATCGCCACATGGACAAGATGTATCGAAGCCTTTGGAAAGTAACCATGGCAGACCTTGGTCTTTCAATTCATTTTGAAGCTTTCGTTCCGTCATATCTAATGCTAAACAATAACCACCGATACTTGCTTCTGCTTCTTCTTTCGAGACATTTTGGCATTGTTTATCGATGATCACACCGAATTCCACTTCGTGATGCAGTTCATCCCAATCAGCTGGAATCTAATCGTCAAACGTCGGGAAATCAATATTCTCGATGAAATTAACGAACGTACTCGAATATCATTAGGTTCAGTTACGAAAGCACTGGTTGGTTTCATAAAGATTATCGGTTTGGTAGGAACAGTCTAAGGAAAAACATCATTTGAAATCGAAAAACCAAAAATTTAACGAATCTACATTGCCGAGTTCACTTGCATGTTCACTAAATAACAATTCAATACAGAAATGATCCTCGATCAAAAAGTGGTAAATCTCTCTTTACCTGTAGTTCCGACCAACAGCGATGATCTTCTTACAAATTGAACGAAAGTTCTTCAATGAATCAGCCATTTTCAATTCGGCCTATATTTCTTACGACAGTATATAGTCACTGTAGTAAACTGCTGTTCTGTAGTATGTTCGAATTCGATTGATGATTCATTGCAGCAATTGTAAATTTTATAGATGGCTATGGTTGTACTTTTTAAAGTGAAAAAGATAACGATGTTGTAGCACATGAATCTACTGCATCTGAATCGAAATCTACCGAAACAGTAGTGTACCGGATTTGAGTGTCAACGTCAAATGGATATTTGAAAATATCCATGTTTAATGCTCAGGATGATCAGGGAAATCTAGAGAAAATTTATTAGCATTAGCTTTAGAGTGCTGAAAATTGATAAACCTGGTATACGTTCCAAACTCTGTCGAAATCTATGCTACTCGTCATTTACTGGTTTCTGAAAGAACAATGATCAACCAATCGTATCTTACTGTTCTGATCTGTCTCAACTCGTTAACCTCGAAAAATGAAAATCCACAGAGCATTTTATTTCCATTACACATCGCCATTTTAAGCTCAATCAAAAAGACATGCCTGGCTCGAAAGGACATCAATGGAAAATACTTGCCGTAGGACGCGAAGCAAAAATAGCAGAGGCACTTGAACATTTTATGCATGAATCAAATTACGACAATGTCAAAGCTATTGCACTCGAAAATGATAAAGATAGTGATGGTAGATTTATCGAAATGCTCAAGAGTAATGAATGGGATGCGGTGTCAATTGGTATGTTGATATTTTCATGGTACATAATAAAAAAGAACCTTTCTTCTAGGTGCTGGTGTGAATGGATTTGCAGATATTCCTCATGAAGTTACAACTCTTCATTGGTTTAATCGTCTTGTTAATCTTGTACATCAACACTCACCAAAAGCCAAACTTATATTCGTAACTGGCCCTGAAGATCTGCCTGATGCAGCTGAGAGAGTATTAGGTGCCACAGAGGCACCCGTTGAAACCGTCTGATTGTTCTACGCACTTTTTTTTGTAAAGACAGTGCATATTTTCTTGTTAAGTTTTATTCTCGCAAATAAATATACTTTGGATTACAGAACAATCGAGGTGGAAGTGCTCAAATCCAACGTTCATCGTTTGTGTGATGTCAGAAATCAATTATTTCGTTCGAACTGCGAACTTAACAAAACGAATATGGATAGTGAGGAATGGCAATGTCGATAGAGATGACAAACGATCAGCTTGACAGAGTCATAGTATTAAGGCGAAATGACTATGATTAAGAACTCCAGCGATGTGACCGTGCTCTGTTATTTATTCATAATACAATAAACTTTTTCCTCACATAAAATAAAAAAGTGCTTTTACCGTGGGTATAATGATCGTGGGCGCCATCTGTCGCGAAAACACATACTGATTAGCCTGTGAACTGTCGAGTGGCAGCCAATCAATAGTGAATCTTTGTAACCCTCGTTCGTTGTTGTTATTATTTTTCGGTTATGCATGACTCATCTTTCTATTTTTTAGTTTTTGAGTGTCAGCTGATTTGATTCTATTCTGGATATTGTCTACACATATTTTGATAATTGTTCCTTGCTTGAAATACCTGAAACATTATTCATTACATATTTTAGAATTTTATTTATGTATTATTATTTTTTGTATTGAAATTAACTGCCTGAATGTCCTATGTATCATCTATTGAATTAAGAAAAGTTCGTCCCGAAGTAGTCAAGTAAAGATTTTTTTTATTACCATCTGCAAAAGATTAACAATAGATTTCATTTGATTTAGTGAGAAAAGTGTTTTAGAATCAGTTGTCGATCTTTTCCACGATGTCGTAGAAAAAGTTCCTCAAGTACGTTTCTTTCTTTTTGATTTCAATCGTGATAAACCATTCGTAAATATTCTCACTCAGGCTTATGCAATATCATCTCGGCCGGCAAATACGGATCAGTTAGAACCAATCGAATGGATGCGATTTCTTCCCAACGCACATGAATGGCATTCGTCTATACGTATTGATACACTCGTTCTGTTAATTGCATATAAGAGCGGCCTAGCATTATGGACAATCGAAACCAATGGCATCGCCAATGAGTTATTTTCAATTCGAGAACATAATCTATCGTCTGTATGTTTATTAACAAGCGCTCCTTCTCAAGATGATCTTTACCTATCCCAACGTCCGTTATTTGCATTTGCTAAATCTGCTGGTCCACCTTCGATACATATTCGTTCGTTAAAAAACGATCAGCAAGCTTTGAAAATCATTAATCTGCCAGGCATTGGTGCTCAGAGTGAACCTCTATGGATCGAAGCAAACAAATCTGTGTTAGTTTGCGCGACACACACATTTATCATCGGTTATGATGTGATGAAATTCGATGAAAAATTCTTCATTTCAAATTGCTATTCGTCGATTCCTTACACGTTATCAACACGATGGTTAGCATTTGTTGACTCTCGTCTATATATGATCCATCAATCATCAGGCGGAATCGATGGAGCGATATCTGAACAGCACAGTTCGTACACAGGTGCAATGCTGAATGCAGCGAAAACATTATCGAAAAGTGTAGTAAAACTTGGTGAAAGCGTTCTAGGATATGGTAATAGTAGTATTCAAGTAAATAATGCAATGGCAAATGAGAAAACATCAAATCAACAAACGTCAGTTACGACGAACGGAAATACGAATTCCACGCGACATCGACATGGATCAGGAAAAGATGAATCGCAACCGGGCATGGTTACCATTGTTGATACAGTTAAATTATTTGGAGTAAGAAGAGTAGATTGATGTGACATGATCATTTTCGTTTCTCTCATAGGCATCTGTTCATGATGAACGACAAAATTGGATTATTGCACATTTTCAAGCACATACAGAACCGATTGGTCATCTGCAATTCAATCCAAGTGGCCATTTACTTGTTACATGTGATAATGGTGGACACCATTTCAATGTATTAGAAGTTAGAGCGTCACCTTATCGTTGTACTCGAACGTATATCAAGCATTTGTATACCCTATTTCGAGGCGATACAGATTGTCGAGGTAAAGACGATTCAGATCATTTAGAAGACATATAGAATTGAGATAACGAAAATTTTTTCTTTTTAGTTTCACATATGACATTTACAAGCGATAGTCGATGGCTTGCTGTGTCGACAAAGCGTGGCACAACACATCTGTTTGCTATCAATCCATATGGAGGTATGGTTATTTACTAGCACAACGGTTAAATAATCGCCATTTTCAATTTTAGGTGCAGTCAATGTTCGTACACATACGAAGACTCATGTTGTCAATAAACTTACTCGCGATCAGCGCGCAGCCGGTTTTGATGAACAAACACCTCGTCCATCAAATGATAGTGCAACAAAAGATTCATCGACGAATACATTAACCAACACGTTAACTAATCCGCCGCATAATCAGAATGCAAACTATTTCAATGCTACCCGTGCGAAACGAGCTAATAGTGAATGTGTCTTTTCAACAGCTATTACATTAATTCGGCAACCAACGGATAGTTTTGTTAGTGGACTCAGTGCACCCTTTAATATTGATTCAATATGTTTGGCGGCAACATTCGGCATATCGCGTGGATTCCTCAATCCGGAAGAGATGATCAATCAGCAAGAACATACACCGAAAGCATGTAGTTCACTGTTCGTTATCAGTTGGCATGGACGATTGATTGAATATGTACTCGAACCTTTACCAGGTAATTGCTTTAGATGCAACCAATTTTGATATACGAAACGAATCTATGTTAGATATGAGTAAACATGGTACTCGAGTCACACCCGAAACGCCAGTGGCATTGAAGGCTACTCCAAAAGCACAATGGCCACTTCAGAAGTAATGTTATTCAATTATTATTCGTAGAAATCTGAAGTTCTTCTTTATGGTAGATTGGCAACTTGGCCAGAAGTTCGTATGTCTCTTGGTTATTCGTTTCTATCACAAGGACAGCGACCAACTACTGTCAATCGGGTTCATTCGAAAGATGATTGGCTCCGTCAAGTATAGTTCTTGTTTAAAAAGACGATCTTCTGCATACAAAGTTTTTATTCTCTGGTAGGTGGAAATGAATACACATGTTGGTCCTCATCGTCGTCTCTGGATGGGACCGCAATTTCAATTTAAGCATTATTCGCAAGCAACAGTGAGTGTATGCCATCCCGATTCAAATGTATGTACAGCTGATTCTCCACAAACATCGATGAATGTCATCGATGCTGATTTGCAAACCTTAGAGTAAGCACTGTCTGATTTATTCGCTCAAAGTTAACTACAACGTATTTTGTAGCACGGAACGGTCAAGAACTACACCGATGCATGTTCCGAGTATTCACAAAGATATCGCGCCAGCTTACATTGAAGTCGGCTCGGGCAGTTATCAAGTAAGAAATTCCATCGATGTTCTTTTACGAGGAGGAATCTTGACCTCTATGTTGTATTATAGGATGCACCTTCATTGAGTATCTATGGAAGTTCGTTGGATAGTTTGAAATCCGATTTTGAAGTAGAATTAGTTAAAAAACTAGCAGATGCAATTATGGATCTACCATTAAAGAATGGTCTGTAGATGAACATTTCTGTTTAATTTTTAAATAATCATGAGATCGATTGATTTTTAGTTGTCAATTGCGGCGATATAAATGATTCATTAAGTTCGTCGACTTGCAGTAGTACAGTCGTACGACCATTGCAAGCGAACCATTCAATTGAAAATATGATGCCATTTCCTGATACTGGCGATTCAACAGATTAATTTCGACATATGTATATGTTACATGTATTTTCACCTCAGGTTGTTTCAAAGTTCTTCGCATTGACTTCCGTGTTCGTTTTCTTTTCTTTCGTTCTTTTTTTTTCTTATGAAAAAGACTCCTACTTGTATTCGCATACTATTTCTTCGTCCCGGTTTCGTGCATGTACGATGTCTAGTCTTATATGTGTTGATTTATATTAGAGCCTCTCATGTATAAAACGAAAAAAAAAACACGACACTTCTAGCGAACAGTGGAAGGATATTCAGTCGAAATCATTCGATTTTCTAGTCACTGATTTGCTACTTTGATTATTCCTTTCTTTTCTCTCTGTGTATTTACGACTTCCCTATTTTCTAATTTGTATATAATATATAAACTACTGTGCGTTTCTTTGTCTTTTTTTTTCATTTCTTTATTCTTAATAAAAAAAATACCAAAAACCTAAGTATATGAACACATGGAAAGAAACTAACAATTGACTATTGAAAACGATTATCTATCGTGCGAACAATATTTGATATTCTTTCGCAAGCCTATTTTCTTTCTTTTCCTTGATATGTTTACTTGATAAAACAAGCCCGCTGTTGCCAATTCCTCGCGATCGAAATACTGACAGTGTTGGTTACAGCTGTGCACATTGCCTCTTTTTTAATATTCCAATATAAGACAACAAAATCCTTTTTTCTCTTATTACACTTTTGGTATACTAACAAACGATGCTAAGCGACGAGACGAATACGAATAATAATAATGCGCCGAATTCCACGGGCAAAATGCAGTCCACTGCTGAAATTCAACAATTCACTGCCTATTTGCTTCGTGTAGTTCCTCTAGCGGCGGATTTGAATTCGATGAATGAAACGGAAGAATTCAAACGAGCTTTGGAAGAAAAGGCATCAGCTATTGACGGAGTCAGACGATTCTTAAGCGATCCGCAATGTGTCGTGCTTTTCATTCGAATTGTTCAACCAGGAAAAGGTACTTATCTTTATCGAACGATGATTTGTTATAACTTTGATATTGCTTGAACTATAGACGAGGAACAAGATGGCGTTGACGGGGCTGACACTAATGGCAACAGTTCGATTCAATTCGAATTTTCAACTGAAACAACCTATGCAGCGCAAAAAGGAATGAGGTAAACGAAAAGACATGATTTCATCATCGAAAAACATCGTGATTGATTATTATTGCAGCATAGCGCTAATGAAGATCACGCCTACAATTGACATGGACAAGAAAATATCTCAACAAATTCATTTGGCTACATTTACAAATCGTGCACCAGCGGAAGTCTTTCGAACATTTCTTTCTCAAGCAATGGCACCCTATCTGAAGAGTTTTCTTCGTCAACAGAAAGAACGGTTTGTAAAACAAGTGTTCTTTTTTTTCGCAAATTCACGAGGTTTATTTTATCAATCGTAGTGACCGTGAAAAGTCTATTGTAGTCTTAGAAGAAAAGTTGAATGAACTTGAAGCAAATCTTTTACAAATGAATCAGACAGTGAGCATTCCCGATGTCATTCTTGTACCTCATGCATCGGTCGCTCAAGCTATTCGACAATGTCAGGAAAAGAATCAACGGCCAAACGTTGACTTTTTCCGTGAGAAAGTCGAAGATTCCAATTTTCTAAACCAATTACAAGCAACGGTGAATCGATGGATTCGAGAAATTCAAAAAGTAAATCAACACCCTTCAACTCTTGCCTATTCACATATTCAATTCTTGCAGGTAACGAAATTAGAACGAGATCCGTCGACCGGATCAGCCATGCAAGAAGTCACTTTTTGGTTGAACATCGAACGTGCATTATATAAAATTCAAGAACAAATGGGTAGCACTGAAGTTCAATTAACTCTAGACGCGTTGAAACTCGGCAAACGCTTTCATGCAACCATTAGTTTTGATTCGGATACTGGCCTGAAAGAAGCAATGGACAAAGTGAAAAACTACAATATGTTAATGAAAGATTTTCCCATGCATGATCTTCTCTCGGCAAATGATCTACCGAAAATAAAGAATTCTATTAGTGTCATCTTCAATCATCTCAAACGTGTTCGAAATACACGATATCCCATCAATCGGATTTTACGTTTAATTGAAGCGATCTCACGTGATCTTAACACTCAAATGATTAAGGTAAATATAGTTTACGACACAGAGGCAAACAGAACGTTTGTTATAAATATAGATTCTATCGACTACACATTTAATTGAAATTCCAATTAGTAATTTCGATCATATAGTGAATGAATGCATGGAAATCTTCTCATTATGGGTAAGACATATCGAAGGTGAAATGTGTGCAGAGACGAATGAATGAATTTAGGATGAAGAGTACGAAAAACTGCAAGGTTTACTTCGAGATATGACGAAAAAGAATGCAGTTAATGCTCAACAATTGAAACAAGCATGGAAAATTACTCCTGAACATAAAAAGTTACAGGCACGTTTAGAACAAGTGAAACAATTTCGTCGTCAACACGAGCAATTTCGTTCTGTTATCGAACGTCTCTTATCGAAACAGTCCGTCGTTGAATCTTCACCAGGAGCTGTTCAACTTGTTGATCAGACAGATTCGAATGCTGTTCAAGAAATCCAACAAGCTTTCGAAAGCTTAAAACATATCGATATTCTCGAATGTTCACCCGAAGGTACACAAATGTGGAACGATACGATGAAGATCTATGAAGAACGAATTGAGAAAGTTGAACGACGCATAACCGCGCGTCTTCGAGAACAACTCGCCAAGGCTCGAAATGCCAATGAAATGTTTCAAATTTTCGCTCGCTTTCACGATCTACTCATTCGACAACACATCCGAAATGCGATTCGTGAGTATCAAACTCAGTTAATTCAACGAGTGAAAATCGACATCGATCAACTACACGAAAAATTCAAAGCGAAATATTCGGCGAGTAAAGCAATGAAAATGAGCCGAATTACAGTGGATATTCCGGTAACAACAGGATCGATTATCTGGGCAAAACAAATTGAGAAGCAGTTGGTGCGATACTTAAAACGTGTGGAAGATGTGCTCGGATCTGGATGGGAGCAACATGTCGATGGACAACGATTGAAATTCGAAGGAGATAGTTTTAAACAACGTCTAAATACAGCACCCATCTTTGAAGACTGGCTGGAAAAAGTATTTCAATATTCAAAAGCGGCTTTTTTTTTAAGATAAACTCGTTTGTTCTTTAGGTTTCAAAGAAAAGCATGAGTGTGGTTGGTTTCATATTTAGTTTGGAAACTGTTCGAGCAGCCAAAGGAAATGTACTTCGATTGAAAGTTAACTTTACCCCTGAGATCATTATGTTAACAAAAGAGGTGAGTGTTGCAGTGTGTTTTTATTTTATTCAATAGTTTCTTAGGTTCGGAATTTAAAATGGCTCGGTTACCGTGTGCCATTGCCGTTGGTCAACAAAGCCCACCAAGCCAATCAGCTGTATCCGTATGCTGTCGGTTTACTTGAAAATGTTCGAGCGTATGATGTATCCAATTCGAAAGTAAGTACGCTTTTCGAAAGCTCGTCATGCATCGATGTTTTTCTCATAGCTCAATACCGATCACGGACAAGATTACTTGGTCGGAAGTATGAAAAGAGACATTCAAAATCTAATCACCGAAGGGACGAAATTAACCTGGGAATCGTACAAATTAGAACCATACGTTCAGCGATGTATCGAAGCATTTACAAAATATAACGAAAATGTCTGTGAGAAGGAATAGCAAACATCAGTAGACATTGATGTTGGTTTCGTTTAGGTTGATGAAATCATTCGTTTGGATAACTTGATGTTTGAATCGATTGATCAATTGAATAAGTGTTCGTATGAGATCAATACATTTGCTGAATTATTAGAACAGACGCAGAAAGTCGTAGATGAATTTTGCTTGCATGATTATTCAAATTTTCCGAAATGGATCGCGGTTATCGACGGCAAAGTTGAAAGGAACCTTTTTGATCGTTTACAAGCCGCGATAACACTATGGAATCAGGCATTGATCAGGCGTGAAAAAGGCAAATTGAAAGAGAAGAGACGAATGCGATTAAAGGTAATACACTTCTTATATTCTCTTAATCACTGTCTTGATTTTTAGAAAATTATCCTGGAAATTCGTATTGTCAATCAAATGTTGGTATTAGTTCCTCCATTTGAGTCTGCTCGGGAGCAACTGTTCAATTCATTTTTCGATTGTCAATCAGGTACAACGCTTTTCATTATGAATGGATAGTTTTAACTTCATTATGTTTCAGTCATTACATCACAAAAGCGCATAAAGAGTAGTCGTTATCATGTATGTTTTTCTTTTCTATTAATATATAATTGTAGTCAATTGGCTCTTCAGGTCAACGCAGATATCGAACCGGAAGAGGAAGATTTGACTTACAATGACTTGTTTCTCAAATTTCCTGAGGAAAGTAGTATATCTATTGGTGCAGCTTATGATGCCATCGAGCAGTTACTTGTGGAAGCGGAAACTTATTTTCAAGTAAAATCTTGTCTAATAGATACAAACGTCGTTCACTGTTGTAATTCGTAGGGTTGGCTTAAATACCAAGTTCTCTGGGATTTGGAGCCGAACGTTGTTTTCGAACGTCTGGGTACAAATATTCAATCATGGTTTGAATGCTTGAAAGATATCAAGTATGAACGGAGAGTTCGAATTGTGTTTGTGTGTATATACACGAATCTATTCTAGGGAATCGCGCAAAACACTTGATACACAGGAAACATACAAATCATTCGGTCCATTAATCATCGACTTTTCGAAGATACAATCAAAAATTGGTGTTAAGTATGACAATTGGCATCAGGACCTTCTTCGAAAGTTCGGTCAGATCATTCAAACAGTTACCAATGATTTCTACACCCATATTTCCGAAGTAACTTCTTTGTTTTCATTAGCACTTGCTTCTATCGATAGTCTAGCATCAAAATAATCTCGAAACAAAATCGCTCGAGTCGGGTAGTCTCGACGAAAGTGTACAATTAATGGAGACAATCGATGTTGTTCGCGAAAATCAAGCCGAAAATGAACTCAAAATTAAACAATTGCTTGAAGCTCAACGTTTACTTGAGCGACAACGTTATTCATTTCCAGATAACTGGACATCCATCGATACAGTACAAAATTCCTGGGTGTCGATGAATGACATGTTGAAACGAAAGGAACAAGTCATCAATACTAAAGTTTGTTCATTGTTTTTGTCGAATATGGTAAACAGAACTTGATAGTGGTTTTCTAGTTGGATACAATTCAAGAGAAAGTCAAAGTCGAAGCACAAATTATCGACACAAAGACAAAGGAAATCTTGGAAGATTGGTCAACGAAAAAACCGATCGGAGTAGGAGGATAGACGATGTGAATGACTGTATATATTCTGAATTTGTTTCGTTAGGGTGATTTGAAACCTCGCGATGCCATTCGACAACTAGCTTCATATGAAAATAAACTTAATGAACAGTTGGAGAAACGAGCGACGCTTAATAAAGCGAAACAAAGTGTTAAAATTCAAGAATCCGGTAATCTATTGTGAATATTTTCTCTAGAACTGAATTCATCAATCTTTTTTCCTCAGGTCATGTCGATCATTATGAGAAACGGTTACGTGCTGACCTTGCTGAACTTGAAGAGATTCGTAATGTCTGGAAATCTCTTGAGAATGTTTGCAATCGTTTAGAAGAACTCAAAGATATCCAATGGCTCACTGTTCAACCGAAAAAACTCAAAGCCAATCTCGAAGAACAACTCGCCTCAATGTCTGCAATGGTTTCCTCTGTGAAAAATTATCATTCATACAATGCCGTGAAATCAAATATCGAAAACTATCTCAAAGTATACGACTTTATTTTACTCTTTCATTTTACAAAATCGATACGGTTTAGATGATTCCATTCATCAATGAATTGAAATCTGAAGCTTTAAAAGAACGTCATTGGAAGGATATGATTAAGATACTTGATTTATCAATGACATGGAACAACATGGCCGACGTCACTTTACGAGATATTTGGGAACAAGCTGATAATCTGAAGAAAAACGAGCAGCAATTACGTGATATCATGACCAGTGCTCAAGGTGAAAAGGCTTTGGAAGAATTTTTGAAACAAATCAGTGAACAATGGAAGGTCTATCAGTTAGAATTAATTGATTATCAAAAGAAATGTAAAGTGATCAAAAGCTGGGATGATTTATTTACACGAGCAAAGGAAAATCTTAGTAACATATTGAGTATGAAGTTATCACCCTACTTCAAAGTAAGAGATCGAGTTATTTACGTTTACTGACACTCTCTTTTGTTGAATATTTCAGGCTTTCGAAGCAGAAACACTTTCTTGGGAGGATAAACTGAATCGAATCATAAATATCTTCGACATTTGGATTGATGTGCAACGACGATGGGTCTATCTTGAAGGTATATTTACCTCCTCGACCGATATTGCACAGTTATTGCCGAATGAATCTCAAAAATTTCAAAGTGTAGCCAATGAATTCGTTGGGTTATTGAAAAAAGTTGAAAAATCATCATTAGTGCTCGNTGGGAGGATAAACTGAATCGAATCATAAATATCTTCGACATTTGGATTGATGTGCAACGACGATGGGTCTATCTTGAAGGTATATTTACCTCCTCGACCGCTATTGCACAGTTATCGCCGAATGAATCTCAAAAATTTCAAAGTGTAGCCAATGAATTCGTTGGGTTATTGAAAAAAGTTGAAAAATCATCATTAGTGCTCGATGTGATTGCGATACCCAACGTACAAAAATTACTCGAGCGTTTGGCCGATTCGTTAACGAAAATTCAGAAAGCATTGGGAGAATATCTCGAACGACAACGTGCAGCTTTTCCACGGTGAGACTTCATTGTGAGATTTTCTCCGATAGAAAATGTTTCTATGTTATTTAGATTCTATTTCATTGGTGATGAAGATTTATTAGAAATGATCGGTAATTCGAATAATCTGTTACGTTTACAGAAGCACTTCAAGAAAATGTTCGCTGGTGTTCATGCATTGATCATCAATGAAGAAGATTCGTCCGTTATCGAAGGTGTGCAATCGAAAGAAGGTGAACTAGTGAAATTTTTCAATCAAATATCGATTAAACAACATCCGAATATAAACGATTGGTTAACTCGCGTGGAAAAAGAGATTAGTCTAACTTTAGCCAAACTATTAGCACAATCAATCCCACAATTGATCACATTGCAGAAAAATGTCAACGATACTCAAGGATTTATCAACTGGCTTGATCAATACCAGGTTCGAAGGCTGATCTACTCGTTGATTAATGACGTTCGTTTTGTTTTTCTTCGTCTAGGCTCAATTAGTTGTACTTGCATTTCAAGTCTCTTGGTCAGAAAGTATTGAGCGTTTCCTCCATGACAAAAATGTTGATCTACAACCAGCACTTCGACAAATCGAAGCAACACTTGGCATGTTAGCCGATCTCGTACTTGCTGATCAACCGACTGTTCGTCGACGAAAACTTGAGCATCTCGTATGCAACAGAATTTGACTATCGATGGATATATATTGTTATCCTTTACTACAGATCATTGAACATGTTCACAAACGTGATGTCACTCGATCCTTGATCGATAAGAAGGTTGACTCAGCCACGAACTTCGAATGGCTTGCTCAGATGCGTTTATACTTTGAACCGAGCAATCAGAACGTACTGGAACAGTTGAAAATCCGTATGGCTAACGCAGAGTTTCATTATGGATTTGAATATCTTGGTAAAATCTTTTAAACCGGATCCATGAAGGTCTAATCTATTTCTCGTCTTGCAGGTTTACAGGATCGTCTCGTTCAAACACCGTTGACCGATCGATGTTTCTTAACCATGACTCAAGCATTGCATGCAAAATTTGGTGGTTCACCGTTTGGACCTGCTGGTACGTAATCCCATAATGAAGAATGATTGGACATTAACGATGTTTTGTATTAGGAACGGGAAAAACTGAATCGGTAAAAGCACTTGGTAACGCTCTCGGCCGATTTGTTCTCGTGTTCAATTGCGATGAAGCATTCGATTTTCAAGCTATGGGCCGTATTTTTGTTGGCTTATGTCAAGTTGGCGCATGGGGTTGCTTCGATGAATTCAATCGTTTGGAAGAACGTATGCTATCCGCTGTTTCTCAACAGATTCAAACTATACAAGAAGCGCTTCGGCAACAATCGTCAGCAAATAAAAGTAAAACTCTTCCAGCGAGCTTTTATCACTCCTAAATTAAAAACTATTCCTTCTAGGTACACTGAAAATTGAACTGGTCGGTAAAACAATCACTGTTAACTCTAACATGGCGATCTTTATTACAATGAATCCTGGCTATGCCGGCCGTTCGAATTTACCTGACAATCTTAAAATGCTTTTCCGCAGTTTAGCAATGACAGTACCGGATAAAGTTCTCATTGCACAAGTGATGCTCTATTCACAAGGTTTCCGTCAAGCTGAAGTTTTATCCAAGAAGATCGTTCCATTATTTACATTATTAAGTGAACAACTCTCCAATCAATCTCATTATGACTTCGGTTTACGATCATTGAAAAGTGTTCTGGTTATGGCTGGCAATATCAAACGTGAGAAAATTAAAAATGAAACAGCAAACGAAGATGAACAAGAAGTAATGAGATTTCAAAATGAAAAAGAATATATCTAGAAATTTATTTTCCATTTAGATTGTCATTCAAGCCATTATGGATAGTTTCGTTCCACGTCTTGTTGCGGATGATTTAGTTCTGTTGAATAGTCTGCTGAACGATGTTTTTCCCAACGCCACATACAATCGACCGTCGATGGCGCGTCTTCGTGAAGAAATTGAAAATGCCGCCAAAGAGCTCTTTCTAGTATGTGAAGATTTATGGGTAGAGAAGGTTTTACAACTGTATCAAATCACAAATCTCAATCATGGTTTGATGTTTGTTGGTCCTACAAGCTGTGGTAAGTCGTCTTTGGCATAACACAACACTAGTGAATGTGTTAAATTTGATTTTTCAGGTAAAACAATGGCCTGGCGTGTATTGCTAACTGCATTGAATCGTATCGAGAATTCTGACGGTCAAGCACATATCATCGATCCCAAAGCAATTTCTAAAGATGATCTATACGGTTATATGGATCAAAATACTCGTGAGTTTGAATTCATCTAGATTTTTGTAGTGTTATTGATTTACAGGTGAATGGACGGATGGTTTATTTACACATATTTTGCGTAAGATCATTGATAATCTTCGTGGCGAATTAACAAAACGTCAATGGATTATCTTTGATGGCGATGTCGATCCCGAATGGGTTGAAAATTTAAACTCCGTTCTTGATGATAATAAATTGCTTACCTTACCCAATGGTGAACGTCTTGCTCTTCCACCCAATGTTCGAGTGGTAAGTTCTTTCGATTTTCTCTCATATCAGTTACACTTTTCTCGAAATTTCAGATGTTCGAAGTTCAAGATCTACGTCATGCAACTTTGGCAACCGTATCTCGAACGGGTATGGTCTGGTTCAATCAACAAACAGTAACATCAGCTATGCTATTACAATACTACCTGAATCGCATTCGACAAGAATCTGTTTTCGATGTCATCAATCAGGATGATCCAAATAGTAAAGATACGGTCATTCAATCATCTGATGAGAACAAGGCAAACATCTTACAAATACAAAATCGTGTCGCTGATCTACTCGAACCATATTGTAGCAAAGAAAATGGATTAATTCTTGATACATTGGACTATGCAGGAGAGAAACAAGCACATATTATGGATTTCTTACCAGCGAGATGTTTACAAACATTGTTTTCTATGCTCAATCATGTGATACGCACGATTATCAAACGACAATTGTTTTCAGCCGATCGAACAACACCTCTGAGTGACAAACAGATCGAACAATATTTGGTGAAATCATTGATTATTTCAATGATTTGGTCATTCTCAGGCGATAGTAAATTGAAATATCGACAACAATTAGGTGAATTCATTATGAATACTATCAAAAACAGCAACATCTCATCACCGGCAGATAAAAGTTTACCAATCATTGATTTTGAAGTAGGACGATTAATCTGTTACTAATAGTTAAACAGAGTAGTATCTTGTTTGATGTTGAAGGTTAATAGTGAAGGCGAATGGGAATCATGGTTAGTCAAAGTTCCTACAATGGAACTTGAAGGAAATAAGGTTGATGCGAGCGATTTGGTCATACCTACCATCGATACCATTCGACATGAAACTCTTCTCTATACATGGCTCAATGAGCACAAACCTCTTTTACTCTGTGGGCCACCTGGAAGGTGAACGAACTCTTCTCATTTAAATTATTCATCTATTCATTCTCGCATCGTGTTATTCTAGTGGCAAAACAATGACTCTGTTCAGTGCACTTCGTTCATTACCAGCATGTGAAGTTGTTGGTCTGAATTTTTCGTGTGCTACAACACCAGAATTGATCCTGAAAACTTTTGCACATTATTGTGAATACAAGAAAACTGCTACATCGGGTGTCGTTCTTGCGCCTAGTCAGTTAGGAAAATGGATTATTGTCTTCTGTGACGAAATCAATTTACCCGATGAAGATAAATATGGCACACAGCGTGTGATTGCTTTTCTAAGACAATGTATTGAACATGGTGGATTCTATCGAACATCAGATCATACATGGATACGTTTAGAACGAATTCAATTCGTCGGTGCGTGCAATCCACCAACAGATCCTGGACGAAAACCATTATCGCACAGGTAAGTGACGGATTGTATTTTTCTGAAAGAATTTTTCTTTTTGCTCAAGATTTCTACGGCACTGTCCATTGGTGTATGTGGATTACCCAGGTGAACTATCGCTAAAACAAATTTACGGCACATTCAATCGAGCCATGTTGAAGAAATTCAGCAATTTGAAGTCGTCAGCAGATGCACTAACAAATGCGATGGTTGAATTCTTTCTAATGACACAAGTAGATTACCATCGAATTTTTCTTAGACCCAATGTGTATGATTATTTAGGAACAATTCACTGTTGATCAACAACCTCATTATGTTTATTCGCCTCGTGAGATGACTCGATGGGTACGGGGTATCAACGAAGCTATTCGCAATGTTCAAAGTTTAAACGTAGAAGATCTGGTTCGTCTCTGGGCCCATGAAGCACTACGTTTATTCCATGATCGGTTTGAAAAACGAAGACTTTGGACTTGTTTTTAAAGACTATCCTTTGTTGGGAATTTTAGATTGATCTACGATTATGAACGTCAATGGACAGAAAAAGCGATTGACGACATCGCAGCTAAACATTTTGGCAATGTTGATTTGAATGTTGCGTTGAAACGACCAATTCTATTCAGTGATTGGTTAGCAGGACACTATGCTTCGATCGATGAAGAAGAATTACGACAATATATTCAAGGAAGGTTAAAAGTATGTGCAAATCTCGTTTGATTTGAATGTTTGATTTATCTGCATCTTTTGAAGATATACTACGAAGAAGAAGTCGGGATTCATCTCGTACTTTTCAATCAAGTGCTCGATCAAGTCCTACGAATTGATCGGGTATTTCGTCAACCACAAGGTCATCTTCTACTGATCGGCTTATCTGGCACTGGCAAAGCTACACTCTGTCGATTTGTTTCGTGGTTAAATCAAATCAGTTTCTTTCAATTGAAAGTAAAACTTGCTAATCGAATGTTTGGAAACGTACAGATTCCAACTGACGTTTAGGTACACAATAAATATACCGCCGCTGATTTTGACGATGATTTACGTCAGCTATTACGTCGTTCAGGTTGCAAAGGAGAAAAGATTGTTTTTCTTCTCGATGAGTCGAATGTTATGGATAGTAGTTTTCTCGAACGAATGAATACTCTATTAGCTAATGGAGAAGTTCCTGGCTTATTCGAAGGCGATGAATATTCCGCTTTGCTAACATTATGTAAAGAAGGCGCACAACGACAAGGCTTGATGCTGGATTCCAACGATGAACTCTACAAATGGTTTACAATACAAGTATGTTTTGACGAGTGATTGAAACGATCATAACATTTTCGGTTTGAACCCTATTAGGTGATGAGAAATCTCCATGTGGTTTTCACAATGAATCCGAGTGCTAATGGTCTACGTGATCGAGCATCGACATCACCTGCTCTGTTCAATCGATGTGTCTTAGATTGGCTTGGCGATTGGTCCTTGGATGCTTACTATCATGTAGCAAGTGAATTAGCACAGAGCGTTGACATACAAAAAGCTGACGTAAATAACTTGATTTGATTCAAAGCAAGACTACTGTTTTGTTTTAGTATACTGCTCCGAAGACATTGAGCCGTCTAGTAGCGAGTTTGCCCGTTGAACCAACTTATCGTGATGTGATCAACAATGCGTTTGTTTTCGTTCATCAATCACTGCACAAATTAAATGAGACATTGCGTAAAAAAGGTTCTACGACGAAAACAATCATCATTACTCCAAGTCACTTTCTTGATGCTATTCAACATTTTGTAAGGACAGAGGTGTGTTGTATGGAATTCTTCATTGAATTTGTTTTCGTATAGATCAAAATCACAGCAGAGAAACGAACTGAAATCGAAGAGACTCGCCAGCATTTAATTGTCGGTCTCGACAAGATTCACGAAACTGTCGTTCAAGTGGAACAATTACAAACGTCATTAGCTGATAAAAGAAAGGAATTGAATGATAAAAACGAAGAAGCTAATTTGAAATTAAAGCAAATGGTTCACGATCAACAAGAAGCCGAAAAAAAACGAATCAGTTCACAAGAACTACAAGTTGTCTTAGTGGTATATAGATTCATTTGCTATGTAGTATTTCGAAATAGTTCTGATACTTATTTGCGTAGAAACAACAAGAGCAAATCGCAGAAAAACGCAAGATAGTCATGCAAGATTTGGATAAAGTCGAACCGGCTGTGCAAGAAGCTCAACAAGGTTGAAAATTTTTCATTCGTATCTTTCTTCTCAGTAGATGATTTTTTCTAGCGGTGAAATCTATCAAGAAACAGAACTTAGTCGAAATCAAAAATCTGAACAATCCTCCACAAGGTGTCAAATTAACATTGGAATCGATTTGTTTACTGTTGGGTGAAGAAACAACTGACTGGAAATCGATCCGTAGTATAATGATGCGTGAAAATTTTATTTCAACAATCGTTAATTTCGACACGGATAATATCACGTAAGAAAAATTTCTCCTTTTAATCGCTCGTTGTCAACTCATCAAATGTTTTTCTTCAGTCCTGCCATTGTCAATAAGATGAAGACGAAATATTTAAACAATCCTGATTATTCGTATGATAAAGTGAATCGTGCTTCTGCTGCATGTGGCCCATTGGTGAAATGGGCGACAGCCCAGTTGACTTATGCGGATATGTTGAGTAAAGTCGAACCGCTACGAAACGAATTGAAGAGTTTAGAAAAGGAAGCCGAGAAAAAGGTAGCGGATATGCAACAAACGAACGATTTAATTGCAACATTGGAAACAAGCATCGCTCAGTATAAAACTGAATATGCAGATTTGATATCTGCAGCACAGGCAATTAAAACAGATCTTTCGCAAGTTGAATCGAAAGTCGAACGGTCGATTGCATTGATTAAGAACTTAAGTTTGGAAAAAGTGCGTTGGGAAACAACGAGCGAAAGTTATCAGACCCAGTTGGCAACATTGATCGGTGATGGATTTCTCATTTCAACATTCTTAGCTTATACGGGTTATTTCGATCAAATGACGAGACAAATTCTCTATCAACAATGGCAAAATCATTTAGATAAAGCTAGAATCCCGTTCAAGCATGATTTAGCTCGTGTAGAAGTAAGGTCGTTTATTTCTTAAATCGATAGAAGATTTCATAATGTGTATATAGTATGTATCCGATGCTGATGAACGACTCCGATGGGAAATGAATATGTTACCAAGTGATGATCTATGTCGAGAGAATGCGGTGATGTTGAAACGTTTTACTCGTTATCCATTAATTATTGATCCGAGTGGACAAGCATTTGAATTTCTCTACCGAGAATATCGAGAGAAAAACATTGTACAAACCAGGTAATCTGATTATTATCAATGTTATTGTTCTAAAATGTGCAGTTCAGTTTCATGGATGTCAACTTTCGTAAACAGCTTGAAAGTGCTCTTCGATTTGGTACCACTTTGTTCATTCATGATGCTGAAAATTTCGATCCCTTGATCAATCCAGTGCTTATTCGTGATCTTCGACGAACATCCGGTCGAGTTCTCATTACAATTGGCGATAAAGATATCGACTTTTCTCCTACATTTCGCATGTTTCTATTTACACGGGATTCAGATGTAAGACACAACAAATCATTGATTGTGCTAGTAATTGTTTGAATTCTGTTTTTCTAAGGCGGAATTTGGGCCAGATGTTTGCTCACGTGTGACATTCGTTAATTTCACTGTTACACGATCAAGTTTACAATCGCAATGCTTATATAAGATCTTACGAGCCGAACGACCCGATATTGATGCAAAACGATCTGATTTGATGAAGCTACAAGGCGAATTTGCAGCCAAATTGCGTCATTTAGAAGATAATTTATTAAAAGTACTCAACGAATCTGAAGGAACCATCTTGGATAACGACAAGTAAATCAGTCCAATTCGTTTACATTTGAATTTTATTCTCTTTCACGCTATTAGAGTGATTGCTACACTGGAAAAGATCAAAACAGAAGCATCCGAAATCATGCAAAAGGTGGAAGAAACTGACGTGATTCTCAATGAAGTCGAAAAGGTTTCACACGAATACCTACCAATGGCAAAAGCATGTAGTAGTATCTTCTTTACCCTTTCATCACTATCCGCCGTAAGATAAAGAGTCAGCTGGATTACACTCGTCCTTTGTTCCTTTTTCTCTTAGATTCATATGCTGTATCAGTATTCGTTGAGGTTTTTTATGGAAATTTTTGAACATATTCTCTATCATAACAAACGCTTAGAGTCGATTACTGATTCGGCCCAACGATTGGATATTATTTTGAAAAGTTTATTCGAGACAATCTTCGTTCGTGTTTCACGTGGTATGTTACATCGAGATCGAGTCACGTTAGCTGTTCAATTGACAAGAATCTATTTGAAGAATATCATCGGGTATGTTGATATTTGTTTTTGTACTGCATTATAGTATATCGCCCGTCTTAGGGAAAATATGGCTTTTGAAAACGAATTTTTTGAGATGGCTCAAGCACTGGAAGAGAATGCAGAAATGCTCAACATTCAAAATAAGCTATCAGAACCACAGGTAATTGGTTGCTCGTTTGTTTCGACTCACTTCTAGTTTGTTATTAGAAACGGGCGTTGTCACATTTGGCAGCAAATGTTCCACCGTTTAAAAACCTCCAACGGAAAATCGAATCGAGTTCAGTTGCATTCGATGAATGGGTGAGTAGTACTGATGTTGCAACGCAAGTTCCAGTTTTTTGGGAAAATACCGGGGATAAAACAAATCCAATCAATACGGCTGTTTACGCGTAAGTTTGAATAAAACAAGGATCTCGTATATAAATCTCGATTGATTTTAGAATGTTATTGACACGTGCTGTACGGCCCGATCGTTTGATCCTTGCAGCGAAATTATTCGTGGAAAGCGTTTTCGGTCCGGAATTCACTCAAAAAGCTGACGCATTATTAAACTTGGAACAAATCATCAACGAAGAAGTATAGCAAACGGATTCATTTTCTTCCATAATATCTAATGATGCGGTATTATTAACATTTGTAGATACATGGTTTAACACCTATTCTGCTGTGCTCTGTTCCGGGCCATGATGCATCAAATCGTGTAGAAGAATTAGCAACCAATCTGAATAAAAAATTGACAAGCATTGCTATTGGTATAGAGAAGAATTACTTTGCTTTTATTCACCAGTGCACTGTTTTCTTGTAGGTTCTGCGGAAGGCTTTACATTAGCCGAACAAGCAATCACTAGTGCATCTAAACAAGGCGATTGGGTACTGTTGAAAAACGTTCATTTGGCGCCACAATGGCTGAAAGAATTAGAGAAGAAACTGCATTCATTGAAACCTCAAGAATCATTTCGTTTGTTTCTCTCCACAGAAATCCATCCGAAAGTATGGTTGCTCTCTTTCTGTGTTAGTACTTATTTAATGTCAAACGTCGATTTAGCTTCCAACGAGTTTGTTACGAATGGGTCTGTGCTTAGTGTTCGAACCAGCGACGGGCATACGCGCGAGCCTCATGCGTACACTGAATGAATTTTCTGGAACTCGTATGGAACGAGTGCCACATATACGAGCAAAAGCTTACTTTCGATTGGCTTGGCTTCACGCACTTGTCACAGAACGTTTACGTTATACACCACTGGGTTGGTCTAAACATTATGAAATTAACGAGAGTGATTTACGTTTCGCATGCGACACAATTGATCAATGGATTCGCGGCGAAGGCAAAGAGGTTGGTACATCAAGTCAGAAAACGTAAATATTACTTTGTACATTAGGATGTTGCCTGGGATGCACTTCGATACTTGGTTGCTTCGTGTATCTATGGTGGACGATTAGATAATCGATTCGATCAGCGTCTTCTTGCTTCTTTTGTGGGCAAATTCTTCTGTCAAGAGAGTTTAAATAGCTCCTATCCGTTGATTAAAGATGATGCTTCGTCATTGTCGATACCCATACCGCAAGATACAACCAAAGCTAAATATGTTGAATGGGTAAAAAATCTTCCAGCACATGAGAAGCCGACTTGGCTTGGCCTACCAGATAATGCAGAAAAGGTGCTATTAATTAGTGAAGGTGCGTGCCAATATTCGATCAGTTGTGTTAACTATCAACTTTGTCTTTCTTTTAGGAAGTAAATTTGCAATTGATCTACTAAAATGTGATCAGGCGGATGAGACTGCTCTAACTATTGGTAAATAGTTGAACAATAACCAATAATAATTGAATTGTTTTCTTTTCATCTTAAGATCTGGACACCAGCGAACGTAAAGAAGAAGGTGATGATGCCGGACGTCCAGCATGGATGGTGCATGTGCAACATACAACACAGAATTGGCAGAAACTATTACCTAAAGTATTTCTACTTCTCCTATCTCCCAGCAGAACTCCAACTAAATTGTTCCCTCGTTTCGCGTAACTGTAGGGATTACCAACAATGAAGCGCACATCTGAGAATATCAAAGATCCTTTGTTTCGATGTGTCGAACGTGAAGTTAATTTTGCCGCAAATCTACTCCGTGCAGTTCGTCAAGACCTTGCGGATATCCAAGCCGTATGCGATGGAAGTAAAAAACAAACAAATGACACGCGTGATATATTGAATAATTTATCCAAGGGTAAGGTATTATTACTGCTGAACACAACCTACACGTGACTGTTTCTGAATGCTAGGTATCACACCACCAACATGGAAGAAGTATCGTGTACCGCCACGTATCAGTGCCATGCAATGGATGTCGGATTTTGTTGCTCGCTTGAAACAACTTGATAAATTAGCAACACTGACAACAAATGAAGGCGTGCAATCTTTACGAGTACATACCAACGAATGTTCGTTCGATTTTCTATCATTTGACTGTGTGTATTTAGAAAGTGGAAATGTGGCTCGGTGGCCTATTTACACCCGAAGCATATCTTACTGCAACACGTCAATGCGCTGCTCAAACGTTACAAGTTTCACTAGAAGAGCTTGTTATGCATGTTCATATGATGGATCAGCCATCACAGGTGGACGCAAAGAAAGAAAACACGTTTTTGATTACCGGTATTTCTTACTCGAATATATCAATTTCATTGAAATCTGTGTATTTCGGACTATTTAGGATTGAAATTGCAAGGCGCATCATGTCGCAATAATACTTTGTTTTATTCCAGTGCAATTCTGGATGACATTCCTCTTTTAACGATCGAATGGAAAATGCCCAATGATCCAACATTAGCAAGCAAGAAAACGGATCAGCAAGAAGTGACTCTACCAGTATATGGTAATGGCCTTCGAACAGAACTACTTTGCACAATTAATGTGAAAGCTGGTCAATCGAATACTTCAGAGTTTCACTTTTATGAGCGTGGTGTTGCTGTTTTAGCGTCATCGCTAGAGTGAAAAAGAGTGCCATGGAGTTCTGCGTTTTATCGGAGGTGGGGTTTTCTAATAAAGTACCAATCATTTTGATCCGACACGAAATGGTTCAAATATTGATGACGTTGTTCTAATGACAAAGTATCTTAAAAGTGCATATCCATTTGGGATCACTGCTGAAACATATTACTAATGATAAATAATCAATCTGTAGATCATGAGCAGAGAAACTATTCTCTTTGTTTTCCATGATGCTCTAATAGTTTTCATAATCGGAAATGCTTTTCCCTCGATGATATTATACTTGCTCATTTTATTAGTTTTCTTCGTCTTATTTAGCCGACGAAACGTATGTTTAAACTTGGAGATGAGCATGACATATGATTTAAACGATTTTTATTTCATGCCGTTCAAAGACTCATACCGGTCGGCGACTTTTTTGCAATGTGAAATCGTAACGTTTGACTTTGATGTAGCGAAGTACGATCTGAAGAATTTTTCAACGTAGTTTTTGTTCTTGGCACGGAATGTACGTTCTGTAGTAAACGAGAAAAGAAAATAACCGCTATGCTTTCTTTCACTCTTAGAAACTAAAAAGGACATACTCGACCAACACGTCTAGATCGTTTTAGATTGTCATTAGACGCTTTTGTCGATGGTTGATCGAAACCATTCTTATTTCCACACGCATCATGATCCTTGTCACATTGACAGTTCTGTTTCGATTGATACAAACGACTGTACTCTGCTGTGAAAGCTGCCATTGGTGATGAATCACAATCTTCGTCTAAAACTCTTTCTCACATATAGAATATTTCTTCTTCTAGAAACATATACCTTCAAAACCTAGCGGACAAGGATTTGGTGGATGGCAAAATGATGGTAATTCATCGTCGGTTTTAACTTCTGGATGATTAGGAATTTCACCACTTGGACTTAAATGCTGTCGTCCTTCACCTGCACCGCCTGAACAGAACATCAATCGATCATAAAATTGAATTACATTAAAGCAAATCCTACCTGATACATATTTATAACCGGTGATGATTGGACTATGAATTTCTTTTTCGTCGTCACGTGTCAGCGCACTTAAATACTGATCCGCATCATCATCGTATAGAAGATCGATATTTGATGGTGCTTGATCATAGTCTATCCAATCGACGGCTTGAATACGTTGGATTACAAAGAGAATTAATATTGCTGTAATTTTCGATAATTTATACTGCATGATGGTTCCGTTCAAATGTCTGTAGTATTTTCCAGAACGGTTTATGACGAATGGCAGACAAAGAGAAACACTCGTTTTTCTTTCTCCTCCTCCTCATCATCATTTTTTTTATGTTGCACTTTCGATAACAGGAAGCGGAAAATCGCTGATTCTGTATAAATGCCGCATGTGCGCATGCAAGTGAGTGAATAAATGAGCGAACCAACGATAGAAAAATGCTACTATCAACTTACAAACACTATCGTATAAAAGAAAGACGAGCACGACTTAGGAATCATTTGAAGCAAAAGCGAGAATCAATACTATCGTGAATAAAGAAAATAATCTCGCGTGCCAATAGATTCATAAGTAAGTGAAAGAATACACAAGATAACATGTCTATTCGAAAAAAGTAGTAGCTCTATAGATTTGTTTCTTGTTTATTACTAGTATATATATATATAATCACACATAAACATACAAAAAAGACAACAAGAGAATTTTTCGACTGATTATTTTCAAAAAAAAATCATAGAATATCAAAAATTCTGTCTGATCAATTGAAGAAACAAATCGATGTGATCATGATGGTTCTTATTTATTTGTTCAAAAACAAAATGTCCGTAAGAAAATCTGGAAAACGATGGTATAACTATCGACGTGATCGTGACGAACTCGAAGATGACGGCGGCGGCGGTGATCGTCTGGACGTTCGTCGAGAAGATGATGATCGAGATGATGATTCATAACGGTCGGATCCATTACGTGACGACGACGGCGGCGGCGACGATGCATATCGACTATTACGAGAGTACATGAATACGAAAAACGATAGATTGATTTTGACATTCAAGTAACGAATTCCTTTCGTGGCAATCTCGTTATAATAAGAAATTAGTTTTTGATTGTCTTTTCTTTCATGTCCGCATTCTGACGTGCTTACCTTCTTGACGATCCCATCGAACTCGAACCAGATGAATACGCAGGATAAGCATCGTAACTTGACCTGAAACGGAGTTTGCCAATATGGACGTTCGATTGAACGAAAGTGAAAGAGAAAGATAATCAGAGAAAGACCGGCGTTCTTTTTTTTTCAAATCTCGCGACAGCATTTTTCTGTTATTATGTACGAACAACGACATACCGCATTGATGGTCCTCGCCCATAATGATCACTCATCGACATAGGTGCTCCGCGATGTTGATATGGATCATCACGACCGTACATATCGACAGGACCGTTACGCATACTGTACGGATCGCCATAGCTCATTGGAGGTGGAGGTGGTGGCATTCGTTGACGTTCGAATGGGGAATCATACGGACGAGATCTTGCATCCATGTAACTACTACGCATACTCGGATACGATCGATCTGGTCCACCGCCGCCGCCGCTAGAATAACCGCCACTTCGACTTGATGACGTCGTCGGGTACTCTCGTCTAATTTCATAGAAAAAGAAAGTTGACTTAGGTGAAACTTAATAAGTCGAACTAACCGAGATGATCGCGAAGACGTGGAACTTGAGTGTCGACGTGGTGAATCTTCGCGACGTCTAGATTTCGAAGTAAAATTCTTGTGTTCAATGATCTTTTCAATTACTTACGATGAACGACTTCCATTGCGAAGTTGCGTTGTTGATAACTAAGAAAATAGATAGCGATAAGCAAGTATACACAACATCCAGAAAAAAAACAATTTGTACTTCAACTCTAATACGATTTCCTTTCAAATTAAAATCATTCAAAGCAGCGATTGATGCCTTGGCTTTACTGGAATCTTCCATATGCTATAAAACAACATGACAATGAACACATAGAACATCATTCTAACGTAATTTACCACAAAAGCATAATCTTTAATGATGTCACATTCAAGAACTTTTCCATATTTCTCGAATAATTCTTTTAATTCCGTTGGATTAATCGCCTGAGGAACGTTTCCGATATATAGCTTCGTTGGCATGTTGAATTGGAATAAATTTTCACAATTGCACTAAGATGTTCTCTGTAATAACGAACGCACCAATCCAATTGGACACTTTTGTGTCAATAGCCATTCGAGTTGAAGGAGAAACTCCATCTTGAGAAAAGTTTTTTTTCGTGATCTTTATTTTCTAGAACTATCTTTGTACCAAGGATTACTTTAAAATCAAAAGGCTGATGGAGGTCACACATGAGTATAAATGAACTGGGCGACACCTGTAGGGGACTGAACTTGTTATCATCATTCGTTCCTTATTCGCCAGTCTGAAGTCATTTTTCAACTTCTTTGTTCAATATTCCCAGGCAAATAATCGAGATTATCGAATATGAGCTTTCCGATAAGCCACTAATTTAATTAGCCAAGCGTCGGAAATGAGACTCTAGAGATTTTACCAACCGCCCAAATGAGTAATCAACATTGCATCAACTTATTTTTGCTTTCAGTCGAGGTACATCATATGCATATGAAAAGTTCACTTCATTCTAGATGTCGTGGATATTTGGTTATAAAAAACCGGTGCTCGATCTTCCACCACAAGGTGCTGGTGATGGTGGTTCATCTTTCCCACCCGATAACAGTGGAAACAACAAATCGTCAAGCAACCCAGATCCAAAATCGTATGCAGGACGGGAATCTATCTATAAATTCGATTCAACGGCTCTCGAACGTGCTGCGCAAGCTGCTAAAGAACTTGAACGTTCCCGTACGTGCAATGATCGGTGAATCTTCTCATCACCTTCATCTTGTTTATATTTAGCACATGCAAATCAAGCGTTTGATGTTGTTAAAATGCAAGAACAGACGAAGCAGCTCGAAATTCAAAAGCAAATGAAGGTACGAAACATCAAATCATTGATGTACACATATTTGTTCTTGTCAACTAGGAATATGCTCAACATGAAGAAGAAATTCGTTTCAAACATCAACAACAATTGAACGAAGAAAAGCGACGAATGATGAATGATGAAACGCATCATCAAAATGAGGTATCAATCTGCAATTACTCGTTTTTAATTTCTTTTTCTCACCTCTGTCCGTTGTCTTCTCTTCAGCGAGCAAAATTTCAAGATCAATTAGCACGTAAACGTATGCAAGATCAAGCTGCTGAACAAGTACTATAAAGCAAAGTTATATATAAACATTCAAAAGAGATTATTTTTCAATTTATTAGGCTCGATTACAAGATGAAGAACGTCGCCGACAAGAAGAATCTGTTCGAAAACAAGAAGAAATGAAACAACGTTCGTTCTGGTGATTGCTTTGATGTTCACCATCATTTTCATATGTTTTAGGTTCTATTGAATACGCGGAACAAGTGCGTCATCAATATGATATGAAACGACTCGAAGCCGAACTCAAAGGCAAAGCACAAATCGAACGCGAGAATCGAGAAATTTATCTTGAACAGATTAAACTCAAAGCTGAGGAACAACGCAAGACCGTTCTTGACAGTATTAAAACAGCAGGAAGTGTGGTTGGAACTGGTATTACAAGTTTACTCGAAAATCCAAGTAAAATTCTAATGGCTGTAAGTACACAAATGATCAGCGACATCCCTTGGTGGAATACTAGCATTCGTATTTATCTTTTAGACCGGTGGTATTACTTTACTTGCTCTTGGTGTCTATTCTGCTCGTGGTGCTACTCAAACTGCAGTGAAATATCTTGATTCACGGCTTGGTAAACCGTCGTTAATCCGTGAAACGTCAAGAACTACTTTGCTTACTGCACTTCGCGCTCCAGTGAAAACCGTTCGACGCTTCTTTTTCTCTAATGCTGAAGATTCATTGAAAGGAGTCGTACTTGATCCTGCTCTTGAATCGCGTCTGCGAGAAATTGCGATTGCAACAAGATTTACAAAGAAAAATTACGGATTGTTTAGAAATTTACTGATGCATGGACCACCCGGCACAGGTTAGTTTTTTAATCTTCTGCTGGCATTTCTTCATGTTCTTTTGTTTGTAGGCAAAACTCTGTTTGCTAAGGTAAATCATCTAAGCAGGAGAATTTTCGTGCAAAGAAGAAGATATTTCACTTGTTTTAGAAATTAGCAGCTCATTCAGGCCTTGACTACGCCATTATGACCGGTGGTGATGTAGCACCATTAGGACGTGAGGCAGTTACAGCCATACATAAGGTATTTGATTGGTCTCAAACAAGCCGTCGTGGTTTACTGTTATTCATCGACGAAGCCGATGCGTTCTTGAGAAAACGAGCCACTGTGAGTTTATTTCCAGATCACATTGAAGCGTTTTTTATCCGATTCAACTTCTTTTCTTTTGTGTTGATTTAGGAAAAAATCGGTGAAGACATGCGTGCGGCATTGAACGCATTTCTCTATCGCACTGGTGAACAGTCGAGTCGGTAAGTTGAAAGAGAAGGAAATAGGCAAAAAAAAAGAGGATTCTTCTGGTAATTAAAGTGATAAATGGATCACAACTTCCCCTTCTGCCTTAGGTTTATGTTAGTCCTTGCCAGTAATGAACCAGAACAATTCGATTGGGCCGTAAACGATCGTTTGGATGAAATGGTTCAGTTTGTTCTACCAACGCTTGCCGAACGTCGTCGAATGACTTATCTCTACTTCGACACATACATTCTGAAATCAGCTGAACGCCGTCGGTAAGTTTCAAGCAAAGCGAGAACATTCGTTCTTAGTACTTCGAAATTGATTTGATTTGTTGCAGTCCAATTAAGCTTGGCGCATTTGATTTCGAGAAGAAATGTGAAGAATTAGCTCAACGTACGGATGGCTTTTCTGGTCGTGAGATTGCGAAATTGTTAGCCGCTTGCCAAGTTAGTCGATTTCAGCGGAAAAAAACTAATCTACTTTATTCTTTGTGTGTTTTCTTTTAGGCATCTGCTTATGCTTCGGAAGATGGAACATTAACAGAGGAAATGATAGATAAAAAATTACGAGATGCACTTGAAAGTCATCGTAAAAAAGTTGAATGGCGTGCGGAAGAAGAACGTTAAACAAATCTCTCTTAGGCTAATTTTCTTTTGTGTGTTCACTGCAGTGATTTCACAGTGTTTTCTTCTTTTTTTTTCTCGTTTAAGAACAATAAAACAGTAGTTTTTCCGTTAAACAAAGCAATCGCCTAGTTTGTTATCTCCGTTTTCTTTGTTTTTCTCTTCAGATGTTGTCAAGTCCAACTTATATTGATCATGGTCCTCCCGGCGCGAGTCCAATCTACTACACCTCAACGTATGCGGCATCAACACAGCACAACAACAACACAGTAGGACCTTTTTGCTTGTTTCCTTCGTGAGAGTCGCAAGAAAAGAAATCGTATATAACGATGATTAAAACTAGAAGCTGAAAAAACAACTTTGAGCCACTTTTTTTTTCATATTTGTCATAGCATATTCTTGTGTTCTTTTGTGTCTCAGATGAATTATGGATTGAATGTTAGGGCGAACGTTCTGCTCAATATATGACGACAATACAGGAAAAGGAAAAGGAAAAGAAAGACAGTCAATCCAATGCGCATGAGAGTTTTTCTATATTAGAAAAGTGGAAACAAAGCATTAACATCGAAGAGAGAGAGAGAGGGAGGGAGGAAAAGGCAACAGCACGTCATTTCATATGCTTCTCTAGTTCGCCTATCAAACATACAGTCTTAGGCATGGTCGTGAACATTGAAGAACAGGAAGATACAACGGTTCCATCAAGCACAACTAACAATTATCTGGTAGAATTTGTTTCACACTGATTTTAGTGAGCGCATCACGATTCGCGAAGATTTCTCTAAGTTTACCATGAAAGACAAAGATGCACAATGTATCAAATTGACTTGATCGATGTGAACATTAGTAGTCCTTTGTGCATACAATTGAAATGCAAAATAATAGCATAAGTTAATAGATAGTTTTACTCTGCGCATTAGACAATAAGAACATTAGCGTATGTAATCAGTTTTCTGTGATTTGAAAAGAAAACTGTAAGGCATATCTGCCTTGAGAATTAAAGCAGATGGTGGAGTTTTGAAGATGTCTATTCCTTTGGGTAGAAGAAAGAAAAAGAAATGATTTTCTCTGGTTAGTAGTCAAGGTTAAAGTCGAGTGAGAATTATATTTTGAAATTTATTCTTTCAAAGTATATCTTTGCACAATTTAAGCACAAGTAGCTGATGAGACAGATTGAGCACCGGCGAAGCTTTGGTAGACTTTAGCTGTGCATGTAAGGAAACCAGTAGCCGAAGGAGAACGAGCTGTGAAAACAATGCGGTAGTTGATTCCGTTGACAAGTTGGGTAGCGACACTGACAACGTTGATTGGTGAAACAAGAAGATTTTGCTTATCTTTGATATTGTTAACAGCTAAACGAACCATGGCAGTGGTTTCTGAAGCGTTAAGAAGATCTGGACGATCGGTGAAACCACCGACTTGACCTTGGATGGCGACGAATAACGATAAAGCGACGAGAAGTTTGAACATTCTTGTTTTCAAGCTGATTTGAAAATGAGTTTTCTTTTCAAGGAGTGAAGCATACGGCGAATCGACTATATCTTATATACACAGAGGATTTCTTTTATGAGAATGAAAACAACTGGTGGACTTTAGAGTAATAGTGCGTGGTAATATGACTGGCATATTCACTGAGGACTAGCCGAATTGATTTCTATGATATAGTTTTGAGTTTCTTTGCTTTCTGTATCTGGTTTTGGTTAGAACGCTCGCGCATTCTTCGAAGGAGACTGGATTTCGTCAAATATGGCGACGGCAGTTGTGACACATTGTAAAAACTTTCTTGTTTACCAGCGAAAATTGTTAATATTTAGAATTTGTTTCTTTTTAAACGATGTACTTGTCTGCAGAGAATGTTCGAATTATTTTCTAAGTACATAAACTACTGCTGTTTTGATTCGCAGCGAAAAGACAACTCCACACTTATAAATCTACTCCATCTGATTCAATTCCCGTATCTATATGCACGCTTGCTCGATGATGATGATAGCGATATGATCCTTATTTTCTCTCTCTCTCTTTCTCATCGATGTTTACTTGTGTATCATATTCTCGTGATTGTCATGTCATCAAACATAGAAATGTGTTCGCTTTAGTAAAAAGCCTAGATGGCAAGAGAAAAGAAAGAATGAAAGACTTGCCAAATGAGTCTTTTTGTAGTCAATAATATTGATCTAGGAACAAAGATTGATGAATGATTAGCGCTCAATATATCCAGATGTCAGTCAATCTGATCATGTCTTTCACCTTCACTAAATATATACAAAGAGCTAAATTGTCTGTCCTTAATCATATGTGTTCGTATACNTTCTTTCTCTTTGTTTAGAACGGATTGAATGCATTGCATCTCGCATCAAAGTAACTTCCTTTGAAGACATGTCATGATCTGTATATGTATCAAATTTCGCTTTTCTTTTTTTTCTTCTTCTCTGCAGAGAGGGTCATGTAAATATCGTTCAAGAACTTCTTTCTCGTGGTGCCAATGTCAATGCAGCGACAAAGGTCAGTTGTAGCTAAGAGAGAAACTGACACCGAGCTAATTTCATGCTTCTTCTAGAAAGGAAATACCGCTCTTCATATTGCCTCCTTAGCTGGCCAAGAAGAAGTTGTTAAACTTCTAGTTAAATACAATGGAAATATCAATTGTCAATCACAGAATGGTTTTTCTCCTCTGTATATGGCTGCACGTAAGTGTCGTTCGACGAAAAAGAATAACGTTGAACATTTGATTATTTGTAGAGGAGAATCATCTTGAAGTGGTCAAGTTTCTGCTCGCTAATGGCGCTAATCAAAGTTTGGCCACTGAGGTAGATATTGACTTTTACTATGAACATTTTACCATTGATTGTTGTTATTTGTTTAAGGACGGATTTACACCGTTGGCTGTTAGCTTACAACAAGGTCATGATAAAGTAGTGGCTATTCTTTTAGAAAACGATTCGAAAGGGTCAAAAGTACGCCTTCCAGCACTACATATTGCTGCTAAGAAGAATGATACCAAAGCTGCTGCTTTACTTTTGCAAGGCGATAGTCAACCGGATCTCAATTATAAGGTACGGATGAAGTTCACGATTGAATTCATTTTTGTATGCAAACATTCGGGGTTGATTAGGAAGGAGGTTTTGTCAATTGTACAACAAAGGTTTGTCTCTAATCGGAGTCTGTCGATGGTGTGCGTTTCTTTTCTCATTGTTGTTATATATATTGTCATTCTTTTCTGTTGTCTCACTTTTGATATTCAATCTAATTTTTCTCTTTTTTTGCAGCTTGGCAGAGTAAGCATAGTTGTCATATTTCATTTCGTAAATGTTCAAACTAACCCATTACTAATTTCAGTAGTTGATTTTGAAAAAAAAGAATCATATCAGACATTGAAAAAAAAAACACCATACCAAACGTAGTTTATCTTGCATGCATTTTTTTTTTCAAAGAAAATTAATTGATTGGTTAAATAATTTATGAATGATTTCTTTTTGTTCTTATTTTATTAGTCTGGATTTACTCCATTACATATCGCAGCTCATTATGGTAATTTGGAAGTGGCACAGTTATTGATTGCTCGCGGTGCGGATGTCAATTATGCAGCTAGTGTAAGAAAAAGAAAATCTTCAAAAGAATTCGTCGAGTGTGCTTCAAACTGAAGAATGCTTTTTGTCTACTTGTTTTGACTCGTCTGTCTCATCTGAATTGATTTGTACATTGAGTTTCTCATTCTTCACACCATGCAATCATTGAATTAAGTGTCTAAAATTAGATTCTTGTTTAAGAGTGAAGTTTGTACGGTTAATTAATCGAGCTGTTTTTCTCTTTGTTTAGCAAAATATAACACCGCTACATGTGGCATCGAAATGGGGCAAAGAAAATCTTGTCAAATTGTTACTTGAAAAGGGAGCCCAAATCGATGCGAAGACAAAAGATGGTCTCAGTAAGTTGTGATTGACACGTTTCTAAAGAAGATGTGACATGTTTTCTCGTTCTTAGCACCACTTCACTGTGCGGCGCGATCAGGTCATGACCAAGTAGTTGATTTATTACTTGAAAGCGGTGCTCCATTCGGGGCGAAAACAAAAAATGGTCTCTCAGCGTTACACATGGGTGAGTCCTTATTCTAATGAATTGATTATAATAAAAACGCCGCCATTGCTGTTCTAGCCGCTCAAGGTGATCACGTCGACGCCGCACGTATCTTACTGTATTATAAATCTACTTTAGTAGATGATGTTAGCTCGGTTCGTTTCTTATGCTTTCATCAATTTTTATTATCATTTCTCTTTTTTCTTTCTATTTCAAAGGATTATCTTTCTGCGTTACATGTAGCATCTCATTGTGGAAATTATAATGTTGCTAAACTTTTATGTGAACGTCGTGCTGACGTCAACGCCAAAGCATTAAATGGTTTCTCATGTTTACATATAGCATGCAAGAAAAATCGCTTAAAGCTGGTTGAGCTATTGATTTCTAACGATGCAGATATCGAAGGCAAAACAGAATCAGGTTTAACAAGTTTACACGTCGCTGCATTTGTCGGCAGCCATGATATCGTGGTGTATCTCTTACAACATGAAGCGAATATCGACGCGGTCACCATTCGTGGAGAGACACCGTTACATTTAGCAACACGAAATAACCAAGTTGATATTGTTCAAACTTTACTTCGATTTGGCGCAACTGTTGATGCAAAAGCAAAAGAAGCACAAACATGTTTGCATTTGGCCACGCGATTAGGAAATATCGAAATTGTCAGTTTATTATTGCGAGCAAACGCATTCGTTGATAATGAAACAAAAGATGGCTATTCAAGTTTACACATTGCGGCGAAAGAAGGTCATGAAGAGATAGCTAGTTTACTGATCGATCACGGAGCGAATCTAAATCTATTCACAAAAGTACGTGTGATCGAAGGTCTTTTTTTTGAACTACATGGAAAACGTTGTTTTGTTTATCTAGAGAAATTTTTCTGCTCTACATATTTGCAGCAAATATGGAAATATCAAAGTCGCTAATCTTCTTTTACAGAAAGGAGCAACACCCGATATTCAAGGCAAAGTAAGTTCTCATTTGACTAATCTAGATCAATTTCACTTCGCTCTCTTTCTCTTTCTCTAGAACGATTTAACTCCATTACACTGTGCTGTTCATTATAATCACAGCAATGTTGCACTCCTTCTCTTACAACATGGCGCAAGTCCGCATGTAACAGCACGCAACGGTTATACACCGTTACACATCGCTGCAAAGAAAAATGCATTGGACATCGCTGAAATGCTATTAGAATATAATGCAAATACCAATGCGCAATCATCAGGTGGTTTTACACCTTTACATTTAAGTTGCCAAGATGGTCATTCAGATATGACTTATCTTCTTTTGGCTAATCATGCTGATCCGAATATTGCATCTAAATGTCATCTAACACCATTACATCTATGCGCACAAGAAGATCGAGTGAAATGTGCCGAAGCATTAGTTAATAAACAGGCCAATATCGACGCTCAAACACTTGTAAGTAAACAATCGATAGTACTGACTTCTTATCACAGACAGATATCAGCATAGTATGAGTTTGATTAACGATGAAAAACATATCGTCATTGAGGAGAATGTCAGATGCTTATTTTGATACTGGAAAAACAAAAAGCTTGATTGTTGTAGAGTGGTTACACGAGTTTACATGTCGCCTGTCACTTCGGTCAGATCAATATGGTTCGATATTTGCTTCAATTGGGTGCCAATGTTAACATTGAAACAAACGTATGAATGAAAGCGTGTAATTTAATTGAAAAATAATATTTTCATATATTTACTTTTAAGCTTATGTTTACACCACTTCACTCCGCTGCCCAACAAGGACATGTTATGATTGTTAAATTATTACTCGAACATGGCGCATCACCAAACAAAACCAATAAAGTAACTTCATCAAACAACTTATTTGTTTTTCTCTTCGACTTAATGATCTATTTATTTGCTAGCATGGCATGACTGCTCTGTCTATAGCACAGCGTCTCGGTTATATTTCTGTGGTTGAAGAACTTAAAGTCGTGACTGAAACAACAATTGCTAGTAAACACGAATTAATCACTGAAGAACGTTATAAGGTAAACAATGTTTGCAGAATGCATATCAAGATTCTTATGGTTCTTTTGTCTCTATCTAGATTCAAGCACCAGAAGTTTCACACGAAGAACATCCATTGACCGATTCCGAAGATGAAACAGGTAAATCTTTTTCTTGACTTGACGATAACAGATAAAGAACATAACAAAGTGCTGTCAGCTGAAATTCCACCGATTGATATAATCTATCCGGAGATCGAATATCATCAGTTGGGAACAGTAATTGACAATTTGAATTTACCTGAACAGAAAAAGAAAGGTAGTCGGATGATGCCTTGCACATATATATATATATTATTTTTTTTCTTCTTTCTCTTGCTTGTTATGGAAAGATCATCAGAATGTTTCTTACCCTTTTGAGTTACACGCGCGCATGATTAATGTCAATATCGAAGCATATGGAGTTGTTTAGACATCGAGACATATCAAACGGTTATTTATTGCTATTTAGATATGCTCGGTGATGCTAGCTCGAACGTTCATATGCAATATTTGCGTGAAGGTGTTTTAATGACTGAAGCAGAAGAGAACAAACTTAATCAAACATCGTTTAACAAAGTAAATAGAAATCATGACGATATTTTCATACATATCGTTTTGTTCTCTTCATTTTTCGTCCATTTTCTTATAGGAAGAACCTGAATACCCGATGTTGGCTGGTAAAGATCACTGGACCGAAAGTCGAGACAATTTACATGATCATCAAACACCGGCATTAGCACCGCAAAACTTAGTCGCTGATAATGAGGTTATCACCAAACCACGTCATGGAGGGTGAGTAATGATTGCAAGATGAAAAAAGAAACGAATGTACAGGAGTGAAGTTGCATTTCTCGACTCGCATACGTGAATGTGTTTGCAGTGAATCTGACTGGTTTTTTTGTACGTATCTTTCTAGGGAACGTTTTCAGTGCCGATCGTAAGTGTTTTTGCACGTTTTCTTCCTATTGCTCGACTAATCCTCTTAGATTCATTAATTTTTTCTAATGATCATCTTCGGTTTCGATTTGTATTTACTTTTTGTGTGTATACATAGATTTTTGGTAAGCTTTTTGGTCGATGCTCGCGGTGGTGCAATGCGGGGCTGTCGTCATTCGGGAGTTCGTGTTATTATTCCGGCAAAACGTGCTAGTATGCCAACCCGGATCACATGTCGATTTGTTAAACGAGAGAAATTAACGGTACCCCCACCAATTAACGAAGGCGAAGCTTTGGCAGCACGTGTTTTGGAAGTTGGGCCTGTTGGCTGCAAATTTCTCGGGTAAGAAAAATAATTAATGTGTTTGTCGCAAATAATAGTTTGAATGGTAGACCTGTCATTCTCGAAATACCGCACTTTGCTTCGTTACGAAATTATGAACGTGAAATCGTTGTTCTACGAAGTGATAATGGCGAAAAATGGACCGAACATACCGGTCCAATTACAGATGAAGCTGTCCGCGAAGTCTTTGGCGATACTGTTGATTCCGAAGGTGAGCTATCTTGTTCTGTTGATAGTCTCCATCTATTTCGATATATGTCTATTGTTTAGATTTACAAAATGCTGACGAACTTCATTCGCGACGAATCACTCGAATTATAACCAATGACTTTCCACGATTCTTTGCATTGATTACACGCATGCGGCAAGAAGCACAATTTATTGATGAACAAGGTGGTTTGCTAACATCAACAATAATTCCAACGGTTCAAGCGCATATACCTGAAAAAGCTTTGCAAAAGCGTATCCGAGTCTCGCTTCATGTTTTACCAATATCGGCTCAATTGGTGCAACGTTCATATGGCTCACGTATCCATGTAAGTCCCGTTGTTACTGTTGAACCACGCCGTCGTAAATTTCATAAACCAATTACAATTACAATTCCATTACCCAACAAAACATCTACATCAAGAAAACACTCACATCCACATCAGCATGGAAATGCTTATACGAGTGATTCCCAAACACTTCGACTATTATGTAGCATCACGGGCGGCACACATGCAGCTCAGTTTGATGACATTACAGGACATACACCATTGACATTCTCAAATGATTGTGCAACATTTACAACGACTGTCTCAGCTCGGTAAAAAAAAATTTTGAATTTTCATTCGAGTCTTCCTTCTTTCAACGTCATCTTGTCATTTTATAGATTTTGGTTAGTCGACGCTCAAGGTGTTTCTGATGTTCTTAAATTAGCACATGAAATCTATCGTGAAGCAACATCAGTTCCATATATGTCTCGTTTCATTGTCTTCGCTAAACGACACGATCCAAACGAAGCACTCGTTCGCATTTTTTGCATTACTGACGATAAAGAAAATAAAACTCTCGAGATGCAAGAACATTTCACTGAAATAGCCAAATCAAAAGAAGTTGAAGTGGTCAATGGCAATTCGATTTATATCGACTTACAATCGACGAATTTACAAACGATTATCAAAACAAATGAACAATTAACATTAGTTTTTCGTGCATTTAAAGAGAATCGTTTACCATGTGTTGTTCGTTTACGTGATCAAGAACAAGAACCATCGGGTCGATTGATTTTCTCGAAAGATAATGGTAAATTAACATCCATTCAACGAACAACATCAATTACAATGACCAATGGACAAGCGTCGGCATTGTCGTCCACAACAGTCATTGATCCTCAAACATTACAAACAATTTGTAATTTGAATATTCTTATTCCTGCGTATGATAAGGTAAATCTCACTGAATTCGAATATTAGTCATAACTTTGTTTCTTGATTTTAGGATTTACTCGAAGTAAACATCTGAGAAATTCATTTATTTCGATTTTGTTTTACATTATTCAATTTAGAATGAAGAACGTCTTCGTGCATTACATTCGGTTGAACATGATCGTAATTCAGAAAGTATGACGATTGCAGATTAACAGATCGATTTAGCATGAATGTGTGTTTTTCTTTGTGTATATAGGCTGGAAATCGGATGATATGTATCGAAAAGGAGAAATCCGTTTGACTGATATTGCTCGACTCCTCGGTAGCGATTGGCCAGCACTCGCTGCTGAACTTGAATTGAGTGAAGATGAAGTCACGAAAATCATGGACGAATTTGGAGAAAATGCTTCTTTACACATGTTACGTTACTGGCTCAAATCACGAGGAACAGACGCTACTGGTAAGAAAATGATCATTGTAATAGAACACATAACTAACTATACATATACATGTGTGAGTCTTGTGCTTTAATCATGATACCTACAGTGAGAACTAGCGAGTCATCAAGGTCAGATTTTTGTGCATGCATTTCGGAGAAAAGAATGTTTAGTCTTTCAAATGGGTTTCTTTGGGTTGAGATAGACCATCTGTTGAGTCTATTTATAAACAAAGTTCTTGTCACAATTGACAATAAACATATGTACTGTTTTCCTTTCTGTTTAGGAAATTGTCTTCAACAAGCGTTACGTAAAATTGGAAAAGAAAATATTGTTCATAATTGTGTATTTAATATCGAATGGGTCACCGATGCTGCTGAAAAGGAACTGGCCAAATCACGTCTTCATAGTCGCGGTGGCAGTGTAGATGGTATTGCAGCAGGTGGACGTCGAGTAAGTCAAAGAGAGAGAATTTTTACGTTCAAATCTACTTCTTTCGTGTCATTTTTCTCTAGTTGGACGAAGGTTTCGAAAGTGATGATGAATACGAACGTCGTCGACATGGTAAATCCAGTAAGTAAACTTGCTTTTTCATCTCGGATAGTTTTACTTGTCACGAATTCAACTATAAAAGATTTAATTATCGATGATTCAAACCGAATTTCGGCAATGACAACAATTATAAAAACTATCACATTCGAAGAAACAGCAGAAGATGAACTAGGAGGAAAGAAGACAAGCAGTGAAACAGTAACACCACAATTTAAACAATTAGAACCTTTGAAAATGGTTAAACGGGACCTATCCAAAGACTTCATCCCCTCGTCATCTTCTGCATCCAGTGTTGATACAATTGTGACCGTCTCCATGAGAAAAAGTCTAGGTTCATAAGTGTTCAATGTTGAAAAACTAGTCACTGTTATTGTTGTTGTTGCTGCTGTTGTTTTTGTTGCCTGTGTGTCTATGTGTTGTGTTTGTTGAAGGTGAACGTGATGGTCCGTTACATTTTGTTGATTCGAGTAAAACAACAACACCAGCATCTCGTTGTGGAGGATATTTTTCTGTTTATCATCCACCGAATTACTCAGGTTCAATAACACCACTTAGTTGTCATTCACATCAATTTGAAATTATGCATTTGGAAACGTTGAAAGACAAACTAAATAGATTATCACGTGATAAAGGTTCTTTCGTGTTTTACTTTTCGAAATTTGGCTTGATTTGCTTGACATTTGAGCATGAATGGCTTGTTGTGCTATGTCTGATGTTCGAATTCGTTCGCGCTATCAATCGAGATTCATTTAAATTGATCTTCCCTTTCTTTGTTTAGCTGATCTCGATGATCCTTATCATGCATCATCGAAACAACAAACTAATGCAGATTTGGCTGAAGGACGTACAACACCAACAGCTAATGAGGGTATGTTATCGATTTAGTTTATTTTTAGTTCCTGCTTTCAGATAATTATGGTGAAAGCTTTCCGTAATATTACAAGTAGAAATTAGGTTTCTCCTTTTTCTCTCCTGCCTAACAAAGGTCGTAAGAGGCAATTTCGTACTTGACATAATGATTGACATTGTGCTGAAGAGAAAAAAAAAAGCGGAAACGATCGGCAATAGTAATTAGGATTTGAGTAGAATGTTAAAACTCTACTTTTATTATCAATGAATGTATACGACCGTTAAATTAGAACATAAGACAACACCGCCAAAACGCTTTTTTTTTTGTATTCATAATGAGTCTCTTCGAACGTGCATGAGCGGCACTAGGGTATAGTTAGGTCTTTGTAGTCATATAATATTTCATGTTACTCCCTAATGAATGAATGAATGAAGGTCAGAGAAGAAAGCAGTTCTCTGCTCATGGCTGGAACTGTGATGCAAATGATTAAAAAATTAGAAACTTAATATTGACGAAGAAGATATTGAATAGGGTTCATCATTGTTTCTAGTCAATAAAATGAAGAAAATAACAGCGTGTTTGTCTTTTCTGGAGAAGGATGTCTGATGATAAAAAAGTTAAGTCACGTATCTTATTTCTGTAAATAGAATAATTATATTTATATAGATGTAAATTCTCCTTTTCTTCTCTTCTCTTCTTTTCTTTTCTTCATCTGATAATCGAACAAAATATGTTTATCATTCATCTACAAGGTGAATCAGAATGCGTGTCATTGTTATTCTAAGTTATACTCATAAAAGAAAATCATTGCACTATTTATTTCTCATTCTCGTGTCAATATACTCTCCCATCAAGTCAAGAGACGAAGAAGAAGAAGAAGAAAGAGATGATCTGTTTTTTCTCGCTAAGATATTACTGATATATACATAAGCAAGAGCTTGATATGAAGGCACATCTGGTAGCAAAAAAGCCAAGATTTGTATGCCTCGACTAACCATTCGATATAATTAAGCATTGGAATACTAATCGATTAGACATGCCATTACTCTGTTTGAATAGAAATCGAACCTTATGCTGCGGGTTATTCAAAAGAAAACGTCGGACTATTAGTAAAAATCTATCCTGTCATCCAAATGACGCTGATGTTTTCATTTAGAATTTCAATCAAAAAAATCTTCAAAAAAATTTGGTGATTTCGGAATTGTGAACATTGTTCAAGAAGCAACACCGATCTTACCAGATAATCAACCTGCAATCTCATCGGTTCAATCAGATACACTCACTGACCAATCAAAAACAACAACTCAACAATTAGCTGAGCAAACATCTCAAGCTTTAGATGATATTCGTAAGTGAAAACTGACCGAATGAGTGCATGAAATATGACATCGTAGATCACTTAGATTAGTAGTTCATATATATATACATATATATTATCTCTCATCGTTTTTTTTCCAGCATCTACACGTGTTAATCCAACACCTGTAGGTGAGCGTTTTATAAAGTCGAGAATAATTCCTGATCAAGCACGTGCGATAGCAAACGCATTCAAGCATGCTGTCGTTCGACCGCTGAAAAGGACAATCACGAAAAAGAAATCAGATGATGGTGCACATTCGACTGAACCACCATTGACAAGTTCCCATCAGCCATATGTTCATTCGCTTTCTACCAATGATCATTTTGATCAACAAGGCAATGAATTCTCCATTAGTTCATGTGAATCTATCAGTCAAACAACATTCACACCACCACCAGCTAAACCACCGCGTCAAAATGACGAATCGGACTCGCTATCGTCGGTGGACATCACGCCTATTCCACCGGCGAAGCCGCCGCGACATTTCTCTCTCTATAGTAATAAAAGTTTGATGCAACAAACAGATACTGCTGTAAAAAAAGTTCTGAATCTCGCTGATGCGTTTGGCATTGTTTCCAATGACGATACTGATATAAGTATTTTACGTACAACACCGCCGGACATGAGCCAATCAGGAAATTTACACGTTTCCGATAGTTTACAAACTCTTCAATCGTTCATAGTCGATGCAAGTCGACTGGTCACAAACACAGATACGCCAGTGATGACAAAATCATTTGAATTCGAATCAGAACAGCCAAGAAGAGTTAACCTGATCTCATCATCCGTTGAGAAATCAGCTAAAGAAATCGTTCCAGTGAAGATCATTCATTTCGCCACCGAATTGGCTGAAACAATCTTGCGAGAAACTCAAGAATGTGTTACGACATCGACTCCATCATCGAAGACATCTAGTAATAATACTTCATCATTTCCTCATTCGATTGTCACAACTCATATTTCACCGACTCCTCCTTCGTTGGCACGTCCATTAATGTTTGTTTCATTTCAAACTCAACCCGGTGTAACTCCCAAGATTGTTTCGCCACTGCGCGAGATTGTGACTATCAAGCCGACACCAATAGTCACAACATCAGTCACTGTTGTCAGCACACCGACGACATTACTTTCGTCGACAACATCTGTCAACGCTAATGAAGATGAAACAGATCAGCCTGTGACATCCGCTTCTAATAGTAATAGAATTTTTAACCAATTGGAATCTACCGAAAATACTTCTCGTGAAAGTAATGCGAATTTCGAAGTGAGCATAGCGCGTGATAATACAGTATTTTTTCCAGAAAATGCTGATAATATCACATCAGTTCGTTCATTTTCGGGCAATTATGATAATTCACATGTATCGAACGGAAGTTTTCAAGACGATAACAATCATCAACCACAAGATACGTCACCATCGACAACGAGATGTTCGACACCATCATCGTCATCGACAGCCACACTCTACGAAAGCTTAGATAACTTTTCGACATCGACCGCAACAAGTCCAACGTACGTTTCAGCAGCTAGTACATTCAATACCGGTGTTACTTTGACTCCAACGCAACATTTCAATTCTGATACAAGTGATGATGATACGATAGAAAGCCTTTCTCAAGGTAGACAACGATCGTGCACACTACATCAAGCATGGATACGCTCATCTATTCCTAGCATGTCTTTTTACCTTCCTTTTTCCTTTTCCTCTTCCTCTTCAAATGGCATGGCCAAAACCAATTTGCTTGTCTTGAAAAAAATTTAAAAAAAAAACGCTGACTTTTTCTTTCATGTACGATAGCGTCGACACCCACAGTGGAACTTATGGAAAATACTATCGAATCGCTTGATGAATGTGATATATCATATGCAACGAATGTTCTTGCTCAAGACAATCCGCCTAGTCATCATCAAGGTTTGCGTATGCCGTGTGCGCATGATAGTGATGATTGATTTGAATCTCTACTTTTGTTATTATTATTTTTTTTTCTGTCGATGAATTTCCAATGGAAAATGAAACAAAAGGAGGATTACTTATTTCTTCTTTTTAGATAATCTCGATCCAACAACTCTTCAATCTTCCATTGGACACGAAGGTAAATAAAGTGAAATGTTCATTCTCTTCTCGACTTCTACGGAAAAGCAAACAACTCTCATCAATGATTTTTCTAGCTCAAAATGATTCGAGAAATCAATAAATGTAAGCACAGATGAAAGCATGGAGTTATCCGCGAGATTGAGCCTATAAATCGCATGTAGTTAAAAAAAAATTCACTGAATTTTTCTATGCGCGAATTAGCACATCTGTTGCATCATGTCTGTGTATATATAAATGTTGAAACATATCTACTCTAAGGGAATGTGTGTGATACGGTTTATAATCAATGCTGTTGTGCGTGTGTGTATGTGTTGCATGGTTGTTGTTTTCTCGATGTTGTTGTTATTGTTGTTGTTGTTGTATTTCTTATCCTTCTCTTCGTCGTTTTCTCCTCCTCATTCTCCTTCTTCTTGATCATCATTCACTCCCGGCATTGAGTATGTGTAAACAATAGAAAAAGAAAATTTCCATAATAATCGATCATCAAAGTAAAGAGAAAAAAATGAATCAAGACAAGAGACACTTTTTTTCTTTGAATGCTTGTCTTATCGACTAACATCGTTTTTTTATTATTACTGCACCTATTTCCTTTCATTTGCTTACATGTTTGCATGCTCTAACAGATGGCCGTTTACCCTTCCTCTTCATTCCTTCAACAGCGCAAACCGTATCACACACAGAATCCTGCTCGAGAAAAAGAAAACTTTCCGTTTTTTTTCCGTATATATCTGTCTGTCCTCTTTTTTTCTCGTTCCTAAGAAAAAAAAGGCACTTCTGTGTGTGGATGTTAGATAGAGTCTCGTTCTGTTGTTTTTTTCTTTCTCGCATTCCTTTCCAATCTAATCTGTTAAAGAGAATCAGAAAGAATCGAAGACGATGAAGTGACTGCTAAGCTGCTACAACTCGTTTTTTCCTTGTTTTCTATTGTTTACAGCTACTCTTGCCAGCAAAGGAGAAGAAACGTCATCACCACTATTACCACCATCATCATCATCATTATCAGAACCATCGTTATTATTAAATTCTTCTTCTCTCCTTTCTTCTACATTTTCTTCTTTTTCCACTCCTTACGCTACTACCATAACATCCGCTAAACTTCCATCAACAATGCCGAGTAAAAATTCCAATGTACCATTTCAACAATTCAATAAAATTCCTTCGACAACTACAAATATGAATGAAGAACCTCCGATTACTACCGAACAACAAGACAAATCTAAAGACCTCGATAATGCTTTGTCATCATCAACATCATCATCATCGAATTGTCGACGCCGGTTACCCTTACCTACGAAATTATCGTTCGAGCAGAATATAACTAATATGATTGAAAAAGAATCCCCTCTATTACAGTCAGAACTACTAACTGCCGAACATGAATTATCTGTTCTACGTTCACGTTTGGCAGTTAACGAAGGTGTAACTGCCATTACCGGCACAATACTTGAATCTCTCAAAGGACAGTTTGATGCTCATCATAAAGTCGATAGTACGACATCACCGTTTGATACATCTCGAACAAATCTCCTTCAACAATCGTTGGCTATTCAAACATCCCCGTCCAATGAAAAGCTACCAGATTGTTTAGAAATTCACTACGACGCTCAATCACCCAAAAGTCATTATATCGTTGTTAAAGCAGTGAACTCATTCTGGGTCGCTCAACCCATTCCTGATTCGCAAGTGCATGAACATTTGCAAAAATTTTCCTCACCTGTTATGAAACGTGCAGCTATCAAACTACCCGATAGTTTCGAATTCGATAGTGACACCGATGCTCCCGACGAAGAAAAACAAGCGCAAAGTCATGGTTCCATTTCCGACGAAGATGAAAGTGTACTGCTGGATCGTTATGAACAATTATCTGAAATGAAAACCATCCGTTCATCATCATTACTTCAACATGACGATCAATTTGAAAACTTCGAAAATAAAATCGAAGAAATCTATTTAATCATTGATCAATTGCGACATAAATCTCTAACACCAACAGTTCTAAATACATTACAGAAGAAAATCAACGATTTGAAATTCATTCTACACAAACTTTACTTCAGCAAACAAGATCGACTTCATGTTGACTATCTACTAAGTGAGCTAGAAAGTCAATGCACTCAGAGCCATATGCCAAACCAATATGATTTTGTTGATTTATTTGAAAATGATCTCAACAGTTTACAACATATTATCGAACAACTTAAAACAAATGATACACAATCTCAACGAGATTTAATTAGTGATTTCGAAGATAAATTAGAATTGATACAAATCATCGACGAAGATACCAGTTCCAACGAATACAAAATATCTCCGAAGCCACAACCTAGACGTTTGATTCCGGAAAATCCAGTTATTACAAGTGATGTCTTCTTCGAAGGCGATAAAACACTCAAACCCAAGAAGACACCGGCAACTCCACCGAATCACCGACGATTAATACCCGAAGATGCTCGAATCAGTGCTTCCAGTTTCTACGAAGGCGATGTCAATCGTTCGCTATATCATCATGTGGACCCGAATAAAGATGCCGACCATTCACCGAAGAAGAAACCTTTAATTCCTGAAAAACCACTTGTATCAAGTGAAGTTTTTTACGAAGGCGATTCGCAGCGTTCGTTGTTCATCAAAAACTTTGCAGAGAATGCGCCTGAATCAAACTCTCCATCTCTATCAATTGATAACCTTCGAGAGATCATGAGTGATCTTATGCTTGCTGCATCCTGGTCAAGAAAACCGACGAAGATCGAGAAGCAACCAACGCACGACGAAGAAGAAGAGATTCTTGCGGAATCATTCATTACAACTGAACGACGACATTCAAAATCGTCTCTCTGTGAAATCATACATGAAATCGAGAAATTGCCCTCGTCTACTTTCGTCGAAGATCAATTCAATAAATCACGCCATCCGACGATAATCGAAGAAGATGAAACAGTTGTGGAGAAAGTTCGCGAGCCAGCACAGGAAGATTTCTCTGTGAGAAAGTCTCCAAATGAAGTTGCTTTTATCTTCGTCTCTCCTCCATCTTTGGAACAAGACGATGAAGATAAACATGAAGATGAAAGTAATGAAGCCAATTCGATGCCAACTGATCCACCCAATGAAAATGAATTTTATTCATCCGAATATGAAGCACGTCTTCGACAGACATCAAATGAAATTGTAGGAAGAATCCTGAATGGCGCAATTTCGGAAGCCATTGAATACGAACAAGAACAATTATATTACAAAACAGCTGTTCAACTCGTTCAACATGCTATAGAAAGCGCATTGATTAAATATGATAATGAACTTACTCCAAGTGAACTTTCATCAACGAGCAGTGAGCATAATGATGAAGCGAATTCCGATGGGTATTTGTCGTCGGACGACGAGAACGAAGAAAATGAAAAATTAATTCCACAAATATCTGATCAACCTTATCTCTTCGTCACGGATGTTGTCGCATCCAAATCAGCACAAGAACTCGGTAATCTCGTTCAAGAATTACAAATACTTGAACATCAAATTCATCATTCTCGTCCTCGATCGTCGTCGTCATCTTCATCATCATCGTCATCGTCTTCCAGTCTATCAGAAAACAAAACATCTCATATTGCCATTCCACAAATTATTACAGCAAGATCTGTTACTGAATTAACCAATCTTGTCGTTGAACTGCAAGACATGGAAGAAAAATTAGAGGATCAACTTGATGAGTCACTTGAAAGTATCAAATCTCCTATATCATCAAAATCTTTCAATGAACTCGGCGGATTAATGAACGAGCTACAAACAGTTTCCAAGCAGTTAAACAACCGTATTCATGAAGAGATATTTATTTCGACGAATATTGATTCCTTATCAGAAGATATTATCAAGTATCGTCGTGATTCGTTAGCCGCATTGCAACAACTCGATGAAAACCAAGCTGTCCAGGATATGGTTGATAATATTATTAAAGAAGCACGGGATATTATGATTAGAGAGGTAAGAAGATTATCGTTCACTCCATTCGTGAATGCTATTCAATCCCTTGAAGATGATCGTGTCTAAAAAGCTTTTTGTTGTATTTTTAGTCTTATCTTAAATCGATTCCAACGATTATCGTTGATCAACGTCGACTGTCAGGTCAACGATCGGCAGCGACCAGTATCTCGGACGATTTTGGCCTTTCACATGAAGACAATTCCGTCGATCAAACATTTGAACTAGCGGCGCAACTTGATTATCTTCGACGAATGTCACGTTACGATAATCAAACGTACGATCAGCCGTCATTCACCTCATCGGCAGCGGATAGCCACGAAGACAATGAGGATTTCAAATCTGCAAGTTATATGACAATGACTAATGAAGATGGAACATCTTCTGACGAAGAAAGTCACCGTCCAAGTAAATCTGACCAACAGATCGATCTTAGCCGAGATTCTATCACTCAGCCATCGTCCGACTCACTCGATTATCATTCCACCGAAGTCGAAATCAATCAAACTGAAACACCTCGACGAACAACCAGTGAACACAGTCTTCACAGTACATCATCTTCTTTGCAAGCACCCGAGCCACATTCTCTATCGACGTTGTGTTTAATCGATAAAGATGAACTAGTACTATCCGATAATGATCAAGATACAGCAAATATTGGTTTTCTTGATCGAATGAAATTGCTTGTCAACAAGCCGGTAGAAATCGTTCAAGAAGCAATGGGAAATCTTGGGAAACAACGAACAAGTGATTCTACTACTAACGCATTAGATCAACAACGCTTTCAGTCAGCTCATGACTTACACGACGAAGAGAAGAGCAAGCTTGTTCGTAGTCCTGAACTGTATAACATTGGAAATGTTGGTAGACATGATCAAAGATCATTACTAACAAGCTCACAAATACAGCATCGAACATTATCGGAGTCTGCTTTGACGAGTGATGATTCGAAACGTCATAGTTTAACTACGACAAGTAACGATGCATCTGTCGAATTTTTAACGGCGTTATCAAAAGAAAATTCGATGGAGTTTTCACAACAACGTCTTTCAACACCGTTTGATGATGTACTGGAAAAAGAATCAAGCCCAGAACAGTCCGAATGCCATCCACTTCCAACATCCACGTTTTCCGATGCTATCGAACCAACTAGCAGTTGTCAACGTCCATTAGCCTTCCGCACACCTGGACAACAGAATAATATTAGCGACGAACAATTTTATACCGTTGCAAATAATCTCGTACATCAAGTTTTGAACGACGCTGTTTCGGAATTGAATGATGAACACGATAACTCTTCCGTCGAAAATATCAGTGATCGTCTATCAATCAGTAATAATAGTAGTAGTTCGTCCGATGGTGAAGTTGAAAAGCTAGTTGGAATCGATGAAGAAGAAGTCGAAGAATATATACCAGACCCGCTACCACCACCGCCACCGCCACCGAAAATCTCGCCTCGATCTCCATTTTCGAAAGTTCTACGACGTGCCCAAACTGACACGAAACATTTTGACATTGTTCAAAGTCCTGTTTCATTAGTTCCGCCAATCATTCGTCGTAATTCTCAATCGGACACCGATGTCTATTTCCATACTGTCTCTTCGTCACTTCACGATTATGATCAAATGCAAAATTCCAGTTCGGATGAAGACTGTCCTGTTCGCAAACGTCACGAGAAGTACTCCGGTGAAGGTGAAGATAGTAGTGGCGGAGGTGGTGAACGACCAATTTCACGACGAAAACGTTCAACCGATCAGACCAACGCTCACGAATCACTGACACTGAAATTTGACTCGAATGATAATTCGAAGCGCCGGGAAAGTCTTGATTCTCCTCCAAAAGATTCTACTGAAAAGTCCTTGTTAAAGACTCTGCAAGAAGGAATCCTTCGGACAAATCTAGAATCCTTGCAAACAGAATTGAAATTAGCTAGTCCACAAAAAGATTATCTGCGGATAAATGTTTACTCATCGGTAGCGAAAAAACCTTCGGCAAACTATGATTACGATGCTGGAAGCGAAACCGATCGTGATGACAGAGCTTCCAAAACTCACCGAAAATCTGTCGATGTCGAAGCGAAAAATCTTTTGGACGATATGGTTGAATCAATCAACAGTGATAAACTATCGAAATCCATATCAAGTGAGCCAGTATCCTCACAATCGGATGTGACAACTGTTATATTTAAATCCAATAAAACTTCTCTCGACGATGAAGAACATTTCGAACCATCATCCCATCAATCTAATCTCAATACTAATCAATTTCTTTCCATTCATCCATCATTTTCGTCGTCAGCATCTTCGTCTTCTTCTGTGATATATCAACAACAAATGCAAACAAAGCTTACTTCCATTGTAAATACACAATCAAAAAAGCAATTTTCCACGCCGTCATTTTCCACAACCGAATTCGTTGGACAGTGTACTAAGAAAAAATATCCTTCGTATCCCGGCTCATTGGGAGCTAGTCATATACCTTCTTCTTCTTCTGCTTCTTCTTCTACTACATCTATACCCAATGATTACCATTCAGTACTGGCAACATCCACTACTTTACAGAGTGGTAACTGACCACTTTGTCTTTTCCCCTCTTCTTAGTCGATGTTGTCCTTATTCGCTTTTGTTTCGAAGTGTGATTCGCGTTGTGCTTTACTCGTTCTTAAACGCACATTTCCACTATTTGACAATTGATATATTTATCTTTGCCTTTGCTTTTCTATTCTAGGTCAACAACATGTCGACGAGTAACTAGCAGATAGACATTAAACTTCGTTTTTCGTGTGTGTGCATGTATTCTTCTTTCTGGGTTCCTGTCTTTGTGTTTTGTGCGTGTTCTATAGAGTATGAACGATTGAAAAAAAAATTCGACGATCACATCACATCTGTTCAATGGAAACTTTTTTTTATCTACTGGAATGATTTTTTCGTATTACTTTTTCTGCGATCGTCAAATTTCAATCATTAATTCTATTGCTATTCTTTGTTCATTCTTTTTTCTTTCTTTCTTTCTTTCTTTCTTTTTGCTTGCTCTGCCTGTTCATTTGCATTATCATCATTTAAAAACAAAACAATCCCAAATATAATAGTCTATGAACAAATCGAAAATGACTTGTCGACATAGAGGAAAAAGAGTTCGTTATAGTCATAAGTTCGATGGATTGAACTTGTTCTACCAGTGAGGATTATCATATTCGATACTAAAATAATTCAAATATCATTTCTTAATGAAAACAAAAGATCATTAACTTACTTGTATAGGATATTGATATTGACCTCGATCGCTTGGTGAATGCGGAACAGATGCTTGTTGATCTCCATCTAGCGAATTGACCAATCGATAGTATAATTCCGCACGTTCGTACTAGAGTGAGAATCATTGCTGACGAATTACACCACACAGTTTCTCCCTCCACACTTACCGATGGGCGTGTACTAATGATAGCGAGACTTTCAGTTGGGTCAAGTGGATGTGATTTCAATGGAACTTTCCATCGGCCACTTGCTAATCGATTTTGATTATCGAACAATGGTAGTTTGACGTAAGCATTCGTTTTCAGTTGCTCGAGCGCTGCTTGGCGGTCCGATGAAATTTGGACTTCGATAACGACTGTTAAAGCTTGCTCTGCTGGACATCTTTATACAGAATATATTATTGATTGAGGAAGATATTCGTATTTGCTTTACATACTTTGCTACAGGTTGTTTAGTTGAAATTATTGCAACACGCAAATGATCATTCGTTCTTGGATCCACATATTGTTCAGTTTTGACCGGTTCTAAGATAGATGGTGGACCATATCCTGATTTAGGATGATGAAGACATGTGATCAGACGACTTTGCTCAACATCTGTTGGAACATCGCATATAAAATCAAAAAATATGACGAAACCACTGGTTGGTTCATAGGGTTTTGATACATATGCATCACGTATTTGATATACGTTTGAATCGACGAAGCTCATGGGAGGACTGGTACGAGCTACAGCATTCTTATCAACGTATGGTAAGACGGTTGTTGCTGCTGCTGTTGCTTGATTACGTGTTTGATATTGGTCATATTGGCCATTCTGATTTATTCGAGACGGTTGTGAGTAGGCAAAAGGTTCGGTTTGGGGCAGATATTGTTGTCGGTAGACATGATCGTTATGATTGGAATAGGGTGCTCTTTGTGTTTGAGGATAGTAGGCTGTCGGTAGTTGATAAGGACCTGGTGGTTCAATGTAACTCGATGGTCCACGTGCTGTTAATGATACTTCTAGCTGTTTCGTACCTAGAATCATGTTAGTCTTCCCAGTCAATATCTGTACACAGTGGAAATGAAAACTCACGGGAATCGAGCGCTTGGAATTTTTTGTACATTTCATGAAGTTCATTCCTGAGTCGTGAATTTTCTTCCGTAGCTGATCGTATTTGTTCAATTTCCACATCGATTCGTGGGTCAGTTTGATCTACAGAGAAAAGAGACCAGTATCTATCTGATTTCCAATCCGAAAATACAAACATCGAGCTTGTCGTAGTGGTTCAGGATATTCTTTCGTCCAGGGCGAATTTTCACGAGATCTTACTCGATATTCCAAATCGCTATAACGAGCAATCGTTCGTGCATCGTGACCACCTGTATACATATAATCTTGACGAAGACTCCTACAAACACATGTTTATTTACAATCAGTTCGATGTCACACAGACAAACAACTAGCCGTGCTCCGGCAATGCTCTTTTCATCATTGACACTTATACGTTCGTCTCTATTGTTTTGTCGTACTATTGTCATCATTACAATTGCTTTCATTCTTACCTGACATCTTCGCCATCTCGATGTCGTGAACGATTCGAAATATATGGCAATGACAGATATTCACTCCCACTTGGCAATGTTCTATTGAAAAGAAACAAAACAAACATAATTTGTTTTCCAAAGGTTTCACTACAGACTCTCGTGAATAGAAATACCGTCCTCGCAAATATTCTAATGCCTTCTCATTCAGGTTTTGTTGGTCCTTCATCTCACGAAGAAGTCGGTATGGATCATAAGACGCCATGAGTGCTGGCTGATAATGAAGAGTAATTAATTCTTCGAGTTTCTTTTGAATATCTAAGAAATGAAGAGCTTTCTTCATGTAGAAGAATTGAAAACAAATATTTACGCCGACGTTCGTGTTCTAACCGGCGGTTTCTTCGTTGTAATTCTTCGAATTGATCATTCACAGTTGATTCGTACGAATATTTGGTTTTTCTATCCGAATTCTTCAATCCTCGAGATTGACTTTGTAAAGTATACATATGTCGTAAAACATCTCGTTCTTCCTTTTGTATTCGTTCGTACTTCAAAAAATAATATTCAAATAGCAAAGATCGTATATCTCAAAGTAAAGAAAAACATCCGATCGATTTTGCTGTATTTGTCATCAGAGAAAATTCCTTGCAATCGATGTAATCGGAGAAGTAATTCGACTTCGACGTAATTGAATATCTCTTACTTCGCGAATGACTTCATTGTAAATATGATCTTGTTTTCGAAGGGAATCGGTGAGCTTTTCAGTTTTGTAGTGATCATTGAGAATACGATATTCCATATCTTCGGCGCGTTGCACCAATGCACGTCGTCGTTTCCACTCATCGACTTCGGCTCGTTTCTTCAATGGAAAAAACGAACGAGATACATCTCTATCTTTCAAGAAAACGATCAACTTACCCGTTCGATAGACGATCTGCGTTTCTTCGTTGATCGTTTCGTGTGTTTATCATTTCGAGATTTGTCACTCTGATCGGCTTCATCATTGTCTGACTCGATTCGAAGTCGTCCTATGCCGGAATCTTTCACCCCAATACAGAACTGTTTCTTATGTCGATATAAATTATCATCCGAAGGAAATTTCATTCCACATTGATTGCATTTGAACTTCTGTGAGCTTGGCATTGATATTCTAAAAATTCGCTCATATACCTCACTACATTTATTCACAAATCAATTAGTTCATGGTGTCGACTTACATCGATGTTTTCAATAGAATATATTCTCCTGAAGTGTGTTATAGATGTTGAAACTACCTCTTATACAATCACTCAATCGAACGTATGAGTGTTGTTTATTAAACAAAAAAGCAAATTTGAGTTCTCTTTTCTTTCTTCTTTTCTCCTCTCATTCCCTAGAAATACTAAGAAGACATGTCGGAAAAGAAGTCACAACGTAACAACAAAATCAAATTGCCAGAAAAATGACTAAAGAACTGTAGGAGAGAACAGTTTTCATCATTAGAACAAAGAAAACACTAGTTTGTACTGAATTTTGACTTCGGTTACATTCTGATTAACCAAACATACTTCGATATCGTCAAGCTTCAAAAACAAACATGACTTTCTCCCTCAATGATAACATAAAGTAGGGGAAATTAGTGCGCGTGCTTGAAAACAGTATCTGCCTATCAGATCCAAGAGAAACTTAATTGAAATCAATGTAATAGTTTGGAATAACATGTCGGTAACCATGTGGTTGCCATATAGAACATGAAAATAACTCGAATAATAACAATAATGAAGCTCTAAGAAAAATTCTTCTGAATCAACTTGTGTGATTCAGTTTGATCAAGCATTCTGTTTTCTATTCAATCGAAATTGACTTGTTCTTTCTCCTTCAGCAGTATCGCACATCGGACAAATCTCATTGTATTCAAACGAAACAGAATTCAAGTACATTTTTCAGTTCATAGTTATGTTAGTCTCTGTTAAATATGATGCAAAACATTTAGAGGTATTAAATATTTATTTCAAGTTGAACAGAGAAGAAAACGAGGTGTTCGAAGTGATTTTCATTGTAAAACGTGAAAAATAAATGTAAGTAAGCAAAAAAAAAAGTAACTCGTGTTTGTTTTGTTTAAGTATAGGAAGCACGGCTCACTGGTAAAGTACGATAACGCATATGTTCCAATCGTTGTCGTTTCAACGTTTCGAATAGATTTCTTTCCATAATTGATTTTCTGGTCGAATGTTGCAGAACTAACTCTAATGTATTCGGAATTTCGCTGATGAATTCTTTGTCAAGATAAGCGGCATCTTGCTTCTCATTCAATGATAATGAATTCGAATTTTTACTCATGGATTTGTCATGCATGATTAGATTTAATTCAGTCAGTTTAGTTGTTGTTACATTTGTTGAATTTTCATTCGTACTTAAACGTGTTGGCGAACGTTTAAACAATGGAAGAAAGGTTGGTGAAGACTTTGTTGACGGTTTATAATGTGTACGTTGACGACGGATAACTTCGAATGTGTTTGCTGTTCGATAATAGTATGGAAGGAAGCCGCGTCGCCGTGCAGCATTATCAACGAGAATCGAATGAGCGAGAAGTTCATCATCAACTGCATTCTCTATCATTTGCGCTTGTTTTAATAGCGGCGTGGTCGGCATTGGTCGCCGGTAGGATAGCGGTCGGCATGTGAGCACTTGTTGAATATTCTGAAGCGAGAATAGACAAGAAAAACGTGTGTCACTTCGGATCGTGTCTTACTTCTTGTGGTGAGATATTTTCAGCAACTGTTGAACGAGCCGAGCGCAATTTTGCGACAGGTTTATTCATAATTCTTATTTGTGAAAGGCTTTCGGGTGTACAATTGCTTGATGTATTTGATTTCCTATTCGCTTTGTGTTATTGAAAAAAAGAAAAGTAAGTAAGTAGACATTTAAATATACATACAAGCGGCACTCTTTAGATTTTTGTTTATGTTTGAGCACGTTGCACTAATGGCGACATTTCGTGTGTTAACACAATACATCATGATTACAGGTATTAGAATAGAAGAAAGAGCTTTCGTTTTCTCTCATTCGTGTACACATCCATCATCAGCTACTTCACTCTGCTCTTGTTACATTAATTGAAAAGGAACGTGTCGTTATTTTCATGTCTTTTCTTCTTCTCCTTGTTCTCATTACTTGTACAAGAATAGTAACAACGATAATTATATACTTGTGTCTACATCGATGTGTCGAGACATTTGAGAACGAAGAAGAACAAGAAGAAAAAGAAAAAAAGTATGGATGTCTAATGTAGTTAATTCATATGTTCTCGACTAATGAACATTCAGCACACACACACACACTGTATGTGTATGTCTATGCACATTTTTCAGGCATTGTTACTCCTAGTTTCTCTCCTGTTCATTTTTTTTCAGACAATAATAGTAAGCAGTTCTTTTTTTCTCATTATTGAATTTATCAATAGCAACAGCAATAGAAGCACACATATACATGTTGACAATTTGATGTCTCTTGATTAAAAGTACAAGGGTCAATACAGAATTACAATTGCGGTCAGTCACACAATAGGCAACGATATAAATCATTTTCTTCCTGCTGTTGGTATATGAAATTTCAATAGTCCAAAGTAAGAAACACAAAAAAAAATGAAGTTGAATGCTTTTTAATTAATTTTCTTTGTGTTCTTCTTTTCTAGATCGATGTTTGGTATCGAATAAGAACAATAGGATACGTAAAGGTGTGCATTAATAAAAAACCAGTCAAACGCGCAATGAACCGTATATGAGTACTGCTTTCTTTTCAAACAAATGAAGTATTTACCTACAATGAGTTGAAAGAAAAATTCAGATGATGTAACTAGTCATTAGGATCATTCATACCCACTTTTCTCATGGAATAATAGCCGTTAGTATCTTTTACTCGTGCGCGCACACACCTCTATATAAAGGACAATCATACTTTGTCTATTGAACTGATTTTTTTATTGTTACTATTCGACGGTCATTGCCTTTTCATTTTATTGTAAGAGAATAAAAGAAAACGTAGAAAGAGTCGGTCAACTGGAATTTTTATCATATTTGCATCAACTGGTTTTTATAGTCTGTCTAACACCATCAATGAACAGCACACATATACATCATCACTTATGGCCATATGCTGTCCGTGGCAGTGTGACATTAATTGTCGAAAATACAACGACTGAAAATTTCGAACAAAATATCTATCGCACGCTGCGGCAGAGTATTGCTAAAATTGTACGAACGTTTTGTACAATCTATCGGCAGAACTGTCTAAGTCATGATGCCGATGCTGTCAGGTAAAGAATAACATTGATGTCATATTCGCGTCTACATTCAGTTGTGTTGTTTTTAGAGCTGACCATGTCATTATTCAAAGTTATGAAGAACAGTTAGATGATCAGCGCTTGTATGTCGCTGTATTTATCAAAGATCCCTATCGTCAAGACATAGCTTTAACTAATGATCAATTTCTACTTGCACTTAAACGTCATCGTCAACAACTCTATCAAGATATTAAACATCATGTATGATCGAATATATATGACAGCGAAGAAAGATTCATCATTGATTTCTTTCGTTTTTTCCTCCGTTATAGATTAATCTTCCGTCGACAATTTTTGAACAAACATCATTAGATCCAATATGGTTATATGGTGTTTGTTTACTTGCTTTGCTTGTCCTTGTTGTTGTGATTCTTATGTTGATTACAATTCTCTCGAAACGAACGGTTAAAACGAATACAATAGAAGAAACGATTCAAATAGATAAACCGACATCACAACCACGACCAGATGAAACACAGTACAGATGCAACAAACAACCTAGAAATTGATCGTTCGCTCTCTCTCTCTCTTTCTTCTAGATTATTCGTTTCGTCACCCATTCGACTAGCTCAAGAGGAATATGAAACAAATTCATCGTCGTACGGTAATGAGACCGAAATATCACAAACATCAAATTCTACGCTTACAGCTAATTTACCTCAACCATCTAATTATCTCTATTCATCATCTCGTACATCCTATTTTAATAGTGCTATCGAAGCAGCGATAAAACATCATCTACACGATGATGAACCTATCCCATTTATAGATGATAATCTGTCCGTGACACATAGTCGAAAGAGTAGTGCATGTTGGAGTGATCGGACAAGTTTGAGCAGTCGTTTCGGATTTGCTTGGAAATGGAGCGGTATGCGATCCGCGACATGTTCAACTGAACAAGGAAGTTCAAGACGATTCAATTATCGACCCGTTCGATATACCATACCAAGAATCTCACAGCGTCATATTCATGAGCAATTGTAAAAAAAACCGTTTTCTTCATTTTTCTTTTTTTTTGTTGTTATTTAATGACATATGGATCATTTTGTCTTATGAAATAAAAGTTTTTATTCTTTCGATAAGAAACTAACACTTTGTTTATTGTGATAATAGTGTCGAACATCTTGACATGTACTTCACCACTTGTTCGATACATATAAAAAGCAATTAGAATGTCAATACCAATTGAAATCAAGAATAGAAGAGTCTTGATTGTCACTGATGAAAAGATGCGTTCAGATCATCATTAGAAGCAATTGTCGAAGTTGCAAATGAGTAGGCCATTGACTGATATCAATAGTAGACAGCAGACGTATTCAACTAATTAGTTCTCTGACAACAACGATTAGCAGTCACATTTTCGAACACATGATCAAAGGAATCTTTAAGAGCAACTGAAATTTAATAAACATGTTCTTTGGTTTTTGGAGTTGAATACATACACACATACATGAAGATACAAAGAATCTCATAAAGATATTACAAGTATTTATTCATGGGAAAAAAAAGAGAAAGAGAAAGAAACTGAGTGTCATGACACCAGATAAGAATGTATTGTATAAGCGTTGACCATCAAGAAGCAAAAGACAGAAGAAAAAGAAGTATTCGAAAGTTTTGCTATTTTTCTTTTAGTAAGTATCTTCTTCGCCCCCGACAAGAGCCGAACCATTACCATTACTGCCGACAGTGATACCATTAACATCTTCGGCTTCACCATTACCGTTCTCTTGATCAGGTTGGGCAAAACCCTCCTAAAAAAAAAGAAAGTTTCCAATTAATGAATTGTTCATCTAGATCGTATATACAGAGAGACAAGGGGACGGGGAGGTTCGAACATAAACACAACTCATTCCTTAAGGATCGTCGACTTGATCGTATTCATCAGGTATATGAAATCCTTCCTTTACAAGAGAAAAGAAACGAGATTTTGATAGATTTCAGTCGATGAGGACAGCTTCGATGTAATTATTCTCTTACTTCTGTCGCATAGAGTATTTCTAGAATTCTTTGCGTTTGTGGCAGTGAATCGCATTCAGGCTCTTGACAAATAACTTCCACATCACGTAATTTTTGATAATAAAAATCCCGTTCTTTTTCCAAGCCAGCTATTTGTGCTGCATGTTGTTGAATAATTTCTTGTAAATTATCAATCTAATCAAAAACATACATCGATACAGAAGTATTCAATCAACTCTATCGACATACTTCTTGTTGTAGACGAAGATTGTCATGACTATGCGATCCATGATGAGAATCAATATGGTGGCCACTACTACCGCCACCAGGACGATTAACTGATGGCGAAATTTTTGGTTGATGTTGTTGCATGGGTTTGGCTAAAAATAGATGTGAACTGAGCGAAATACATGGAGATCGAATTTACTAGCAGCTATGGGCGCTCTTGTTGGCGCCGGTGCAGCTCGTACCACTGGTGCCGGTCGAGAGGCAGGTGGTGCACGAATGCCGGAACTGGCAGTTGTTCCTTTACCACCTCCGCTGCCTAAAGGTCTGCAAAAGAAAGATGATTGCGTTTCGAATGAAAATAAACATTTCCGATTGTCTTACTGCCCATCACGAGCAGCAACAGGATCATAATCATGTGCGGCTGTGTAGTTGGCATCGAAAAATTTCTTGAACCATTGAACAAATTCAAAATTATCCTGAAATTTTCCTTTGACTAATTTCTCAACAGGCACGATCTATGAAAAAATATAAGTATAGCGATAAGATCGATTAACAAGCAACGAAATCTAAAAACATATAAATAATCTCTTAATGAAACTTGTTCGCACACCTTGTCAACTTGCACGGCTCGGAAAGCATTTTGTAAAATCTTAAAATTTTGTATATTTTCATGTTCTAGTTTCGCATTAAACTTCACTCGTTTCATCGGAATGGTTCCTAGAAGCAAGAACAAGAGTCGATTGAACGTTGATCTCTCCTACGTTCGCTGATTTCAGTACAATGTCCGTCACCAATAAGAGATTGATTATATGTTTTTAGTAAATACTACCTTATCTACAGCTAATGCTTTGAAATATTCTTGAAGAACTTTGAAATTATTGATATATTCATGCTCGAGTTTAGTGCACCATTTCACCCGTTTTGATCGTGAACCTATAGCTCCTAGAGACGTTGAAGAGTTAGGGTTAGGTTAGTACGAACTGAAGATGCTACGAAGTCGTCTACCTGGAAACATCATTTCCATGAATTGGCAATAAGCCGAACCTATGTAGAGAAGTGACCATTGAAGGTTACGTTTTGGACAAACATTGAAACTCCTACCGGAACAGAGATCTTCAACTTTGGTAAAGTTTGCTTCTAATGCTGTGTTTATCCATTGTAAAATATCATTTCGACTAAGATTGTCTGTTGTGACACTTGTGTGATAAACATTTACAGCGGCCATCTAGAATATGTGCTATAGAAAGGTGAAACTTACAGTTCAAATCAACGAGCATGTGACAAAGAGAAAACGAGCGATTTTAATTTCTTTTTTTTTTTGTTGTCGTCTACCGAAATTTTCATAGTCTAACGATGAATGATGAGTTAATTATAGAGTTCAATATGATAAATGTCTTGATACGTATCAATGCGAGAGAGAGAAATAGGGAGAGATGCACAATGATGCAATGAAAATATCTGCAGAGACGAATACTAATTCAAACAATGATACGATTTAAACAATAAACAAAACGGCCGGACAAGTCGAGAGAAGAGCGAAACATTCATCTGTGTTTGTATAGAATAAATAATAGACTTTCTTTCTTCTATCTCATTGGCGAAAATGAGCGATGTTCACGAAAGAGGGAGCCGTGTGCAATGCAAAAAGACAAACGATGTATTGATTGAACTTTGAACATCGTTCTTGTCACCGTTCAACAATGACAGATTTTGTCAGTCACTTATCAACGTAAATGGTATGAAACGTTTTATTCATCTTAATCATATCCAACAAGAAAATAGGCACGTGTACAATAGATGATCAGTAAAATTTCTTATACGCAGTGTCCTTCAATGAAGTTATTCTCTTGCTAGTCGACTGTCGAACGAGCTGAGTGCTATTCCAAAGGCTTGAACTGCCGTGAGTGGATATCGAAAATCACAGGTAAAGATATCATCGTTGACTCGACCAAATTGCATCACGGCTTCTTCTTCATCTAAAACACAACGAAGAAATCTTTACATCGTGTCAATCAGTCGATACATACGATTATCATTTTCGAGTACAATTTGAAAGTTTTTCACTGATGGTTGAGCAACGCGATTTCCAGTAAATTTCAGAACATAATTTTTCGTATCTAAACCCAATGAATACTTATATCACCATTGGATAATATTCCGTTTTACCTTCATTATATGATGGTGTTTTATTTCTCAGCTGCATTAAATAGCTGAACCGTCGGTCTCGCCATTGTTCGAGAATAGTAGGTTCATTCTTAAAACAATTGAATTTGGAGAGAAATGAAAGAAGCATGCAATCTCCTAGTACTTACCTTAGCCGGTTGAATATCATGGCCAAGCTTTGGAATCATAATGTTCATCTGTCTTGGACCTTTAAAACCCAGAATGTTCGTATTCTAAAATAAACAGATTTTAACGACGGAATATTACTCACATAGGCAGGAAGGTATGATTTTTCAGTCTCTTCTAACTCCGTGATTCATTTAAGCTATTGAAATTCAACACAAACTTCCAGTGCGATCGTTTCGTTCTGCGACGACAGATACATCTTATCCCCAGCAACAGGTCGTGCTTCCTCTGTCAATATCATGTCTCTGAGTCACATTAGTTTCAACTTAGAAAGTTTGACATCCTGCCAGAAATCTTATCTATATCAATTAAAATAGTATCAATACTTACATAGACAATTGCTAATAATTCGCGTCGTAGACCTTCACGGGTATTCGAAATTTTACCATTCGGTAATTTATTTGGACTTAAACCATGATCGTACAATGTATATTCAGTTCCAGTGACGTTGTTTCCTCGCAATTTCCCCACATAATCTTCTCCAGCCGACTTCTCTGATAAAGTAGCGACGTTTGTTGTAATGAGATACTCTGATTGTCGCTTGACTTTCGCTATTTTTCGAGCAGCTAATAGAAAGCACTAGAAAAGTACAGACAAAGGTAAATTGTTCGATCTTGGTAGACCACTCCGTACCTTTTTACCATCAACAGGACGTTCAGCATGTAGATAAAATGTTGGAAACAAACCGCCTTGAAGACCATCTTTATCACGTCGAAGAGTACATTGTACAAACGAGGAATAATCTTGCGGGATAACTGTGTTGATAAATGTCGTTAAATTATTCTGAAGTAATGCAATAGGATCGAAGTTTGATGTGTTTGCTGTTGCAGATGATGTCTAGGAAAAGCGCAAAGTGAAAATTGAATCAATCAAAACCGAAGACATGTATACGGATGAAGGTTCTGGGGTCATCGTTGCTGGTACAATTGGTTCATAGGCATTGTTCAATCTTGTTGATGACGATGACGACGAAGATGATGATATCTGGCTTGCTAATTCACCACGTTCATTTCTATTCGATGATGTTAGTGTTTGAATAGATGATTGTGTTCCTAAATACCATCATATGCGACGGATTATCTGTGAAAGCGAAGAAAAATTTGTTTATCATACTGTTAGTCTGTGGTCTGTTAGATGCAACATCCCAATCGGGTGTTTTCGGACGAGATAAGCTGGTCACAGTCTAAAAAACTGGATTGACAGATTTTCTCCAAGAATGAACTTGCATCTACCTTCGGTATTGTTCGCCTTGTTGTAATTGGTGTGCGTATTTGACCTTTTTTTTCATCTTCACTATCTGATTCGATACTGAAAGGTGAACCTTTCGTATGTAAATCCATGCAATCATGAAATACATTCGCTTACCGACACGGATCTTTTGCAACAGCAGAATAGGACATGATTGTGCAAGTTCAAATGACTTTTAACGAAAATGACGCGAGTATCAATTCATCACAAAGCACTTAGGATTCTTATCTACGATGTCGACTATAAAGCAAAAAAAAGCGAGAGAAGAAAGAAAAAATGTCACAAATTGACTGAAAAAAAAAACTGTTTTTATGTTGATGGAAAACTACTGCGAGTTGCACGGAGCGATTTGTTAACTAGATATCCTGTGAAGAATTTAAATGGAAGACGATTTGAACTTCCTCGGTATTTCACGAACACAAATATTAAATCCAGTATTATTTTTTCCAGCACTTCTTCCGTGAGAGACATACTTCTCATACAACAGAATGTTTGCACAAACATTTTTCTTCCTTTGCCAAATAGCTTTGCATACTACTCGTAACACGTGCTATTGTGTTCAAATAACAATCGACTGACGTATGTATGTCGTTAAAATAGTAGAAAGAAAAAAAAACGGAATTGATTCAATGACGTTTATTATGTTTTTTTTCTGTCACTTTTTATTTTAATTTCTATTTATTTTTGGTCTGGAACTGTTTGAAGAATTTCTAACAGTTGGCTGTTGTGAATGATCATATGTCTCATTATAGCCAGCATTTTCGTCATCATTAGCACTATTTTCGAACGTCCGATACAATCTGTCCGAGGCGGGATGAGACGAGTGTCTAGTTGCGCGATTAGAAGACTCTCGATGTTGATGAGATGATCTACTTGCAAGCTCTAGATTTTTCATTTGAGTAGTACCTAATGATGACGAATGCGGTTTACTATCAGTCGTCGATCGAGACTTCGTGCTGGATTGATTGGAATTCACTCCAAAGACTTTTTCACACTCTTCAACATGCTTTCTTCGAATTTCATCCGCTTGCCGAGATCGGTGTGAACGTTGTTCTTGATTATACGTCGAGTGTGAACGATTAGTAGACTTTTTTTCAGCATCAATTGAAACATACATTTCGGATTCATGACGGGCGAGTAGAGCAAGTGCTAATTGCATACATTGGACTTCGGCAGCGCGAACTTCAGACAGTGAATGCCAAGAATGTTCACTGCGACCTGGTAGTCGAACTCTCAATGGAAAATCGGGACTAATTAATGTCACTTCAAGATCATCTACACGGCATATAGGAACCTTATCACCATTTAATGTGTTTTTCAAAACCAAATACCCATCGAATTCAATTGCTTTGATAGGCGGATCACCTGAAAGAAAAAACTCGAACGAAACTGTCTCGTTTGATAAATAGATTCAATCGTTGTACCTCGAAGTAGCTTTACATAGAGAATAGTATCATTGCCATAAGTTGACATATAATCGTAGAGATTTTGTGTCGAATGAAGATAACGCAATTCGGTTGAACCTTCAGAAGCAATCGGACGGATTTCACACGGTTGTTCATTGACTTCGAGAAGAAAATGACGCTTTCGTGTACTACCTTTTGTTGTACAGTAGAGTGCTCGAACAACGCGATTTCGTATTAACTCCTCCTCTTCCATAACTCCTGGAAGAATCAATTGTAGTAAGGTCGGTTGTTTTCTTTTTGGTGCATAGATATAATCCTGAGACGTTCGTTCACCTTCCGAAGGTGTATATTCAACTTCTCCTGTTTCTTCAATTTCAAATTCCGTATTCTCTTCGATCTGTTTCATCCGTCGTTCGATACGATTGCCATTATAAATAGCAGGATCTATTCAACACACTTATAAACTATCTACCGGCTAAGTCCTCCTACCATCACTTCGAACAACTAATTCGAATGCTTCGATATCTCGCACGCAGATATACGAACGAGGTGTAAGACGTTCATTAACAACATCTTGTTCATGGATTCTTTCAAGGTCTGCTGTTGTTAAACGATGGATATGACCTTCTTTTCTGGATGTTGCTTTTGATATCACTCTCCATACACCTGAAACCTGTCAAATCAATCATTTCGTTTTCGTACTGTCTTCCCGCCAAACCTGCATGTTTGCTTGAAAGTACAATTTCTTGTCCCATCACGTCGAAACGATCACCGGATACTTTACAGGGTGAAGCAAGAATGAATTCGCCATTGATTTTCTCACCGACTACAATCGCTTTACTTCCCGCTTGTACTTAATAGACAGATGGAAAAGACTGAAATTTCAAAATTGAAAATAGAAATTTACCGAGAACAGGTTTGTGAATATTTGGATTGTCTACAAGATTTTGAAATGGAATGACTTTTTCACTCCAACGAATTCGATCCATGTTTTAAAAAAAAAGCCAAAGAAATGATCAAAAATAACTGCTGACGAAGGAAATTAATTTCGTATACTGAAGCAACCATTGCGCGTTGCAAGTGTTCGGTAATTACCGAACCGTATCTGATAAGATAACAGTCGCAAAGCAATAGACACGTGGTGATGTCACAGATGAAGGTGAATCATTAATTTGATAGAAGGAAGAGACAACAACAATATTCCTTCTTGCAAAAAGATCGTTTACATTCCACTTTGCGATGACGTTTACAAATTTTCATCGCAATTTCAATATGCTAATGTTTCACTCTCTTGAGACATCAGTACATCGAAAGCTATTGAGTAAGAAGAGATTAAAAAAATAATAGCCATTATCATTGTCATTACTACTTTTTATACTTTTGGTCCTCTCTTTTTATTTGTCTGTCTAGTGTTACTCACTTGAGAAGAGAAGATCCTACTAATATACATTTCTCATCGACAGACAGTTATTAATCAGTGTCTAGTCAGTGGCATGTGCGACATCATATATGTTTACGTCCTACGATTGAGTTGTACTTGGAAACTCTTTCCAGTCGTATAACTTTTGTTTATTGAAAGATGGAAAAGAATGTATCAGCGGATTGGCTTAGCATGATTTCATAATAGTATTTTCTCTCATGTGGATTTACAGTTTGCTTTCGATACAGTTACGTCGGATGACTTTTTTCAGTAACAAAAAAAGAAATGTCTTGAGTGCTGTTCTTTCATTTTTCATCGCTTTTGCTTGTTCTGATTGAATTCTTATCATTTCGATGATTTGACATATATATATATATATGTATATATGCATCCAGACATGTTTTAACGAGATCTATCGTATTAGATTATCTCATCATCATCAACATCATCGTGGCGTAATCAAGATTATCCGTTGTCTTGTACTATTGTGAAGAGCACAATCCAAATGATCAATCAACATAGTGGTCACTTTTCTCTCTGTCTATACGTTGGTCTGTCTGCATCAATCTGTGTATTGTTAACTTGATGAGAGAGAGAGAGAAAAAACGAAGAAAGCATATGTTAGAAGTCTTGCACACGTCATGTATGTGATAACATTTAACCGATCGATGAACATAATCTCTTTCTGTCTGTCTGTCTCAAAAAAAGTGTTCACGTAAAGCAAGTTCGTGATATATGTGTACACAAACATGATAAAAGGTTACATTACAGGACGCGACAGCGTCATCGTGTGAACAAATCACTCCGTTCATAACAAAGACAGACACTTATGAGAACATGATATCAAATCGTGACCGCTCTCATATATGCTTGAGTCAGTCAGACAGACAGTTAGACATGCATAAACGGAAGGGGCAAGGTCCGGTCAAATACGACGACGTAAGAGTAAGACAAAGAACAATTTTTCTCTTTTACTCGATGCATCTCTCGTGCTTTACTTGAAGACGATGAGTTACGTGCTCTGGCAGATGGTCAATGTCCATGGACGATGAATGTATGTGAGAGAAGGAGAAAAAGAACCGGAGACGATGATGACGCGTCTCTCTGACCGCGCCAGCGACTGCAGCAAATTGAATTAGCGATTATGTGTTCGTCTAGCAAGCTAGTTCGAACGAACGAGAGAAAGAAAGAAAGAAAAAGGTTCAGTTGGTCAAGTGGTCTCGTGTTGTATGCCTAGACAAGATTACGTCGTTCTCTGTCGACGCCTCACATTAGCGTGAAGAAGAACAAGAATTCGACAACCAATTCTTTTCTATTCTTCTTCTTTTTTACTCTGAATATATGTATGGATGCATACGTAGATAGGGTCCATCAGCTGGCCTTGAACGATGACGACCGCTTTCTCGTTCTCTCCTTCTTCTTCTCTATTTTTTATGTTTTTTTTTTGTGTTCAGCGATACGCAAGAAGAAGAGAAAGAATAGTATCTAATGGAAAAGAAAGAGAAAGAAAGAGCGGGAGAGAGAGAGAAAGAAATACATACAGAAAGAAAATGGTCAGTTGTTGTTATTTGATGGTCAATCACTAGACGACAAAGACCACGCAATCGTATTTTCTCAGATGTTTTCATCTGGCGCAATCGCTTTTTTATTGGAATTATCCGATTCACGACTTCAACCTTACTAGATAGATCCATTTCGTTTTACAGATCATCTCCTATCAAAGTAGTTCGTTGAGTATGCATCATGTACCTTCTCGAAGAATCATAATCAATCACCTTCTTTCTCTACAATTCAACTTTGTATTGTTCGCGCCGATGCCGAAGAGTTTCCAGTTGTTATCCGTACTTTCTTTTACACCTTACGGATACATCACCGACATTAATGTCTATTTATGCACATTCGAAAGTCAGCAGCATTTGCTACCTGAGTCTCTTCTTGCCTATCTGATTGTCTTCCGTTTGTCTATTCGATGATGTATATATACGCAGAGGCGAGACGATATGTATGTGAGTGCTGTAATAGTCTAGCTGTCTTACACAGTAACGAGACGAGAGGAAAGAAAGAAATGAGTGAACACACAAAACGAACGAATAAATGTGAACGACTGACTAGCCAAGTCGACCGATTGTACAGTATAGCACAAGTCATAATTACTGTTTTATTAAATACATCGATTGCTGACTGTGTATGTCTGATGTGCTAGTCTGGGTCACTTCCATTTTCCATCGCTCCTTCACCTTGGTTATTCTTCGTCTCTACCGTCCGATCGTATTTTTTTCTAACTGATTTCAATCATATGCACATATATTTATGTACCGAACTGCCTTTTATTAGTCATGTTAGTTAACATTACTACTAAGTCAACCTCGAATTCACCCTTCTTCAATTGTTAGTAGTGATGATGTCAATAGTTTACGTCATGCATATACACGGCGCCGTCTTTGTCATATTCCGCTGAAAAGTTGCGCAACCATACTCTTTCTACTCTCTCTCTCTCTCTCTCTCACTCACTCACTCGTTTGCCTTCGTTTTTATTCTATTCCTGCTTAAACACAAGTCTTCCTTGAACGAAAGTACTGACCGTGTGTAGAAATATATATTAGGTAAGATGCTCGTCCGAAACAAGTACTCAGTCAGGCAATGCACATAAAATGACATTGAATAAGAGTAAGAGCGAGGCGAAGATGAGCAAATTTTTTTACTCGACTCTCTTTCTCAGTTTGATGTATGTCATGTCCCTCGCCTCGCGCCTGTCGTAATCGATGATATTCGATTGATTGTGAGGCGAGAGTATAAAGTAGGTATAGTAGAATAGTGAAATTCAATAATTTTAAAGTTGCGAATATACATATGCATATACATTCAACATTCGAACCTTGACCTCGACCATATATAGTTCGTTTTCGTTGCTTTTCACTGGACTTTTCTTCGTAGAAGACGAAAGACCGATCTTCTCCTTCTAATCTACCTTGATAACCTTCAACGAATGATCTTCGTAATGGATATTATTTTCTTACGATTAAGTATTAGTCAGCCATTCTCTTTCTCATCGATGCAGTAGTTCTTCATAATCTATTTCTCTTCACCTTCTATTTAAAGAATAATAAGTATTTATAAGACTCTTCGTGTGTTTTCTTCTTTGACTTGCATGTTTGAAAAACAAGGAGGAAAGTACTTACGAACACATATCAGTTGACGACAAAAATACCAAAACATTCTTATCACGGCATCCATTATGTAAGTAACAAATCAGACTATCAGACATACCTCCGTCTCATTTTACATTTCCAAAATTAGTTCTTTCATTCCTTTTTTTCATTTCACAAATAAGAAGAAAGAACATCATGGAATAGATTAACGATACTCTCTCTCGCTCATTTTGATGCCGAAATAAGGGTTTGTAGATTTTATTTACTTGATTTTTTGCTGATTATTAGCACACAAAGGTATGTACATATAACTGACAGTCGAAAACGTTTCGGTAATGACGCAAAAAAACAAAAAACATGCATGCTCTTAGTCGCACTCGACAGTCGCATAAACACATGGGCAGCCTTTTGACATACAGTTCAAGGTTGTCTTCTGTTTTCTTCGTGTAGTCAGCAGTATATATATTTCTATTTGCATAAATGTCCTTGAATATGAGAGAAGAAAATGAAAGAATTGATCGAATAAGTAGAAAAATAAGAGAAAATAGGACGCACGAGTAGCATTATTGACCATAATTGTTTCTGTTATTTTCAATAGTTTTTTTCTCATGAAAAATAGATGTGACTGATGAATATTTTTCTTGATATTTATTTACTTGGATATACCTACTGAGACAGGGACAGAGAGAGAGAGAGAAAGTTGACTTGACCTTATTTGCAGACAAAGACATAAATCATTTCTGAACTTTTTCAAACTAATCAACAGGAGAGCTAGTAGAGAGGAGCATCGAAGATATATATACATCTCTCAACTGCTTTAGTAGTTGTATTGAATTACGTCGCACATCCCATTTTTCTCCTTCTTCCGTTTGTTATTCTCGTTCTCATCGAAGTAATTTGTATGCTCCTATTTATTATTGCATAGTAGTGATGGCTAGACAGGAATTAAAGCATCACAAATAATAAAAAAGAGAAGAAGAAGGAGAGTGGACAATACGATCGTCTCCGCCGCATGTGTACAGATCGGATGAACGAAAAGAAGAAAGTAGTGAGACAACAACAACAATATCGTCGTCGTTGCACATAAACGATTACACAACATCTCCTCTTCATTTTTTTCTCTTTTGTAATTCTAGACCGATAAGGTCGCATATTTCTTTTTTGTGGACTGTTTGACAAGTCCACTCATCATCCATGATTCCCGCTACTGCCGTACCACCACATCCATTGAATACGCTGGATCGAATTGCATTTTATAAGAGTGTGCGCGAAAAACGCAAACAACTTCAACTGAATCTTCATACTAATGGTAAGTGTCTTCGATTCCATCGAGCTACAATGAAATTTTGTTGTTATTGTATTTCTAGGAAAGGACAATGTGAGTTCATCAACTGAGAATGCATTTCTCACTCAAATGCTTCAATCATCTTCAACTTCGACGACATCATCATCACTAAGTGTCCCATCCGTTTTACGTAAAGGTGATTTTGCATCGTCATCGTCATCATCACATCGCACACCGACAAGTACTCTTACGAATATTCTTCCCGCTCTACTTAATGGAACATTACAATCACCGCGTGCCATATCACCACCAGGTACAAGAACAAATATACCAAATTTAACATCACCGACCAGTACAAACACAACTGATACACTTGTAGACACGAAGTGTTCAACGTCATTGCCCGTTTCACCTGCTGCAAATACAAATCACAATCATACATCAAACCTTTCTAATAATCATGTTGTTGTTCCAACGAGTTGTTCACCACCACGTTGTCGTTCGTATCCAATGCCTTCTCTCAACCAACGAAACTCACCTCCAGTCTTACTTCCATCAATAACATCAAACACGCAATCGATTGCTACATCTACATCTTATCTACTAGCAGCAGCAGCATCTTGTCCTTCGTTGCCCACATCAACTTTTACTTCATCGAATTCTCCACCACTCGATGATGTTACACCAAAAATTGTTCGATCAGCATCTGTTAAATCATGTGCATCGGACTCGGGTGTTTCATCATCTAGCCCATTGTCAGATAACAATATTGTTCATGTAAAGCTATAAACACATTGTTCTTTAAAAACCACATAAGTATGCTTTTGTTTTTCGAATATGTTTAGGTATTTCGAACAAATCATAGTGAAACCAACTATCAATCTCAAGTGTCAACTAGCAGCCGCAAACGAAAATCTCTTGCACATTTCTATGAAGAATTGAATAAAGATAAGAAATTTTCCAGTGAAGCAACAGTGTCCTCGGGCTTTGCAATGCCATCGTCGGCATCATCATCGTCAGCAACCAATGTAACACCAATCAATAATAACATTCCATATAGTCAACAAGAAGCCATCGCTATCGGTTATGCACAATATGCCTTGATGCATACACTAACTCAGCAATTTCGTGTGAATTATCCAGCTGCATTTCTACATGCTGCCGCTGCATCTGGCTACTTGCCAATACCATCACCGATGATGGCCGCTGCTGCTGCTGCTGCCGCCGCCTCAGTCAATTCGACAGCAAATGGAAATCAGTCAATGAGTTCGGATAAATATCGTGAACGGCGAAAACAACCAACACTTGAAAGTGACAATAATAATAATCATATACAATCATCTGTACCTCTCAATGATCAACCATACCGACGAGAAACGTATCAGACATTGTTAGAGAGTAGTCGTCTACTAGGACAACAGAAACCATTGAAACCAGTACCCATCGACTTGCGAAAACATAACAATGACAATCAAACGACAAATAAGAGTAAGTTACATTGATCGATTGATATACCACATGACTTTCCTTTCGTCTTGTTCAGGTCCTTCTGGTCCATCCAATGTTCGTTGTCCATCATCATCGTCATCTTCAACTTCACCAACGAATTCACCTCCGTGTACAAATTTTCTCAAATCAAATATTAATGAACCCGTTAATGAATATGTCTGTATACCAAAAAAGTTAATGCCTGTTATCGGTGCACGTATCAACGATTGGCTCGAACGTAATGTAAATTTCGCTTTGTCGCTTACAGTTATTCAAGAAAATATTGATAATGACCGAAACAAGCTTGCTCTACTCTCTCGCATATGGCACCGATTATTGATTATAAGTATGATAGAAAATAGTTTCGAGATCTACGTAACCAAAGATTTACAAATTACAAGTGATCCACCATCAATCGTATCATCGACATCACCAGCGACGATTATGCATCCGACAGAAAATGACGTGAAGCAAATTGAATCCTTGATTACACGTGGTAAAACATTAGAGATCGATGAGAGTGGCTTTAATCTCATTCGTGAAGTGATAATATGCAAGGAGGGTAAAACTCTATTCGAAAATACATGTGCCGATTCGTTTGAAAAAGCTGAATGTCAAGCTCAAGCTCGATTAACAGCATGGTGTTCTTCGCGTGTCAAATATTCCAAAATAGTCTTCTTTTTATGCAATATCTATCAAGTTAAGGAAGATATCTTCGAACGTCTATTTTGTGCGGGCTCGATGCATCAAAGTGTGCCTATTCATACGCATCTACAACGATTTGTAGCTTCAGCATCTATTCCGACATCAATGGACGACGCTTAGCATAATTTTTGTTTCTCTTCTTCGTCTTCTTCTTCTCTCCTTTCTAATTTAAACAATGTATATGTCTTCTCTTTTATTCTTATGTCCGGAAATCAACCGTCAAACGGTACTTCTTCGTTTTCGTTTCCTGACTTTAATTAACCTCTTTTCGATGCTTTAAGTATCGTTAAAAAGCCACCACCTAGCAGTCGTCATTGTATTTCTTCTATCAAAACAAACAAGTAACCATCAGTTAACTTAACAAAAAATCAAGAACTTTGTATCTATATCTGTGTGTTGTGTAGAACAGTTTGTGAAGTTTGTTTCTTGTTTTTATTGTTTTATCATGTATAAATCTATTTCGAACAAAGTACGAAAATAAAGAAAATCTTTTGACGACAAGAAAACAAACATATTGCCGTGGTGATTGGTCCTCACAAACTTTGACAGGTTATACATTCGGATATTTTTGTTTTGATTACGTCAATGAAATCAATGTACGTCGATAAAGAGAAGAGAGAGAGAGAGAGAGAGAGAAGGAAAAAAAATGAAAATATCAATGCATTACGTCCTTGTCAGTTGTTATTATCATGATTGTGAAAATTAACTTGTTTTTTTGTCCTTGAGAGGAGAAAATTTTGCTGACGACTGGTTTATTTTCCCATAAAAATTAGGAGCCAATAAATTTATAAGTACATCAAATAATCGAGTATATTCGATTTCAATTCTAATTTAAAAAAATGAGATTCGTATTTTTATTTATATAAAAAATAAATAAATATTTTGTACTAAAGGTCGTTGATTACAAAATTGATTATTAAGGCTAAGATTAGAATTAATTTTTCAATGCTTCGAGAACTTGTTCATGTATGATACCATTACTAACAATAACTCCACGATTATGTAGCATTTTTTCGTTGTCGCGAAAGTTCAATGCTTTGCCATCCATGTCAGAAACTTTACCGCCGGCTTCTTCAACAATGATTGTACCGGCAGCATGATCCCAGATATTTTCTCGGTAGTCTCCTCTACCTGGATTAGGCAAACGAAGATACAGAACAGCGTCTCCATTTGCTACGGCACCGTATTTCACTTGCGAGTCCATTCGTAATGGTTCAGCAGAAATACCAATACGTTGAGCAATCATTTTCTGTTTACTTTGATCGCCATGAGCACCTTCAACACTTTCTGTAAAACGGAATTTATCACTATCGGCATTTGATGTTATATAAATGCGAGTAGGAATTGTCGTTTCGAACGAACGAATCGGTTGCGTATAAGAACCTTGACCACGAACAGCATAGAATAGAAGGCCGCCTTCTTCACCATATGCCGGACAGGCTAAAACACCAACTTTAACATCTCCACCAACAATCAAAGCAAGAGCAACGGCATATTGATCTTGACGTATAAAACCTTTTGTACCATCTAAATCAACAGATTTTGTCTGTAAACAACAACTATTCTTCTAGTGAAATTCCTACCGATTGGATCTAATGTCCAAAAGCGATCACTGACATGTCCGTTGCCGTAACCAATCCATTCGATGATTTTCTTTTCATCTACGTCGGGATTTTCTTCCTTGACATATTGCACCACTTGTTTGAGACTTTCCGCACGTTCAGGTTTCATTAATTCCTTAGGGCTCTCTTCAGCAACAATTGGATCGTCTGGAAATGCACCATGAATATATTGACATATCAACGCTTGTGAACCAAAATCCGCCAACTAGATCAATAAATGAAAGACTCAACTCATAATGACACTTTCACGAAAACAATCTTACAGTAACTGGTGATTGATCCTGCTTTTCGATTGCTTTCGGAATTGTCGACCGGACACGTTCGCATAATTTCGCTGCTTGAAGACATGCTTCAATAGCTACTGTCTGTTCTTTTTCAAACGACATAACTTCTGAAATAAGAGAAGACGAAAATTTAAAATGTGACACCGAACAGAAAGACGTGGTTTCTCATCAAGTATTTTTATTTGTTCTATTGATATGATATCCTCTACAACAGAAAACCATCGATATACACGAAAAAAAGAGAAGACGAAACGGATGAGAAATTTTTGATCAATAAAAAAAAAATAACGCGTAGACATCAAAATCAATTTTAGCTAAGTTCGAATTAAAAAACAACGAGAACGAAGTTAAAGACTTAAGTTAATCACAAAAGAATGAAGAGAAAAACCAAAACGGAAAAATGCTTGAGCAGCACCCACTGATGACACTCGCTCAAAAATAAATATGGACATAAATTATTGCAAATAAAATATGAAAAGAAAACAACGAAGAGAAGTTCGAAAAATCAATGCACAAAATACTACTGTCTTTCCCACCGGACAGATATGAACGCGGAATGTATGCATGTATAGATAGATAGATATTTCTTTTGCGATAAGCACCACGAAAACTTCAGATAAGATTTATGATTCACTCAATGATAATTGTGATTCGTCATCACTTGTATTATCATCATTTTCATTTTTGACTTTTTTTCGTAACAGATATAGACTATCGGAATGATGCATTTTGCGTTTGTCGTCAGGAACAAAGTCATCGATGAGATCAGAATTTGAAGAAGATTCACGGAATGTCGAATTTTGATTATTTTCATCGATTTCATCATTTACTACTGACCTAAGAAAACAAAACAAAATCATTTGATAGATAATGAATCTCTCATCGTTCCGTGACTTACTCGATGAGATCCATCAATGTTTGTTCAACTTCGTAATAATCAGCATCGTTTGGAATAATCGTTGTTTGTTCAACACTAGGATTCTTCACAGGAGTGCTGATTGATATTACAGTTTCTTGACTGTTATCATTCGAATCTATCGCGATTTGTTCGGCTGTGTTTGTACTATTATCAGTTGGAATGTCCGCATTGATTGAAGAATGATTTTCATCTAATTGAATATCTTCTGGTTTGATAACGTTCGAATTATTTTTCACTTCGCCATTCGGCGTACTTTCTCCTCCTTCTTCCTGAAGGCGTAATTTTTCTTCGTAAATCAGGATATTTCGTTGACATACTGCTGAAATATCATTCATCCATCGTGCTTTTTGTTCCAACAATTCTCTCGTGCCACCACCACTCAAACTCGACTGGGACGGTGTATTACTTGCGAAACTACCAAAACCTGTTGTCATCCGTCGAAGATTGGCTAACGAAAGAAGACTATTCGATGTCGTCGTCGTTCGATCGATATTGTTGTTATTAAGAGACATCGCGCTCAGATTCGTTGGCGTCGAAACAATTGGATCGAAATCGAGTTTTAGTAGCGATTTATTGTTTTTAATAGCAATTGCCATTCCACATATGCCGCTCGCTTGAATATTATTCTCTCGCAAATCAACATATTCAATCGTGCTCGACTCGGCGATAAATTCGGCTAGTGCAATTGCTGCTTGATCTGTCAGATGGCAGTTTCGTAAGATTAGTTCACTGATCGTTCGATTGGTTAATAATGCATCACGTAGTAAAAACAAACCTTCGTTACCGATATTATTTTGACTTAAATTTAACGAACGTATTGTTCGATTATGTAGTAACGATTTTGCTAGAAAGCCTACGCCTTGTTGAGTCAATTGATTCGCTTGGACGCTAATTTTTTGTAGACTACTTTCGTGTTTATGATTTTCATCGTAATGACTCAACTGGGAAGCTAAATGAGACATGCCACTATCGTGCAACGAATTCGAACGCATATCGAGTAGAGTTAAAAAGGAACCACATGTGCGAAGCAATTCATTTATCAGTAAAGAATCTTGAACTTGAAGGCCTAAATACGTGAAAAAGCGCATAAACAAAAGAATGTGCACCCATTGTTCTACATACGATTATCACAAAGATAAAGTTCTCGTAGGCTACCACAAGAGCGTATGTTTTGAATGAATTTTTGTAGAAGTTTGCCATTTAATTGACATGATTCGACATGCAATTCATAGAGTGTTGATGATAACCTTAAAGAACGAGTAAAACTGATGATAGTACTATCATCGAAACGTGTGGAATTCATATCTAATCTTTCTAAAGAATTTGTTTTTCTTAAATATTTCGTTAAAGCTTGATAGCCTTGCACTCCAATGGCTCGCTGATTTGATAGGATAATATGTGTACATGATTCGTAATATTCAATCACTTCAAATAACTGTGTTAGAGCCGCATCGTCTATAACTGATGACTCGAAACTTAACGTATGAAACCGACAGCGAGAGAGTATTTCTTCAATTGCATCCACATTCTTAAGATCAATCTTTTCGTTAGCAATTTTCAAGCAATCCAGCCGATCAACGAACGATTTTCTTCCATCATCCATCATACTTAATTGATCTAATATGGTATTCATTGGTCGTATTTGCAGCCGTTGACATGTAGCACGATAACGTTGCAAAATCACACCGAGGGATAACAATGGTTGTTTCAAGTATGGATCGTTTGCATACGATATCATGCGTAATTGAGAATCTTCTGTGGGAAAATGAACGCGACGAGAATGACTAGCAGTTGTAATCGGTTTCTCATCATCGTTTTTATCGGTTGTTGTTGATTCGACATTGTTTTCATGATCGACGGATGAATTTGTCGTGATCGGAGGTGGAGTTGTTATTTCATAATGAGTAGAGGATGAGTCTGGTTTTTTAAAATGTAAAACTGTAGGCGTTGGAAGTGCCTTGTCATTTTCAATCGACATAATTAAATAATTTCTATAATTTTCATCTGAAATAGAGCTTAGTTTATTAAACTGCTCAAGAAAAAATTTGCATTATCGAAACAAAAATTATTCTGTCCAACGATAGAGACAATCCTGATTACGGCAAACATAATACAATGTCATACGATCCTGAAAAATAGAAATCAACTTTCAATGGAATGTATCGAAAGGAAAGCAAACCTCGCTGCGTGCCGATTGTGCTTGAAAGAAGACCGCGTCATGACCACGGCATTTCGGGCCTAGACGAACAATGATCATGAATCAAGATTCCAAACTAGATAGTCTTACATGGATGATCACTCGTACGAGGTAGTGTGGGATCAGATATAACATCAGTGACAATTTGTGTCAATTCACTAAAAGTGGAAAAAAACTCGAGATTTGGTAGATGATTTTAGTGGCATGCATACTCGACTTCGTGAGTAATTTTATTAACGTATATACATGGGTTATCAGCCGCTTGATGGAAGTCACATCGTCGACACTGAAGAAAACGAAAAATGGTTAAGCCATATTTGATACTAAGAAGAAAAAAATCTGTATTTACGGCGTAGAGTAATATTCGATTTTCCTTATCCTCTTTAGGATAAAGCATATTATTACTAAAAGTGAGCAAAGCAAAATTGATAAGAATGTGAGAAGGAAACCGATGGATCTTTCACAAACCATTCTTGACAGAATTTAATTCCAACAAAACCGGTATTTGCTCCACTATTCGTTGTTGCATCCATGCTCATGTTTTTTCTAAAAGAATTGATGATGTTATTTCTATCTGACTGACTAATTTTCCTGCAAGAGATGACACGTTTAGTTTTCCTTCATAAAGAACGTGACAAAAGTAAAATGTGCATACATGAGGAGAAATATTATCAAATAGAAATGATAGTCCAAACTCAAAACGAGAAAAGTGTGAATGAATCAATGAATGTAGTTTAAACATATTGCATCAGCTAATCAAAACTTTCGAATTCGTGTATGCAACGTTGATACTGTAAGATGTCACCAGTGATCTGTCATAGTTGATAAATGAGTTTTTCCACTTTGTAAAACTAGAAAATCGAATTACATTCGAAGTCAAAATGTTCAATCTGTTTGCATTTATGAACAACAAAAAATGACAAACATGATCAATTGATTCATGTGACAATCAAACAATGACCTGTCAGCATAGTTTTGTATCTTATTTAGATAGTCTGCACATAGCGCTCAGCATTATTTCAGAGTCAATGAGTTCATTTGGTAATATGAATGAGATTTCATATGTACGGAAATCATTCATTCTCATTGGGATAATCGTGGTGATGATTTAATGACTATTTGAATGAATTTCTTTGGGGAGTTAAATACTTTTAATACTAACAAAAATCAGCGGACAGATCGATTTCGATTGTTTAAAAGACAGCAAGTTCTATTATCTAAAGTTTGTGTCACGTGTAGCGTAAGAGGGATGATTTCAAGTGAAATGACAAACGTTCATTTTTAATTTCCAGATGAATAAAAGACTTCAATTTGAAAATTGTCTAATATTGAAACATTAATGAAAATCTTCTGCTTTTTTTTTCTATTACATTGTGCTTTCTTCCGTGAACACCATGCTCATGATTAACAACAGATGTCTTGTGCATACATTCTTCTGCTTTTGTTCGTTGTGCTCGAATCTCGCAGTGAAGTACGGCTCGGTTAAAATAACAAGGCTTTGTTTATGTGCAGAAAATTTCTTCTCGACATTGAAAATAAAATATTACTAAAAAAATGCGATTTTTCACACTGAAAAATATGTGGATAAATTGAATAAAGCTCATCTAACGTAGAGGACTGATAATCGCTTTTTTTAAAGATGGCTGCGCCAATGGTAATCATTCGTTCTCTCTATTTCTATTTCTGTTCTAAAACGCAAAAAAAGGAACATACATATACAGATATATGTATCTTTATCCCACGATAATCTTTTGTGTTTTGAATCTTTCGTAGATTATGACCGTGGATACTGCGGCCGTATCAGAAAACAAGAAGAATAATCTATCCATCGTATGTGATGCAAACAAAACAATCTTGTCTTTATTGTTCGTTTTTGTTTGGTGAATGTTTAGACGAAACGAGATCGACGAGATGTCATTCGGCAGGTGAGAGAAATCACCGGGCTCGATGAAAATTCGATCAATCAAACAATTGAAGCATGCAAAGATGGAACTGGACGATACTCACTTGAACAAGTGATTAGCTTATTGTTCGACGATTCAAGTGTTCGTAGTTCTCGAAGTTTTTCTCAAGCAAAGTCAACTTTCTTTTTTCAACTTTCAGCTAAGAAATAATCTTCAACGAACGGCACAAGCTACCAATAGCACATCTCCGCCAGCATCTAATCTACCTGTAAATAATCCATCGGCCGCAGGCCCGACTTATGATCGAAGCAATGACATAATCACGGATGATGTCATTGAACTTTCACCAGAGATCGATAATCAACAACCAGCTGATGATGAATTGGAACGGTACGAAGAATTTTAACTTGTATCAATGAAAAACAACTCGCTGATTTTTAGTGCATTGCTTCTATCACGTGAAACAATGGAACAAATGATCGATGAATCAGATATAGCGAAAAGAAAATCTCTCGATGAGCCAGCAGGTTTAAAAAATGTTGGCAATACATGTTGGTTCAATTCTATTGTCCAATCTCTTTACACACTACCGTATTTTCGACAATTGATTTTGAATTTTCAATGTCCGACGATCAATCACTCGTTAACCGATAGTGTAAATGAAAAGATATTTCGTCTCTACCTATTTTCTTCTATGTCTATCGAATAGGAACAACAAGCTCTGTATTTCACAGAAGAATTACGATATTTATTTGCATTGATGTTGAAGTCACCACGACGATCAATTAATCCTGATCGTGCGATCAAGAAATTCAAGAATACAAGAAAATTATGTGGTGTAGACTTCTCACATGAAGTAAACAAGACGTTTTCGGAGATGTTGAAAGAAATCATCGACTTCGCTTCTAGGACTGTTCGGAATTTGCAACACATCTTATCGATCTTGTCGAACTTGCATATGAAACAATTGGAAAAAAGTAGAGTTTTGTTTTCTGTTAGAAATGACAAAACCAAACTGTTCTATTCTAGTTTATTAAACATTGATAATACGGCATCGATTAATTGTATTAATCCTATCAATACACTGGTTACAGGTGAAGTGAATGTCGAAAGAAATGAACATACACCAAGTAAAATGACTGATTTCGGTGTTGATCACAAGTATGCATGCTTGTCTTTCTTTTGACAGTTCGAGAAGCTTTAAGACAAATAAATATTCAAATGATCGGCTCAACTAACATATACGACGGTCTTGAAACACTTTGGCTTGGTTCAGCTGATGAAAGTCTTTCTAGTCAACAAGTATTTTTTCGCCAATCTTTCCAAATTTGATATATATATATATATACTTTTCCCCCTTAGATCATAACTGAGCAACGATGGCTAACACGATTGCCACCTGTACTATTCATTTGTTTGAATCGTTACCGGTTTTCCCAAGCGACTAAGCAAACGTCGAAAATCATCGCACCATTTGAATTCTATCCTGAGCTTTATCTCGATCGATACATGTTAGTGAATAAGAACATCATTTTGAATAAGCGTAATATTGCAAAGAATCTATATGCTCAATTGCATGAACTGGAATCGACGTTGAACAGGTTAAGATCACGATAACAATTGAGAATGAATATCTATATTTAATTGCAGTTATTTGAAATATCCATGTAATGATGAATCGTTTGCACTTGCCAATGCAATTCGTGTTGTGTATGAATTTGCTACTGGTTGTCGACTCAATCCGACATTACCGAAAAGGTTAAGAGATGCTCTATTTTGAAGTGAACTTGAAAATGATAAGTTATCGTTTATAGAACTGATCAAGTTACACTTGATCAAAATACGACTAGTCGTTCTCGACAACATTCGTCAGTTCCAATTCAACCATCACACATATCATCCGAAGAACTTCAATTCATTCAAAACACTTTGCCAACGTGGTTAACTGAAGTTGAAGCCAAATGTGCCGGTAAGAACGATTGAGTCTTTTCTGCAAGAATTTACACGTTTTATCGATCAATTAGGTATTCGAGAAGAGATTCGCCGTGTTAAAAGCGAACTAAAACAATTATATGACGAAGCCCAGCTAAAACAAGTAATAGTCGTTAAAAATAGAAGATTAACGTCGCCTGATTTTTGTATTAGATGCGCTATACATTACACGCTGTTTGTGTACATGAAGGAAGTGCAACACTTGGACACTTTTGGACATATGTCTATCATACTGATCGACAAAAATGGTATCGCTACAATGATAATGAAGGTAATTCCGAACGAATATATATGTATTTTTGAAAATACTCTCGTCTCGTCATTCCAGTTTGTGAAACTACTTGGAACGATGTGTTTGATGCTGGAATTGGCGGTCAACGAACACAAAACGATCGTGACGAACCTCGTGTACCTAGTGCATATCTATTAGTGTATATTAATGCTGATCAAAAATTATTATCGAATGGTTCGTTGAGATATTTGACTCACTATTCCGTATTCTGGTGATACGTTTAGATATTCAATTTGAGCTTCCGCCTGATCTTCAAAGAGTTCTTGACGATGATTTAGTTCTGTTACAACAACAAATAGAAAGTGTTCATCTCGAGCAACTTCACAATGAATTGAAGACCGTGTGTGAACGAATTGAAAAACAACAACCGATTCATCGTGCTCTGGCCATTCCGTTTTTTGCTGGACCAAATGCACCTTCCGATTCGGAGATTATCAAACCTGTACTTGATTCAACATTGCGTATTCTAAAAGCCTATGCACCTCGAATCCTATCTGTCGAAATCGATCGATTGCTTCAGGAAGTAAGAGAATCATTTGTAGTAGCCGAATCGCATATAGTCTTTCGTTGTAGATTGTTGATAAAGAAATCAAAATATATTCACATACAGCAAATATCATTACGTCAGCATTACCTCATAACGATTATCGTTTGCAACATGTCTTGTCTTATTTCTCAGCCAATCGTGTCGGAACTATCTATCGACAACGTGCAATGTATGATATAATTCGACTTACATCTATTCCGAATGATGATACAAGGTAGGATGAACAAGTTTCATTATTATTTAGTTTTTCGTCTTGTTTAGGTTAAGAATATTCAAACTTCAAGCACAAATTGTTTGTAATGATATGCAAATGTCCAACGATGAGGTTCAGGAATATCAAGTATATATTCTGATGATTCGGTGTTCTGTTTTTATTGTCCATTTGATTCTAGAAACTTTTGACGGATTACAAAGACTTTCGATCAGTCATTGCTGCATTTCTAGCTGGATGTCAATTGATGAACGAAGATAAGTAAGTAATATCTGACAGACGACAACGATTTTGATCAGTCGATTTTCTTTCGGTGAAGATAAATGGACGTTTTTTTTTGTTTGAATTTAGATTCGAAGAAGCGATAACTTATTTCTGTGTGGCTTGTGAATATAATTTACGTCTTTCCAAACAGTGTACATTGCCCATGCGAGCAATGGATAGTTGTCTACTATTTCGAGCGCGTCGTTTGTGTTTTGAAGTAAGAAATATTTCGTTTTCTCTATTCATTTGCAATATCTCGATTTGTAGAGATGGAATGATGTTGTAATTAATCGTTTTAAAACTGATCCAGAATATCGTCTCGACACAATGACACACCAATTTCTTCCATGTCTAATGCAATTGAAGCTTAGTTCCGAGGAAGATCAAGCTTATATCACAGAAATTCAACGTATATGGTGTTTATTACTTGATAAAATTGAACGTATGTTACCAATTGAATGCAAATCAATAGAATTGTTCGGTTTTTTTTAGCGACAGAAAGAACATTATCCTTGGAGGAATTTCTCCAACGATTATTGGAACAACCGATCGGTCAACATTACCATTCAGTGTCAATTAATAAACATCAACTAGTTGAACGATATGATGAAGCTGTTAGAGATCTTATTCATCGTTATCCCTCATTCTCTGGCAACACTGTCGAACAACAACAATCACAATCTCCTAATCGATCAAACAGAGCGTCAGTTTCAATTCCAGTTGTTATACATCATCATCATCAACAACCACAACAGCAACATCATCATCCTACACCTGAAATGATGCCTATTATTGATCCACGTGGTTCATCACCCATGCAACAAGGCGATGACGAACAAGATCCACCTTTGCCGCCCTCATCATCATAGAACCACCTGGTTTTCTCTTCTGTCATCATTTGTTATTAATCGATACGGTGCTATTTGGTCATGACATTAGAATCTAGTTAAGAATATGATTTGTGTAAGCAAGCCCGGTCTCTGATCTTTTGTGTACGTTTATGTGTCATTGATGTTGTACAAAATTCTATGTATTTACGTCGTTTTCTTTCTGTATCCTTACGATTCTCTTTTTTCTGCTCGTATCAATCTTATACATTAAACGTAATTTGTCTTTTTTTTCTGTCAATTCATGTACGCACCCCTCTTTCTAAGAGAACATTGAACTTATGTATTTTTTCTTTCTTACCAGTTGATTGTTGTCTTGTAGTATGTGTGCTGTTTTTTTTCTTCTCTCTCTCTCTCTTATCCATGGTGATCTGCAAAATATTCGACTTTTACTATAGAATGAAATAATGAAGACAACAACAACATAAGAAAAAAAAGCTTGTTAAATCACATGATAACAGCAGCGTATACTATCGTGAGTCAGGCGAGGTTAAAAGACACTATTCGCAAGAAAAATAACTATCGTCAAGCAATGATTTGAATGTGATGCATGAGGGAGATAGCTATTTGTTATGCTTTAGAATATGTTTTTTTCTCTCGACGAGGCACGCGTGTATAACTAGATATAAGAGCGTATACTTTGAAAAGAAAAAAAAAAGAAGCGCTATATCATATAATACACTATCCGGACGAATCACAAGACAAGACAAGGACATAGTACGTTAACATAGAGGTGTGCCCGTTTTATCGCTTATTTTTTTCATATCGTTTTCGAAGATAATGGAAAGTTTCTTGGCTAATCGACCCGATGCACCAAGTCGGTGCACATTTACAGTCAACGGTGATAAAAGTAAATGTCCACATAATCTAGGTTCCAGGTTAGTTTTTCGTCGATTTACTTAAGTAATTATGCTCATAAAGAAGAACCTTTTTCTGTACAGACAAAAATCTCTTCGGCAAAAGATTTACAATAATGTTTTGGAATTGATTGGCGATACGCCACTTGTGCGTGTCAACCGTTTGGCTCGTGATTCAGGCGTTAAGTGCAACCTCTGTAAGCTAGTGATCTTGTTTTTTTTGTTCGTATTTCTCTGGACGTGCAAGTTTTCTAGTGGCGAAATGCGAATATTTCAATGCTGGTGGTAGTGTCAAGGATCGTATTGGATTGCGTATGGTTGAAGAAGCTGAACGTGATGGTACCTTGAAACCAGGTGATACTGTCATCGAACCAACATCAGGAAATACAGGTATTGGCTTGGCTCTGGCATGTGCAGTCAAAGGTTACCGATGCATCATTGTCATGCCCGAAAAGATGAGCAAAGAAAAAGTACGGCAGTCATGTTATTTTCCGCTTTCAAGCGATAAATTTGTTTTTGTTACAGGTTGATGTACTTCGGGCATTAGGCGCCGAGATTATTCGAACACCAACGAGTGCGTCATTCGATTCACCCGAATCGCACATAGGTGTAGCTCATCGATTGAAAATGAAAATACCCAATTCGCACATTTTGGATCAATATCGAAATCCTTACAATCCAATTGCTCACTACGATACAACAGCAGAAGAGATTCTCGAAGCATGCAACGGTAAGTTCCATATTTGCAAGATCATTAAAGAATAAATTCTTTTCATGTCTAGGAAAAGTTGATATGGTTGTTGCAGGAGCTGGAACAGGTGAATTGACAGCGTATGATGGATGATGATGAATGATATGTATTTGTTTTTAGGAGGAACATTAACTGGTCTCTCGAGAAAATTGAAAGAAAAATGTCCGAATTGCATCATTGTCGGTGTTGATCCTGAAGGTTCAATTTTAGCTGCACCTGAAACATTAAACAACACCGGAATTACCTTCTATGAAGTAATTTTTATTCATATTATTCTTTACTTTATTAACATTGTTCCGTTTTCTCTGCAATAGGTTGAAGGTATTGGGTGAGTGGTGGCCAAAATACTGCGCAAAAGACTTTGTCATGAGAATATTTTGCTTGTAGATATGATTTCATCCCAACGGTTCTTGATCGTTCATTGGTTGATCGTTGGTACAAAAGTTCGGATCTGCCATCTCTTCGATGTTCTCGAAGATTACTTAAAGATGAAGGCATGCTTTGTGGCGCTTCATCAGGTTCGGCAATGTCATGTGCTATTCAGGCATGTAAAGATTTCAATTTAACGGAAAATCAAACATGTGTGGTTATTCTACCAGATTCAGTGCGAAATTACATGTAGGAATTTGTTTGGCGATAGCTTTTCGTTCGACAATACAGGTGACTTCTTTCTCTAATCTAGGACGAAATTTCTAAGCGATGATTGGATGTACGAACGTGCTTTTCTCGACGTCAAAGACGAACCAAACAGCGAATGGTGGCATGGTAAACCCATATCAAGCTTGAAACTTCGTGAACCGGTTACAGTTTCATCGAACACAGCCATTCAAGCAGTTTTGGATATTATGCATGAGCGAGGTTTCGATCAAATACCAGTGATTTCTGATGATGGGTAAGATAGAAGTGATCACCATTTAAAAGAACTAAATTTTACTTTAGAGCTTTCACCGGTATGACAACTATGTGCGAAATCATGGCAAAAATGTCACGCGGTTCAATAAAAGCACAAGATCCAGTATCGAAAGCTGTCACAGATAAATTTCGAACGGTAGATTTCTCTCGGTTTTTCAACCTTCTCACATGTTCTTTCATGTTTGAATCTAGGTTCAACTCGATGATACTTTGGCCAAACTAAGCCGTATTTTAGAAGCACACAACTATGTGATCATCAAGTTTGCTCATGATCATTGTAAGAAAAGTTTGACTTCTTCCGTTTCTTAAGCCGAGTTGACTAAATTTGGTTCTTTAGCAGATCAGGATACGGCAGTGCGACAAAGTAAAACACACATCTTTGGTATTATAACAAGTATTGATTTACTTGATTACATCGTCAAACATAATCAATCAGGTGAACCCGTCAATGGCGAATCTGTAAAACAAAATGGAATTCATTGTGGTGATGCCATAAAATCATCGGCTATTGCAAAGGAATGCGAAGCTTCGCATTAGTTCATCGAATCACTATTGGTCAACATATGATACAAGATATAAATCATTCTTTTTCCGAGCTCAAATCAATTTGCATGTTTTGCTTCTCTTGTTTTTGTTTTCGGAATAAATAATCAAAACTAACCTTCATTTCAGACTTGAACATAGTATACAGCGAACTCTAATTGAACGATTAGTTATTCAATAAAAAACAAAACAATTTTCTCTTCTGCACTCTCCATTATGATAAAATACTGAGAGAAAAAAAATAACTGTCCAAAATTATTCTTTCAATTCGCTGATGATGAACTTCTTTCTTTCGTCCAATCTCGACATATAAGCTTGTGTCCTTGTTTCCATGCTTGTTTTTGACAGGCTGCTGAACAGTACCATGCGTTTCGACATCGACTGCAAGCTGGAAATGGTTTGCGATATGGTATGTTCTCATTCGTAATAGTCGAATTCGGATTGTCAATAACTGGTGAGAGAGTTTTACATTCTGTACATGAATACGCATCATCACCTTCAAACGCGCATCGTTGACATTCGCACCAGAAGTTATAAGCGCGCTTGAGCATGGCTCGACGTGCACGACGTCCAAGTGCTAAATCAACATAGTTAATTGTTAATTCGTCGCCTGGTTTAAGTTGATGTTTGCAACGAACCTAAATTAATGAAAAACAATTTCTTTCGTGTACAATGCTCTCATGTCGAATGCAACTTTACTTTAATTCCAGCAACTTCTGGTGTGACTTGACAATCCATAATCTCGCAAGAATTGTCACATGAGTGGTTCAATGACGATTGAAGTGGAAAGAGACCACCGAAAACCTGATCGACAGGTTCACCTTTGAGAAAAGGTTGCAAGACTTGATATAAGGCAGCCTTTCCGCGCTGTCGAATATTGGCTAAAAACTTAGTATAGATTGTTGTGGCGTACACAGGAGATGAGAAACTTTGAGCATTGCATGCTATCTGGTAAAATCGATGAACAAATTCTTGCTCATTAAATTCGTAGTGTATGGGCATAGATGAATGACTGAAGATATTTTGCATGATTTTGAGCATACGTGGAATCGTATGAACATAAGTTGCATCACCTGATGAGATAAACTCTGAAAAAGTTTCTTTGGCATGCTCCAATGGACCGTCATCAGTTTGATCGGTGAGATGCGACTGACTCAAATCAATTCCGTTGGTTGTAGTTTCATCTAGAAAAAAAAAGATAAACATGAGCTATGATGAATAGAATCAATCTTACTCTGAACAGATTCAACAATATTGAGAATGATCATTGCAACTAGTTTCGCTAGAATCATCGGTGAAAATATTGAATTCCACGTGTCGCGTACAATAATCTGTCGATTAGCACAAAACTGATAGAGTTCCGTTGTTTCAGGATTGACTGATGGACACAAAAGTCGATGGTAACTCTTCCAAGCTCTATCACGACATCGTTCCGAACAATACTGTTCAAATGGACAGTGTGGACACGGAACGATTGTAATTGGTGGCCATTGCTCTTCAATATATCGTTGTAGTTTGTCTGGCATACGTGACCACGTTGCTTCGAAATACACGGGTGGAGTCAGTAACGATATTGTGCATGTAGGACAAGCTGGAGATATCGACAGCGTATCAACAGTTTGCGCATGGACGATAGGAATGTCAGTGAACACGTCTTCGCCTGGTGAGATCACACGTTTAGCATAGATTCCTACGAACGTGAAATTGAGTATTGACACAAAAATTCAACAATCAGAAACAAACCTTTGCCGCGATGATCAACGCGTATGTCAATGGTTGGATATTGTGTAAGATAATTGTTGAAGAATCGAGCAATTCGCGCTTGCTCAAGTTTAACATTTAAATCACTATTATTCGAACGACAAACATGAATGGCTTCAGAAAACCAACGTTGTGCTACAGCAAAAACACGTAACTTTTTACAACATTCACCGCCTAACTTCCAGATTTCTAATGGACGTTGCTCTTGTGGTATTTTCCAACATTCATAAAATGCTTCTTCAAGACTGCCGGCAGCATATTTTTGTTTCGCACGTTCACTTTTAAAATCCAATGTAGCAGCTGATAACGTATTCCCATCGTTTTTTGGTGATGAACGATCATTTGATGAATCTTCTTCTAAGTGAAGAACTGTTCGACGAATACGCAATATCAAGTCAGATTCTTCTTTCGACGTGCATCCTTTCAGTTGATCAGATGATGACGAAATATCTTCGATTGTTCGATCCCCATTCTCGTTAACTGCACTCATTATCGACCTGCTTGCGTTAGATAGCTCTAGACAGAATATCACCTAGACGTGTAGTACTATTGTTTATCTGCCGTTTTTTTTTCCTCTTTTTCTCTATTGATGATAGCATTATAACTGGTTGCCCATCTCATCCATACAGAACAGATAATCAGTGAGTTGGTTGCTTCTTTCTTCCTGCTTATGCATGGATATCGACGTATAAGTTTAGATCAGAAAAAATATGGAATAAATAGGTCCCTGTAGGAAATATGCACTTTTTCTTTGTTTTTTCTTCTTTCTGTTCTTTTTCTTCGCGATTGGTATTGTGCGAGGGAAAAATAGAAGAGAGTTATGACCAATACAGAACAAAGCATCTGTTCTTCGGATCGGTTAGATACGGCTAGAGAGTATCTTCTCTATTGTAGTGCCCGCGCAAAATCACCATAGTATCCGTGCTATAGTTCTATGGATTGGTAGAAATATAAATTGTAAGATATGAAATCTAATTGTTGCATGAGGTTTTTTCTCAGTTGACAAACTCATATATTTAAAAAAATATGTTTGATTTAAATTAGAAACATTTTGAATTGCCTGCTTATGTCAATTTTATTTTAGTTTTTCGATGATGTTATTCTCCAATGTCAAATTTATATATATATAAAGTAAACCGTCTAATTCGAATACGTCAGAATAATAAACAAATCAGAAGGAAAAGAAAACTAGTCGAAAGGCTTGGGTATTAGTTCTTGTATACACAATCACGCATGACTTATTGAGCAAATTATGGAAGCCCATCCATATGACCAATTGGTAATGAATTATACGAAAGCCAATTTTGAACTTGATAATCAAATGTAGCAGTTAGCCATAGTGTGCGAAGAATGGCCAGACGTTTGAGATCCAAGTATAAAGTTTTGCCTCGCCTGAAGAAAAGCAAACTATTCGTTGACTAGAATGAACTACCAGAAGAGAATTTTACTTCAATTTAGGGTCTTCTTCTCCATGTTGATCGAGATACAGCGAATGCCAATAGCCATATAAAGTTGGCAAACATATCACTGTTAAAGTTGTTTGAACATCAAGCATGACAGCAGAAGGAAGGGCACATTTTACCAAATGCTAATGACAAAATAAACTTAAAACGATTGTTTGATTTGAGTCAAAGAAATTCTTACTTGATTATAGCGCTGTCGTTGTTGAGAACAACAGCTTGCAAACCAGCGCTTGATATATATTTCTCCGCAAATGAGACACAGCAATGTATCGGAAGAAGTTCGATTACAATGCTCACAGTGATATTCACTGTACATATGAAATAGATCACCGTATTTCGACGGAATATCAACAAACACTGGTGGATGAAACTGCGGACGTCCGAGACATAAGATCTTGAATAAGAGAATTAGATACAGTTTCTTTTAATGAAAAAAAAAAGAAGTACTACCTTTGCTGCAGTTGTATAACGTTGGACGGTAAGCTGGAAGTCTTCCAACCATTTCGATAATACTGCTCTTGGTTCTGAACAAAACCAACGTGGCATCGCTAAACCGTTCAAGCTTAAGTTCAAGTTCAAATAACTAGCTAATCCCAATGGAGATGGTTCTTCGCCAGTCTAGAAAACGAACATTCCGATGAAGATGTGATCTTCATTGAGGAAACTTACTGTCCAGGGCATTTCTTTCGAATACAATCGATATTTAATCAATGAACTGGTTTTGAGAAAATCTAAACACTTGTTCATCAGTTGTTTTCCAATTGGATCATCTATCGTTCTTTGATAGGTGATTTGTTCTTTGAGTCGACTTTGTTCTACGCATTTTATGACTGAATTCACATCAACATCGAAATCAAAATCTTTGCTTTCTGCTACAGGTTGCTCAATAAGAATTGAAAGAAGATTTTTAAAGAATTCAATGTTAAATACAATTTGAACAATGACGTCGAATTCATCTACAAATGACCAAAAATAATAATCCGACACAACAAAAAAACTCAAATGTCTTACCGGAAGTGATGTGAATCGGTGTGCTCATTAGTAGTTGAAATAATATCGTAAGCGGATCACGTAGAAGTATGGGTGGCAATGTCTGTTGTGGATCGAAAACACTTGAATGAAACAAAAAGAGTTTAGTAAAAATAAGCTCGCTATTGTTTTTCGCACATACTCGGCTATGGTTATTGGACATAGTAAACCGGTTACTTCTTGCCAAAGTTGTTGATGATAAAATGGATAACCGAGGTGATGAAGCTCATGAAGGATTTCTAATGAAGTCAATGGTAGGCGACATTTATTTCGATCATTTCTTACTGTAGAATGATTTACGAATGGTTTTTTGATCAATTTTATTCGCACTTTCATAAAACATCTGTTCATGAACCAATTGAGCTCTACGACAAGAATCCTTCCCATTATCTCTCATTTCAAATCGATATTTACCTCAAAGTTCCACAATCGAATTCAGCTGCTCGTTGTTTTGTCGACTGATGATTCGGCAAGAGTAATGGCCGATCCGGAGATAACTGATCGAATGAAATGCATTTTGCTGCGAGACCAGAGAGAAATGCAAGTAAACATCTTTCGTCAGCAACTCGAGTCTAAAACAAACGATAACCCTAGGAATATCTCAACGAATGTTCATAACAAACCAGTTTCGGACGCGAAGGATTGACCATTGATTGATGAAGTCGCTCAACAGGTGATGCTATTTGTTGGTGATTATGTGTAATCGAGTAGTCCGTATGATCGAATAATAGAATCAATGTGTTCGCTGATTGGCGGCAAAGCGGACAACGGAAATTGACCGTTGCGGGAAGGATTGCATTCAAAATTGTTTCGGCAGCACCTTGATTCTAAACAGAAAGAGAAAATAATGGAAATATTTTCCACTAATCAGTACTAACTGGGTGTAGTGCTTTCAGATAGGACGAAAGACAATCGGCATGAATCGAATGGCCACACGATTGAATACGCAATGATCGAAGATAGTGATCATTTTGACAATGATTTGCAATGTACTATAACTTCATATAAAACAGAAAGAAATAGATTTTGTGCAATGTTCCTACCGGATGTTCACTGATTTGTATGAGACACTGTTTAGTCAGATGTAAATAAGTTTCAAGCGTGATTTTATTCGACGGTATTGATAATCTTTGCTGTTCGTATTCATCCAACTGCGCAAATTCCAGACTTGGTACTAAAGTATGAAATTCGATCACATAGAACGATTGTTTCTCTCAAAAATTGTTCTTACAAAGAGACAAACACGTTGTACCAATGAGACCGATCGGTGATTGACTATCACTTTTCGTCAATCGACATACACAACATTCGTATTCAACGGAATATTCGGAAGCAATCGGTGTGTTCGAGGCAGTTGTAGCAGTAGCCATGGCTTGATCCATCGAGAAGGGATCCGAACCTAATGATGGCGGAGTGCCAAGATGCATCGATTGATCATCAGGATTTTGTTGAGTAATGAATTTCTTTTGTGATTGAGCAATTTCGGCAAGTAATTTCTGTTGACGATTCTTTGCTCGTTGTCGCCTAAAACAAATAATGTGAAATGAAAGTTTAGGTTACACTTTACTTTTGTTCTGCTGTTAAATCTGATGTTTTCGTCGTTGTAGGTTGTTGTTGTTGTTGTTGTTGTTGGTATTGACCTTTCAATTTTTCGATTTCTTGTTCAATGGCAACATGACATTGCACATTCATTTGTGCAGCAAGGTATAAAATATTGCTGAGAAAATAATAACTATCACCAATGCGTGATGAATTATTATGATTAGCTGCTTTTAATCGAGCAGAAATTGTATTAATAAGTTCAAGGAAATCATTTGAACGTTGTTTATGAAGAATTTTCAGAAGAAGTGTTATCATACTTTCAGATTCATTTCCAATGGAGAATAGCGTACACAGATTCTGGAAGATATTGTTGCTTTTAAATGCACCAATTTCTTCCTAAAATAACTCAGATGGATTCAATATTAGTGGGCAAAGTATCAAATTTACTGTATTCGTTTCGACTACCGTAGGTGACGTTTTGTCAGCCTAAGAAATAACAGTATTTTTAGTACGAAGATGACATTGAATGACTTACGCTGATTAACGATAACTCCAGAAGGTAAATAGTGAAATAGAGAATGTTCTCTGTGACAGTTTTATCTTTTGAATACTAGAATAAGTCAAGATTGGAAGAGCATATGTACCAGTGAGAACAACACCTACTGCATTTAGGCATAAAAACAGAAAATGATGTAAAACACTTGATTGCAAAATACGTTGAACTTTAGATGTGTATGCGTGAGAATATTTAGGCATGCGAAAAGGTGGCCAGATGGGATAATCCGATTTGAACAAGTTTTCATGCTTCACACTAGAGAATAGAAAGTATTTCAAATCAAAATACCGATTGATCAGATACTTACTATTTAGTGAAACGTTCGAGTGAATTTTGAAAATGTGCACGTTTTGTAGATCGCATGATAACATGCAACGGATCATAATCAGTTTCGAATAAAACACCTTTGATGACGTATTTGCCTTGATGTAGATGACCTAGTAATTCCACGGAAGGTGTTTGAAAATCAGACACCTAGGACATGATCTGTATACAAGACTGACATCTCAATGATACGAACTTCGTTTAGAATAGTTTCGATTTCTTTTCGATTAGCACTTAATGGTGATGGATCAGGTACATTTTCCTCTACTTCACTGTACAACCGATCGGCAACAGATAATATTCCAATGATTTCTGTACGAATCTGCTGATTATCTCGACCAGCTAGAAGTATACTTGGTTAGACTATGCCTTCTCCAAATACACTACTTACCGTTGTTCGGTTGAAATCCAACAAGTGCACAGAGGGTGATCAACGCACTTTCCAACATCGCTATTTGATGATTTGGATCAAGGCTTGATCTTTCAGTCGAATCAAATAGCCATGAATGGAATCTTATTGAAGAAGAGAAAACGGTTTCTACTTAGCTGAGTTATCAATCAATATTTTACTTCTTCAAAACCGTTTCAATGAATAAGTTCGGTTCCAGATAACACGCAATTAACTAGAAGTAGAAAACAGAAAATATTCGATAGAAGGAAAGTGTTTGATATACTTGTAAAAGAAAGAAATCTGCATCATGCATCGATGCTGAGAAAGCACTTTTTGCATACGTTTTTGCTTGTATAGTTACTTGTTGACCATTGCGTAGCCAAATATTGGATAAAACTTCAAAATATCCAGCCTAAACGAAATATTTTCACACTCCAACTCTCGAATCTTAATATCCTACAATCGTTCTCAGAGGATGAAACATCAAATTCATAAGCATGGTTGGATTATCAGTTGGTAAGAATGAAGCTGGATCAATATTGAATTTATGTATGGCATTATAAGCAAACATCGCTAAATAACGATGTAACGGCAAATGAAATGTTAACTTCCAATGATCGGCATTGTCCGTTTGGAAGTTCAGTGATTCCAACCAATCGTTAATACTCATAAGGATTTGTTTGATTATTGCAATAAATTTCTCTTCTGGATACTAGACAAAAGAAGATCTTTTTCGTTTAGAGAGAATAGACTCGCTTTTACTTACTTACATCTGCTTTTAAATGATTGATGAAACACCACATCGCTGCAGCACTGATTTCAAGCTCAATGGTAAATGCATACATGTATGCTTGTGGTTCATATTCTATGTGATGACCGATGATGCGTTCATTTACATTCATACCTAAACATTTTCAGATACAAGATAGAGAAAAATCCGATAAGACATGAAACGCACCTTGGAATAATGTGAGAAATCGTAACCACAAATTGAAATACTTCTTGTTTTCAAGTATGGTTAACACGACTTTCTCTTGAGATAAGATGTTGACAAAATCACTCAATAATGGCCAGTAGACATTCTTGACAATCAATTGGTGTTCAACATCAATGACCATTGCACCCGGGGTGTCTTCATTGGTAACTTACAAGAAAGAAATAGAATCGATTCTTCGGAATGAAAAGACATACTTGCTAACGGATGAGTTTTAAGTATACTTTCATCGTCATCATCATCGTCTTGTTTATCTTGATCTGTTGAAGGGACAAACATTCGCCAGATGCAGGAAAGAATGACTTCGATGAGATGACACTTGTCCATGACGTAATCAGCAATAATATTTGAAGAAAAGAGCTGAACACTAATGTGAACAAGACGTGACGGTATTTCGCTCGTGTCTAAGTGAGACTCTTCGACTAGTAATTGAGCGATAACACCGTAGAAACGTAGAAATGTTTCTGTAAATGATAACTAGGATACACACGACGAATAAATTTTGAGAAAACGACTTTTATCAATTACTTTGAAGCTAAAATCAGGTAATAAACTAAGTAGAAATCGAACGAGATCTTCTGGCAAATGTGTTGTCACACACCACATCATAATTTCATCTAACATAGTTTGTAAACTTGTATCAAATGGTATCAAAGCATCTGATGCAGAATCAGCCATTAATGTCTCAACAAAATATGTCGTGGGTAAATTAGAATATTCCCCATTGAGAAATTCAATATGATAAAGTCTATTAATTGATGCTGAAAAGAAAGTTCAAGCAAAAAAAAGGCTAATTATCTTGTCTTATTTGTTTGTTACGTACGGTCACTAATAAATTCATCATATAGTTTTCTATCAGTCAAGGAATTTGTTATACAAGTTTGTAAAGCCGAGCCACTGTTAGATAACTGATTCAATATTTCCAACAGTTTTTGTTCTGTTACAATATCACCTAGAAATCGTTAGAAACACAAATAAGATTTACCAATATTTTGAATCAGAGATCGAATTCATACCGCTAACAGCACTCATACGTAAAGCGCGTATGAAAACTTTCAGTAGATGTGGAATAAGCAATTCCGCACAACAAATCAATTCATGGGGTACTGCTTGTGGATGAGGACGGTTTTCACCGTGAAAACGGCAAAATCTAGAATAAAAATATACCTTTTAGACGGTCAATATCGTCTTGTCTTCATACCCGAATTCATGCATGACACTCGAATCTCCACAATCACACGCGCCACCGGCTTGGCTTTTGAACATATTGTAATTATGCCCTTCATGATTGCCATTTTGAAAACATTGAGCACATATACTCATACATGGCGAGATTGAACATGTTTTACACCTATATGCCATAACATTAGCATTCCAAACGAGACCGCAGATTTGTGCATTGTTATACTCTCGAACTAAACAAAGAAGAACGAATTGTTGTACTTCATTTTCGATTCTATAAATTTACTTTGTTGAAGAAATTCATCCATTGTTCGATTACCGGGTATATACTGCAAGAAAAATTGAACTAATCCGTCAATATTGTCATTTTCATGAACGTTGACAGTTAACAGATTGTCCAACGCAACTTTATTCAATGTTCCATCAATTAAGCCTGCTTGTAATTGTTCTGGTGTTAAATCTATTGCAACAGTAGCATCCATTAGAAGGAAATCTGATCTGAAGCAAAAAGTATGTCGGAGGTTGGTCTTTTTCTCGTCTAAATAAGAGAAAACACCAAACACATATACATTGTTTCGGATGACTCATACGATGACATAACCATTAAGGAAGAAAAAACAACAACAACAAGAGAGAAGAAATCGCTTCATGTTAGTTTATCATTACATGAAAGATGATGACACGAATTCAGCGAGTATTTTTCAAAAGATGTTGTGCCTCAATTGCAACCAAAGTCAGTCGAGCAAGTGAGGAATATGTTCCACCGTATGAAAAACCGTCAACCAATGATATTGCAAAATTGGAAGAATTTTTGTCACGTTCGAAACGATTGTTTATTATTACCGGTGCTGGCATATCAACGGAGTCAGGCATACCGGACTATAGATCGGAAGGTGTAGGACTCTACGCTCGAACCACCAATCGACCAATGTAAGAGAATGATTGCAAGACATTGTCAACTGATTGATTGCACCTAGGATGTATCAAGAATTTCTGACGAATCCCAAACGATATCGAATGTATTGGGCGAGAAATTATATCGGCTGGCCGACATTTTCAGCATTTCAACCGAATGAAACCCATCGAACATTTGCAAAATGGGAAACACAGGGTAAAGTAAGTTTTTGACACGATCGACAAGAGCTTCGTTCACTGGTAACTAATATCTCTCTGAAGGTGTTTTGGCATGTTACACAGAATGTCGATAGCTTATTAACCAAAGCTGGTTGCGAATTGTTAAGTGAATTACACGGTTGCAGTGCTCGAGTTGCTTGTGTCGATTGTGGCTATAAAGGTATGACACGACAAGAATTACAAGAACTCATAGCACGAGAAAATCCCGTTTGGACCGCTCAATCCAATACGATCAATCCAGATGCTGATGTGTATCTAACGGAAGAACAACTAGGAGATTTTCGAGTAAATTTCGACGACCTCTTGTCGTATCTTATTGACACAATCGTCTTCATTTAGCCGCCTCGGTGTCCTCAATGTTCTGGTCGGATTAAACCAGATGTAACTTTCTTCGGCGATAATGTTGATCGTCGTTTGGTGGATTTTATCAAAGGACAATTGACGCAAAGTGATTCTGTACTGGTCGCTGGTTCGTCCTTAGAAGTTATGTCATCGTATCGTTTTGTTCTTGTCGCTCAACAACTTCAACTACCTATTGCGATCGTTAACATCGGTCGAACACGTGGAGATGAAGCAGCTCATCTGAAAATTTCCACACGTTGCGGTTCGATATTACCTCACATACGAATAAATGAACTACCCAAACAATAAATAAGAACGTTTTCTCTTGAGTTTTTATTCTCGCAGCGAAAAAAGCAAGAAATAGTATAATGTAAAATTGTTGATCTGTTTCATTAATTACGATTGTTAATATTACATGCGTTGTTTATGAATTTTAGATTGGCAAAGAAATTTCCCAAAATAGATGTCAGTGTAGAACAGCGATGCGTGTCAATGCAAATACTGTTTTATATGGTCGAACGATTCTCCTAGTTCCCTATGGGAAACATCATGTTGAAAAGTAAAAGTTAGCGAAACGATTGGAGAGATCTATATTTGTGTTCAACCAGATACCATCGATGGATGGAAAATGAAGAAATTCGTGAACTGACCGCATCCTTACCATTAACTATCGAAGAAGAATATGAAATGCAACAAACATGGCTAAACGATCAAGATAAATGTACGTTTATTATTTTATCGAAAGAACTATTCGATGAGACACACGATGAAATAAGTAAAGATTTGCCTTTTTTATACTAATAAAAGAAAAATCTTGCTGCTAGAATCGATGATCGGTGATGTCAATCTATTTTTGAATGACCCTGATGATCTTCACTGTGGTGAAGTTGAAATCATGATTGCGGAGGAAACAGCTCGACACAAAGGCTATGGAATCGAAACATTGCATACATTCTTTCGTTATGGTAATTTGAAAGGCGCTTTTTGTCTCCTATCTAAGACATGGTCTTGTTCGTAGCAATTGAAACACTGAACATCACGCGTTTTGTTGTCAAAATTGGTCTGAAAAATTTACCAAGTATTGCTTTATTTACAAACAAATTTCAATTTCAAACAGTATGACAATTAATTTACAATCTCATCTGCAAAGTTCCTCATTTAGATTCAAACATCCGAAGTCTTTCAAGAAGTGACCATGGAACGGCATACCAATGATAAATTCATTCAGTTGCTGCACGTAAACACTCCAGATTATCGAAACGAACTTTACAATCAGTTGACTAAAGTTTGATTTCGAATGAAATCTTTTTGTGATATACAACAACAAAGTTTTCTAAGGGAACGATATTTAAGAACTCAATGTTTGTTGAAGAATTGTCCTCCCTGCATACAATGTGACAGGTCCAACGGGTCGTGTTTGTCGGCGGAAATCGAACACGCTCTTGAGTTTGTATTTAAGCTGTGGTAATGACCAAGCGCATGCGAACGGCCAAAGAAGTATCATACAGTAGTTGAAAACGAATAAATAATCCATCAGTTGTGCACTCACATTACGAGATAAACCGCACAAATGTAAGAGATTCATTAAGGTGATTGGTAACGCGAATAGAAGATAAATAGTGGAAATAAACAACATTTGACCAGTCATTTTCCAATGTTTTCGCCATTGTAGTGACTTCCCTACGCGTTTCTTTTGCCAATGCACGCGTAACAATAAAGCGATGCTAAAGATAACAATGATGAGATTCGGGAGGACTTGATGAACGAGTGTATCATATGTATAAAGTGCAAAAGATTGAAAAAGATAACATAGTACAACACATGTCATTTGAGTAACATCAAACGTATTTTCACAAGGCGGAAAAAATATTGTCACAATGTAATAGACAAGACAGTAGAGAAGAAGCATGACTAGTGGTAAATAGTGTACAAACAAACGTTTCTGTCGTGTTAACAACCAATTGTGGTGAAAGATTAAAATGTGTCTTTCCATCGAAGCCCAAGCGAAAAGTATCATCTGAGTGTAGTAAAGACCCCAATCGATAAATGTCCAAATCGTGCAAAAGAGCGATGAACGATACCAAATGCCTTCGTAGTTGTAGTAGTAGAGCATCCATGGATAAAGAGTAGCTTGATAGAAAAGACCGATGAGAAGAAAAACGATAATGGCATGATTGTGAAGAGCAGTACGTAACGTTCGATTTGATAGAAGGTAAGAGAGAAGAAATACTGAACAGATCAGTGATGGGATGAGAAAACAGAGATAAACCCAAAATTTAATTCTTTCCATTTCAAAATATCAGTATAAGACAATACCTAATTCAATGTTTTATGTTTAAATCAGATCACAAATGACGAGAAGATCGTTTTAACAGCTTATTTCTCTTTTGTATAAAGTACGAATTGCACTATTTAGAGTTCTCTTGTAAAACTAGTCTTATCGGAGAGCGTACAAATATTTGTTTCGCCGTATATTGTCGTCGATTGTCATTAAAGATCATTAACAGGTGTGTATTGATACATACGCATATAAAATTCGGTAGTAAATCTTTCTATCGTCATTCATCGCAATTTTTATCGGAGGGAAAAAAGTCTATCTTCGCACATTTCCTCTCTTAAGAAAGATAAGCACATGTACCAAGTACTTTTTCCATACATTGTTTGGTGACAATCAAAGAACACAACAGTGAACATTTATGGAGAAGAAAATGAAATTGAATTGCTATTCAATAGAAAGATACGAAGCATCAGTCCTATCAATTATTAAGAAATAAATGTTTTCACTTTGAGTTTGAGTCCAGGTGTACTTATGATGCATGCAAATGGTAACATCGGGATCATTAAATAGTTGAAGAACAATAAATATTCGTAGAATGTCGTACACACATCAGGTGATAATCCGCATAAGTACATCAAATTCATTAACGATAGAGGAAAGTCGAACAGAAGGTATAAAAGTGAGAATGACAGCAGTTGAATGGTCATTTTCCGATATTTTCTCGAATAAAATAGACGACGCATAGGATATTTTCTACACACAACTCGTATTAGTAAACCCGTACTGCATACGACGATGATCACATTCGGTAAAACTTGATGAACTACTGCATCCCACATATACAATCCATAAGTGTTAGTAAAACAAAATGCAGCGCATATCATGTACGTATCATTGAAATAGTTTTCACAAGACGGAAAGAAACTAACAATAATATAGAAAGTCAAACAATAGATAAGAAGTAAAATGAGAGGTAAGTAATGTAAGAGGAATCGTTTTCGTTTAGTTGCCAACCAGTTCGAATGAAAGATTAAAATATGTCGTTCTATTGTCGCCCATGCAAAAAGCATCGTCTGAGTAAAGTATAAACCCCAATCAATAAATGCCCAGATTGTGCAAAAGATCGCTGAGCGATACCAAACGCCTTGATGACGAAAGAAGAATAACATCCATGGATATATGGTCACTGTATTAAATAAGCCAATGAATAGGACAACAACGATCACATGATTATGAAGAGCAGTACGTAGAACTCGATTGAAAATAACATGGCCAAGAGAAATCAATGAGCAGATTATTGAAGGAATGAGAACAAATAGATATACCCAAAACTTCACATTTAGAGATATAATTTCATCATAAACGACGACAACAGCGTGGGTATCATCATCGTCATAATCACTTTCATTCCACATTTGAAAGATCAGTTGAACAGCTGCTCGAAGGTAATGCGATATGACTGGTTACTCACAAGATAAAATAATTGTAATGCCGTGTAGAAGAATGAATCGATAGAGAGAGCGAGAGAAGTCTATTTTATTAATTGAAAAAAAAAACTAATTTCAAAAAGTAGAAAGTATCAATTTTTAATTATATGCAGCAAGTCGAGGAAGTCAACTTCTTCGGAGACAGACTTTATTTGGGACCGATACTTAGAATTACGCAGCATATAAGTTAAATAAATTACTTCGAACAAAAGGCGTCGTATGTTCTACCGTTTAAGCATGCGTACAACAAACTCAAATTATAGAGAGATGTGTTCAAGTAAATTCTTTGATTTTTTATAATTGATACATGAGATAGCGAAAGCCACAAGAGGAAAGTATTAATCCCACTCAAGCCGACTTTTCATAAACTAAAAATATGCGTGAGTCTTTCGACCGGTTCATATGAAGTCATTGGTGTTTGGCTTGAGTAAATGGAGTTTTTCTCTCTTGAATTTTATACGTTGAAATCGAAAAGAATTATTTCAGACATACAAGAAAAAAACGTATCAGCTAAAATATTCATTGGCTGACACAAATAAATAAACATAAATATATATATATATATATAAACACTCACGATTTTTATCGACCATCAAAGAAACAACAACGGTGATATACAAAGATAAGAACAAAAGGTAATGTTCATGTTCTTGTACTCGATAAAGATCAACTATTAAAATAAAATCGTTTTCAAACAATCCTTTCTATTATCCTCAACAACAATAAGATGTATCATCCAGATCATTTATCACCGCCGAATAATTTGCCCAGCCCACCTGGCCCACCGCCTTGTTGGAATTGCCGCATCATTGATTGCAAACCTGATGAGCCACCTACGAAGAGTTTTTTTTTGTAAAAAAATCGTTTAAAAGACTTTACATGTCAACATACCGATTTGATGTAAAATTCGAGGATCGATTAGTTTACTCATTTGACTGTTCAATTTCTGCATTTGTGTCGGATTAACATTTTTCGTCATATCACCTTGTTTGAACAAACCTTTAATACCACCCATTTTCTTAACCATTTGTGCAAATTTAGAATATTGCGTAATTAGATCTTGAACATCACGTATGGAAACACCGGCTCCACGAGCGACTCGAGCACAGCGTCCAGGTTGAGTTTTAAATAGTTTCGCTCCATCGAGATGATCCAGTTCTACATTGTTTATTTGTAAAAACATGAATTAGCCAGGATACACCAAGTCATGACTTACCATTATCGTTCATACTGTCCATAATACACATCATTTTTCTCAAACGTGCTTGTGACTCTTGCTCACCACTCTTCGATATGAACTCTGTGCCAAAACCGGGAATCATACCCTAATCAGAACGAGAATAGAATCCAAAGATAATAACTATTTCAAACTACACACCATGATCTGTCCGAACGGACCCATTTTCATAATATTCTGAAACTGTTCGTACATATCTCGTAGAGTAAATTGACCTAAATAGAAATACACTTGTAAAAAAAACGCGTGTCCTCTCTTTCGAAGAGTATTACCATGTTGCAATTTCTTCATTAATTCTTCGTTGTCT